TGTCGCTCAAAAGAAGAGAGAGGCAGTGTAATGCTTTGTTTATGTGACTATCTGACGTTTGGAGGTCACTTTAGGACTTGTCTGGGCCCTGTACATGTGGGATGGCCTTCGGGCCACGCTCAGGCCGCCATTTCTCCTATTGTTTTCGGAATACATGTATTCAACCTCACTTATGCCTTCTACTACCCCATTTGGAGCCTCGGGACGTTACACTCACTTCCTTCTTCTACCCTATGGAAATTCTTGGGACGCTACAGTACTTAATACGACTAAGTACCTTTTTTATGTGCCGGATGCAAAATTTATAGATTTTGACTTGCAGTAATGTATTCAACTTGTAGCCACAAAATATTGTTACAGATCAATTCAACATTTCTGAGAATCAACTTGCGCAGCACACGTGCCTTGAAACTGCAATATTTTTGAATACATAACAATAATTAGTTTTCTATCTAACTTCGAAGGTCTAAGCTCTTAACTTTTGAAATCCCATGGCTAGAACAAAAATCATAAATTTGTTGTAACCCAATCCTATGTGTGAGTTGAAACAGTGATTCGCTGACTACTGCTATTTGTCACTTTCTTTTTTGTTGGAATCCATTGAGGTTTTAGCACTGAATACGAAGGCGTTAACGGTGCTTAATAATGGTTCGACCCCTTCTTGCATTCAACTAATTTGCTCTAGAGTATAACTACATATAATGGATCTGCTGTAATCGGGATGAAAGGAAGGAATTGCGTCGCAATCGCCACTGACATGCGTTTTGGGGTGGGATATCAGACAATCGCAACCAATTTTCCAAAAGTTGAACAGCTTGGCCCACATCTTTTTGTCGGCTTCCCTGGCCTGGCAACAGACAAGGAAAGCGTGTATGTGCATTTTCTGAGCTAAGGGAGTTAACATTAGGATTGAGAAGATGATTACAGGGGTCCAAGTTCTTTAGCTTTTATACCTCATTCAATGAAATGCAGTACTTCGCAATCAAACCATAGTCCCATCGTCCTTAAATGCTATACTTCAGCGTGGTCTGTAAGCTCAGTTGAATGGGAGCAATTTTTTGGACAACTTCCGTTTTTTATTTTTGCGAATTGAGTTTCACTACCATTTATTGCTCAATTGGTAATATATGTGTACGTATTCAATGAATTGCTTTTCTGTTGATGTCTTTCGCTAGGTACCAACGTCTCTTATTCCGGAAAAATATGTATGAACTTCGGGAAAACCGTCACATCAGACCAAAAACCCTTCTCTACATGCTCTCCAACTTACTCTACGAACGAAGGCATATTTTCTTTTCTGTCGTCACTGAGCTATGTTAGGTTTGGTCCTTATTTTGTGGAGCCAATAGTTGTCGGTATTGATCCCGTCACTAATGAACCGTTCGTTGGTGGTATGGACTTGATCGGCTGCATAATGGAAACTGATGAATTTGTCGTTGCCGGTTCTTGTACGGAACAGTTGTACGGCATGTGCGAGACGCTATGGGAGAAGGATATGGGAAGTCGATCTTTGTTTCCTTGCCATATTTTTGGTGACCATATGAACACCTGTGTATGAATTTTTTGATCCAAGTTTCCTACACCAGTGTATTTGTCGTGACTCCATTCCAGCTGTGGTGGTGCTCCTATTGAGCTTCTGTCGAACCACGTGTGGGCGTCCACCGCGGTTTTGCCTGCAGCTGGCGGCACTGTGGCATTTATGGCTACCCAATCTTCGCTAGGCATTCATTTTCGGATGTGTCATTTCTGAAAACGGGATGCTTAATCAAATTTGATTTTATCCTACTCCGTCCTCCTTTCAGGATCCTTGTGCGCTCTTTGAATGCGTATCACAGTGTATCTTGAACGCTACGAATCGCGACTGTATCTCCGGGTGGGGAGCGCGTGTTTACCTAATGTAGGTTAATGCTTCTCTCACCCATTTTTTAGTGAAAAAGATAAAGCAACTATTACAGACCTCAAGGGGCGGATGGATTGATTCTGTCAGTTGTACTAAGAATGAAATAAACGACCCAGGGGCGCCCCCGACCCTACTTCTGTCTATTGTCACACGGGGCTTCTACTTTTCATCTCTTCTACTCCGAACCATCTGCCGTGTCGTCGCCTCCGAACAAGAAGGTCTCACAGGGGGACAACTTTCTAGGCTAATTTTCTGGTGTTTATCTCGCAATCGCATTACCTATACCCGACTAAAAACTCGTTTATTAGGTTTACTAAAAGGGTACGAACAGTTTCAAGGTGCACACAAATAGAAGGTAGGATCTTGTAAAAATGGAAGGCTGGTCGTGTCGAATAGAAACATTGGTGATCGGTGCGAAATCGGGAACCGCAGCTGTGAGCTGATGTTGAAGCTATGTCGGCGTTATTTTTGGGGAACTACGACGTACTCGGACCCAGAGTTGCGTCGAACGACAGTGAAGTAGAATAGTAGGGCAAGAAGGACACAGATTACCTGTAGTAAGACGGCGACGGAGAAAGCAGTTGCCAAGTACGAACTTGCTTATAAGTGGCAGTAAGTCAGAGCTAACGACAGACTGCAGCAGTTGATGGCAAAGAACTAACCTTGCAAGAAGCGATTGCTAATATGACTCCGATAAAGCCTTGAAGACCGCTGCTAACCACTTTTGTGGCCATCTCGTAGCATCCCTGAAAGAGAATACAAATGGCAACTTTGTCAGGTTCCCATCACAAGTGCTAAAACGTTGATTGCGGGAGGAAATGATGTTTTGTCAAGAAGGGCATATAGCGTACCACAGAGTAGGCAGTGGCGTCACAGACATCAGTTGGTGGGGGACAACAGGATAGGGGCAGGGCGGCCTCACCGTAATCTGCACGTCCCCTCCTGCCGCAGCACTCAAACTGGGGAGGTAACAGAGTCGATTTACGAAATACAGACGAGCAACTTTTGTAATAAAAAAGTTTAGTGGGCATAAGTCGATATAGACTAGCGCCGTAGGACAGATTACGCCTGTCCAAAAACGCTAGGAAAACCTATAGTAGCAGCTCATAGGTCGGAGCGTTAAGGACCGCTCCTCAAGTACAATCTGGTGAGTATTATCCCACGAAGAGATCAGCCTTCCTAGCATTGCATTCAAGACATGTAAAATACGTGAGCTTACAAAAGACTGGAGAACTTCCCGATTGACGATTTTCTGGACCTCGGATTCGAGATCGGTCGGCTTTGTGAACCAGTCATCTATAAAAGTCTTGAGGGCTAGCACTAATTTCTCTTCGACCTATTAGTATTTAGTCGAGCGTTGAAAGTAACAAACCTCTTCTCGATAAATCATGCATAAAACGTCTACGGCAACCTCCACGCACATAACCAAGGCCAGACATGTGCAATACGCGCCGATCATGCAGGCGGATTCGCGATAGGTCCCACATAACCCAAGAATAGCAGTAGTCACGGTTGCAGACCCGACACAAATTAGAACGATCGCCAATACATAGGTCACGTAACTGATTTCAGCCATATGAAATATCGCCTGGACTTCAGGTTCCATGCAAATAATGATGGAGACTCCAACAATCACTAATCCAAGGAGCTGAAGTGTAAAGAGTGTTAAGTTATGAGAATGAGCTATTAAAGTGCGATAGCCCATCGAATCAAAACTGTAGTTCGTTAACTCTGACATTCAATTCGATTGCCCAATAACTAATGACGTTTTCGTAATGTATTGGAGCTAGGCCAAGAGTCTGCGGAACTCACCATCAAAATAACATTTAGATCGTGAAGGAGATAAGCTTGACACCTTCGAGAGTAACGCCACCCCATCTTCTCCGGAATGCGAGCATAAGCCTAAAAATTCAGGGCTGTCCACAAATCAGTTTTTGCAGCGAAGCATATAAACAAATTGCTGTGAAAACTTTTGACATCTTTCGCAATCTATCGCGATTCCGTTGGTAACTCGTAGGACTGTATTTTGAAGTAAGCGACGTCAGTAAATCATTTTAATGTTGCGGAAAAATAATTTTTGCTCATATGACTGTCCAGTTGCATGACCATAATTTTTTTATTTAAACCTTAAAATTCTGTAAATTTATGTCGTCCTCAACCCTTTTTATTAGAGCCAATTTCGTGGGCGGTTTCACTAATTATAACACGGACGGAGCCTGTTAGTGAACCTGAAGCTCTGGTTTGATGCCACCATTTCATTTAACTTAGCATCTCCATTTGATCACGGCGGGCTGTGTAATGAGCTCTTGTAGTATGTTTTAGGCGATCGTAACAGCATGTAGCAGCATCATTTGATGTGAGTGTCTGTCTGTTCAATGTTCGTGATGTCGTGTTATGTAGATTAAGTTGGAATACTCGAGTCTTTGATATGAATTAATGGGAGCTAACTACTTTGTTGTTGGATAGTACATTAAATATGATGCTTATTATGCGTGCGATAGGATCGTTACTTTCACCTAGGTATAGCCCTGTCTATGTTGGTGTGAATGATGCCGGCGATGAGCGAAGCACTAGGAGGGCCGGTGCGGTGTTTGTTTCGGTAGTCAGATCAGGTAAACGCTTTCGGTTTCGAGACAAGCTGGTGAATTGGTGTTTTTGCGATGTGTGTAGGTCTGCTCTTAAGGATGGTTGGGCATAGTTTCGCCCTTGGCGGTTTCTCTTTCCGTCACGGTCTTCGCGAATGTGTCCATTTTTTGTTTCGGGCTTTTCAACTGCAATCTCTCACTTGAAGACCATGCTTATTTTTTCTGACTAAATTACCTCTTATGGTCTCCGCTGTTTTTGTAATCCAGATAGCAACGAAAATGGCTTTCAGCATGGAATCTCTCAGGCAAGCGTTGCACCTCTCCTCTTCCAATGGACAATTGGAATCTCTAGACTTAGAAGGTTGTCCTTTGTCAACTTGGCTACTATTAACTAGGTGTTGCCAAACTGATCAAAAGCGGCAAGGTCAGGAATATCATCACTGCCGTAGGTGCTGGAATATCTACTTGTAAGTATTATCAGAGCATTTATTTCAATTCATTATTAAATCTCATTGTAACTGTTGTCTTGAACGTTTTTAACTGCTTGTCTGTGAGCCAGCACCTAGCACTCTGGAGATTTAAAGACCCTAACGGCTCTACGTTGATTATTTACTTCGATTGATGGGTATTGAACGTTAGTATTCATGTATTTAAGTGCTGCGCTCCATGAAACCAATCAAAAACGTTTCCTTGTGATTCATTATAATTCTTGATTAAGCCTCATGATCATAGCATCCAAATTCAACTAGCATCGTGAGTATTTCAAAATTTTTATTTTGCGACTTATCTACGCGGCATCCAAGACCACTTTTATGAGCAACAAGCGAGGTACATGTTCTGACTTTCAATATTTCTTTCTTAAGCTGCTGGAATTCCAGATTTCCGAAGTCCATCTACAGGGATTTACGACAATCTGGAAGAATATCATTTACCTAGCCCTATGTCAGTTTTCGAGCTTAGCTACTTTGAGGTAATGCCATTTCTTATCATGCGCCTGGTCTTTTAGAGAAACCCAAAACCTTTTTTTGAAGTTGCTCGCCGTCTTTACCGTCCCTATGCCAAGGTTTGTTATCTTACTTTCCACTTGACCTTGTTTAGCCCACCACGGCACATTACTTCATCAGACTTCTATGTGACAAGGGTCTGCTTCTGCGACACTACACCCAGGTGCGTCTGGCTGACAAATGTGGCAGTTTCTACGTTGTACTCTTCGGAACTCCATAGCTATTGCTGCTTTTCAGCTTGCATTGGTCGACACCATGTGACACCAAAGCATGCTTCGAAGCATCTCATGGTTCATCTGTGAATCGATGCCTCTAAAATGTCAAATAGTTTTGCACTGGAGTTCAAAAATGTCGAAATTATCGTATGTAAAGCGGTTTATGAAGCAGGATCCATGTAATTACGGTAGCGTAACCATAGTAACGAATATTCTGGTTATTGCATCTATCCTCATTAGAATTAATTATGTACACTTACCCAATCTCATTTCGTCACTCGTTTCCTTTCGTGATTTCTCATTCCTGTATAAGCTAAAAATACATTAATTCAAGCTTTCTGCCTGAAATATGTCATCTTTACAGGGGGTTTTCTTTATGTTCCAAATGTGTTTCAGAATGTGGACCAGCTGGAGCGTATATCAGGTCTTCCAGAAGATAAAATGGTGGAAGCGCATGGGTCTTTCCATACCGGTCACTGTCTTGATTGTCACAAGGAGTATCCCTTCGAATTCTTCAAAGGTACCGTAGTGGTTGCTATCGAAGCAATTCATCCTTTTATTGCGCAGGCAAAATTCTTGACAAGGAAGTGCCAAAGTGCACAGAAACGAATTGTGATGGGGTCGTTAAACCTGGTAGGCTCTATTGGGTTGTCTTTACGAATCCCTCGTAGATGTTGTGTTCTTTGGTGAGGGCCTTCCATCCAAGTTTACGCGTGGAGTCAAACGGGTAAGCTGCTTGTAAAATAAGAAAATCAACTGTCACTGCAAATCTTTCTAGTCTGTGGCACTTTGAGAGGTCATAGTTTTCATTTATTTGTGTGCTTAAGATGCTAATATTTCTGCTTCCTCTGTAGTGATCCTCTATTTGAGTCCATAAACCTATGGCATTTGAGTAACTTGGAAATAGCGTAACTGTTTAGAAGTTGATGTTACTCTTCGTTTCAGGATTTTCCAAAATGCGACCTCCTAATAATAATGGGAACCTCACTTCAGGTACTCCCCTTTTCTGGCATCGTCAATTGCACTAAAAGTGGAGTTCCACGCCTCTATATTAATCGTGAATATACGGATGGCTCAACTTCGGTGAGTTAGGCGCGGGTGCTTTCCTATGCTCTTCATCTTTTCCCGTAACTTAGCAGTTCTGAAGCTGCATACGTTGTTATTTTTTGCCTGGTTGAAAAGTTGCATCTACTTTTTCCATTTTCCCAACGCTCTGGTTGTTGCTGCTGTCGATGCCAAAAGGGTTTTGTTTCTTTCATCATGAAATGGCTGGTCGCTGGATTTCGTACTAAACCACTGCAGTGGGGTCAACCGGGTAACAAGACGGATGTCTTTGTTAAGGGCGACGCCGATGACACTTGTCTTCGATTTGCCGAACTACTCGGGTGGAAGGTGGGCTCTCTTCTGTCCCGTACCTACTTCTTTCCTTATCCTAGTTTATGATAGCTTGTTTAGGCGGATAGTGTTTAATTGTTTTGGTCCGGTTTAAAAGCAATAAAACAGGAGGAGGATTTCCTTGATTCACTCATTTCCATTTTATTTTTTTTTAAGTTGATAATGAAGCACCTGAACCTTGGTGATTGATCCTTCTATCAGCGGGCGCATTAATCCTTTTCACCCTCCGACTTTTTGCTACTCATCCATACATCTTATTTTCTTGGTAGGATGAACTCTTGCGGCTTCAGTCTACTAAGAATGCCGAACTGGACCGGGAATTTGACGAAGAACGGAGATCCTCGTGATTTTCAGTCTTTCATGTATGCATCGGACAAAAGCGATTTCTCATCCCTTGTTTGACTTCTCGTCAATTTTCGCATGACTTGCACATCATGTTCTTTCTATCATAACCTAATTCGTATCTCAGCAAACGCTCTTGTGTATGTTCGCTTTTTTGCTAAAAACACTGGTATTTATGCTCATCTCTTATTGGTGATAAATTATTCGTAGTGAGATGTGATTTAAACAGTTGGGTTAACCCAACGTGGTCCACAAAGCTGAAACATGAGCATGACATTATCGAGTAACCAAAATCGGAATGTCTAAAGTGGTAAGAGATCATTCTTTTTACTAATTCCTCTACTTGAGAATCTGTCCTCTTAACCAAAGTGGGGGAACTCGAACTTTGGATTTTTTTCGGCAGATTTGACATCTTCAAGAGCAAGGATGCGCTTAGTTACAAATGCTTGAGGTACGGCGGTGATCCTTTCCCATCTTTTAGTGCCAGTCCCCTTTAAACCTCTGTTAGTCAGGTTACGGTAGTGAATACCATGCTTCTGGAAACTGACCTATGGTAGCGTGTCAGCAATGGAGTCATTCATCTCCCTTGAACTATTTCTCATCTCTGTCTTATCACGGGATAGAGCAAGTGAAGAACTATCGGTAGAGCCTCCTCGTATCTGCCGATTCAAGAGGAGCCAGCGGTTCTTCACTTGGTGCGTTGGTGCTATGATGCAGAGAGACTATGTAACTCAGACGAGATGTGAGTGTAGGTACCTCGAAAACCTTCAACAGGATTTGCAAAGTGGATGCTATCCACCTTGATCTCAAAGTGTGGTCTCTGCATGCTCCCTTCAGCGCTGTTTTGCCACCTGCTGAGGAAGTGGTTTTCGATTCTTATTATCGGGATTTTAAAACGATATTATGGTAGCAGAAATCAAATTACGTTCTTTAAATGCTTAAGAAAATAAAAATTGGTTTATTCCAGCACCATCCTCACTCCATTCCCTAGCTTCAGGAGTAGTCGCTTCTGTCCTAAAGAAAATGGAAGTTTAGATCTTTGTTGCTGATGGTGCTTTTTGGAACATTGCAATCTATCAAAGTTGGCAAATCAAAGCAAGCTGTCACTTTGTGTTCGCTGATTATTCATAGCTCATTGAGTGGTTTCCATGGTCGATTCCTGGGCTCTGCAAATATGAAATATGATAAAGTGTATGGCACTCTTTCGAAATATACCCAATCACTATGTCAAACCAGATTTTTGCCAAACGGTTACTGATTTCCGATGTAATTCAGTCGAACGCTTCCTTAGAATAGAAGTACGATCGACGGTTCTCCGAAGTCAAGACCGAGAAATTAGGAAGTGTAAAGTAATTGATACGTGAGACCATGCACAAAGCCAGCTCCTTTCCGCACATGAAAGCTCTACGACATTGGAAAGAACTGCTAAGGGAATGATTAAGCGAGTTAGAAACGGAGGCATTTTCGAGGTTTCCTGCTAGCCAATGGGACCTTGTACAAAAAGGCATAAAGCACAAGCTACTTAGTTCAGCAGTAAGTAGCACGTTTGACAGGCAAGAATAACTGTCTTCCGCTTAATATTTAATAGTAATTATAACAAATTTGCTATTTTTAGATGTTAAAAACTGATAAAAGTTTAGAGTAACGTGGTTGTTAAAAAGAATTTGGCGTGTTTATATTTCTTGTTTAGAACAATAAATGAACGGCCATTGTGGAGGCTAGTCAGCGTTATTGACCAGTTAAATCGATGAAGCGTTCTGCTGTGTGAGCTCTATGGATGTTATTTTATCGATGAGTTATTGATCGGTTTGTTTGTACAACAAATCGATAACTGTTGAATTGGCTAATATGGATAATCGTCACCTGCTAAATAGCCACAATGAATTGATTCCAAACGGACGTACTTCCATGCCTGTTGCACCGCACAAAGAAACTTCGCTGGAGTCTATTTTTGTCACCGATTCGCGGACGACCCCAACGCTAATTCCTACTCCAATGAACGTCAAAATTACTGCAGAAGGTTTGAAAATGGAACCCGGACTTGAGGCTCAGCTGGCTGGGCTACAGACCTCGGCTTGTGGGCCTGTTACAATGGCTTCTCTGCCTATTAGCGCACTGAATTCGAGTGAAAAACTGAACGTTCAAGTGAGCGATTTGGAAAATATTCCCATTTTGAATCCCATCGATGGACGTGCTGTGGATCTACAATCTTTGGCTGCCAACAATCAATCTATACCAGGTGTGCAAATGGTAAAGCTCACTCTTATCAACTGTGGCGATCAACAGACGATTTTGCTGACGACTCCTTCAGGACCACTGAGTGGTTGGGACCAGTCAGCAGACGGTCTTACAATCACCATTCCCGAAAACCTTCTGGGCGGAAACGATTTGAACCTAGCGGGGCTATCCACAGTACCTGTTGCCAGCATCCCTCAAACGCAGCCTCCTGCACTTGAGCCCGAACCTTCGGGTATTTCTGATAAGATGAACTATGCCACGATTACCTCTCTACCTCCCATCACCTCGGTATCCGACAAGCTCTACGCACAAAAAGTCCCAACTACTTCTCCGTCGATGGTTGAAGCTACCCAAAACTACGCCCTTCAAGATCTTGTTCCCCTTCTCACAAGCAATGGTGATAAAATGAAACTGTTGGATAAGGCAGCCCCAAGTTCCAGTGTTTTCCAGACCAGCACAGCTGATTTCTTTCAAGCACCCACTGTTCCCATTACTCTCAATCTGCCCGCTGAATCCTCTGTTTCTCTAATGGATTATGCTACAACGGAACTTAAGATCGCAAGACCCATAAGTCCAGGTAATTCTCAGTCTATTTCGCGTTTGGGTCAAACTATTGTCCATGTCTTGGTGTTACCTATTTTGTCGTTTTGCAGATGATCCTAGTCCACCTAGTAACCATGCCGATAATCTGAGTGACGCAGATCGTGAAACCATGAGTCCCGGAATCGATTGTACAGAAATAAACACAAGGGTAATTTCAGTTTAGCTGATTAACATTCTCGATTCCTTGATAGGAACTCGCGTTGCAGATCAGCAGTGAATTGAAGCGGTACAGTATTCCTCAGGCGGTATTTGCTCAAAAGATACTCCATAGAAGTCAGGGTACTCTCTCCGACCTTTTGAGGAATCCCAAGCCCTGGAGTAAGCTGAAGTCTGGCCGTGAGACCTTCAAGCGAATGTGGAAGTGGTTACATGAACCACAGCCTCAACGTATGGCCGAACTCAAAGCTGCAAGTAAGCATTTACATTTAGTTACGATGCTTTCTCTAGCTACCGAAACGGAGATCTATCCTCCAAAGCGCAAGTCCAATGAGGTGAAGTCAGGTGAAGAGAAGTCTGTCAAACGACCTCGTCTTGTCTTCACGGACATTCAGCGGCGCACACTGCATGCCATCTTTAAGGAGACAAAAAGACCAAGTAAAGAGATGCAGGTAACGATAGCTCAACAGTTGGACCTCGAGGTCTCAACTGTGGCCAACTTCTTCATGAATGCTCGCAGACGCTCCGTGGATAAATGGCAAGATGATAACGAAGTTAGACAAAATGACTCTCCATCGCCATCACACAGTGTTGACGCCACATCGCCCACACAGCCTTCACAGGCTACAGCCAACTCTCAACCTTCCAATCTCCACACAGTATCCGTTTCCTCTGCTTCTTCCAACGATCCACTGTTGGCTTCCCAAGTCCTTCCTCCTGACAGTCTTCAGGATAATCCTTTGCTCTCGTCAAGTGCTGCGACTGGTGTTGATTTTTCAGACTCTCCGGCTCCCCCTAGTCTTACCCCGGACACCGTAGTGAATAACAGTCTCGCTTTGGCTGGTGGTGATCTGCCCACCCAGGTTCCAGTTTCCGGTGGCATTCTCGTCACAGCGTCTGCTCCCTCGGACACCAATCCTACCACTGCTGTTCCGCAACTGCTCACCCATTCAATGCAACTGCTCCCTGGTACACAGAGCGCCATCCTCATCAACACTCCTCTGGACACGGGAACTTGTGGAGGCGGGGGGGATGATCAAAACACCGGGACAGCTAGTGCGGCCACCACCTGTTTGATTTCGGGACTACCGGTCTCTCTGGATTCGCTCTCCTTACCCTCGGCTCTCTTTCCAGCTTCCTCAACTCCCTCCGGTCCAGCTCTCTTTCGAACTGAGCCAGCTGCGGATTCACCGAATCCGGGTCTCGTTTTACCTTCCGCTTCGACACTTATTGGCCATGATAGGGGCGTACAATCCTCTGGAACAGGAGCAACGACGGTCACAACAACAACAGCGGTGCCCTTGCGGCACATTAAGCAGGAGAGTCCCATGGCTGCCGGACCTCCCACGCATGTAGCAATTCCTATTAATCCGAAGAAGTAGGCTGGGCGTCGAAGGTGACACCTATTCACCCATCCATACTCACTTGAGCTCATGTTGTTCTCTATTTTCTAGCGACGCTGACACTATTTATCGTCTGTGAGTGTCTGTGTGCGCGCTTTGAGCGTGTACACGATCCATTTCATTGACGTATGTGCAATACATTGTTTTTCTTCTCTCAAGCATTCATTCGATGACGGTGTTCGCTTTCTCCCCTCTTTTGTACAGTTAAAGTCCACCATCTCCCTACTCCCTTTCATCGTGTTGATTGTTCCAACTGACTTGTAAACAGATCATGGAAACCCATTCCTTCACCGCAACTACTGCTGGTTTTAAGCGTACGTATTGTATCTCCTTTCAGGTTTATTAACCGTTCTTGAACAAAGCAACAGTGTATATTCAACGCTCTTTTCTTCGCGCTTTATACTTGTGTAATATTATCTCTCGTCCCAACGACCTCTTCTGTCTCCTTTTTTCCATCATCAACTGTGCCCCATATCACCCATGCACCCCTTTTTTCCTTCCGCCTTGAATTTTTGAGCGATGTCACTACAATTTTGGCGACTACACTTGTGTTAGCATGGTCTCTACTTTCATTTATTTCAATCTGAGCTTGCTTTGTCTTATACTGAAAGAAAAGAAATCCGACTCAAACGTGTAGCCTTGTTCCCTTCCCTCGGAATCAGCCTTTTAAAGGATGTCAGTGGTGGCATTTCGTCGACACTTTGGATACCGCGTTGCGCAACTCTTCACTATCCTTTGGCATTTCATGACGGATAGGCTTTGTGCGCATATGAGGTCTACACTTTGAAGTCTTGCCGTGAAGTTCAGGCGTTTTTACTTGCTCATTTATGGATGCAGCTGATGGAAGCGGAGCATTTGCTCCCAAGATATCGGCACTGGAGGCGGTTTGATCGCTGTAGCTCAGGTTTTATTGTTCCATAGCTCCCTCGTGTTTACCTCGGTTCTCCTGAACTCGGCTCGTGTTCGCGTCAAGCCTTCGAGACCAGCCACAGTGAGCTAGCAAATAACCGCTGTGATCTTGGCTATGGATGCAGCCAGAATATCGTTTTAAACGGATTTGATAATCGAAACGGTGGTAGTCAACCTTTGTTAATGGATTAAACGTGTGCAAACTAGTTTGATTAATCGCTCTTTAACCGCGGTAATTTCAGCGGTGGAAATGGCTGCCTCAGTAGGAAGGACTTGTATTTTTCAACAGAAAAAGACGTGAGTGCATTTGAAAGCATACTAGAGTGTAGCACTTTTGAAGCTGCTCAGCAAACCACTTGACACTCAAATTGGCAGGTGCTACAGACTGGTACAAAGGCACGATCTGCACCCACCGTGGCAGATGATTGATCGTCAGTCGAACGACGCCAACAACAAGCAGACTTAAAAGAGGCTACAGGTGTGAACTCGACACGCCTAGATTTCACACTTCAAATCGAACAACTTTAACACAATGCACAACCATTATGTTGAGGGGCGGAAAAAAATCACGTCTTCTCTTAAGCGTCCAGGAGAGTATGAAAAGTATTTGTGGAATCTCTTAGTCATGAGCATATTTATCTCGTTGCAACGTGTTTAACAGAACCGATTGAGTACATTTTATGGTACAGAGGTGGCGCTCCTTAGTGTGACGATTTTTCACTTGTCATTGTTCTGTCTACCACCCAATCATTGACCACATCTACGTGATGCATGCTTTTAGGAAACCATGTCAATACTGTGTCCAACGACGCTTAGATCAGGCTCTTGCATTGTCCTCAGATCCAAGCGGTCGATTTTGGTAACAAACCATTCGAAATCCGACCTTAGCAAAGACCCACCATTTGTTATCAGGAGAGAGAGATGGTCAGATCACCATTTTGATTTGAGGTCGGCATGCCATTGACAATTCTTTGCAATGTCCATCCATGTAACAGAGGCAATGTAACGTGGCTTTTACATATGTATCAGCTTGACAGTTTTTTGTGAAGATCATCGAGAAAATTGGCTCTTCCATTGACAGGCAAGCATAGAGTCGGAATACTACCAGCCATCCTTTCCCGCCTTTTATTGTTACCTACTCAGAGCAAAGCTTATTGTTCAATCAGTTAACACGCCACCCACCACACAACTTCATCAACAGGAGGTCAAGGGTGGTGTGTTAATGTGGACGGTAGCTAAGACTCATCGGTTAAAGGCCCATCCAAATGGAGCTGGACGAGGAGTTGCTATCGAATCTAGTCAGGTACGCCAGTATCAGGGAGAACATTCTCCTAAAAACTGCAAAATGGGGTCTTGAGAAGGAGAAGGGAGGGTGGGAAGTAGACGTCACGATGCCCTTCAGCCCTCAACACCTCCCCCTTCATATTTATTTTAAAAGGGGGTAGCTAACACTGTCCTGGCAGTGCCCTCCACACCGGGTGCTTCCACATCGAAGGAGTTGAATAGTCGAAAGTAAGAGTAGGGTAGAGGCGCACGAGTTGAATGGAGGAGAGCTGCATCCCACCATAACTTTCACAATGATTAAAAACACGTTTCAAGGAGAGCAGTCTGAGTCTCGAATTTGTTTCTTGCTTAGCTAATATTTAACGCTAATAAGGAATAAATTAGTTGGCATGACCACAACAAAGCAAAGCAGGATACATTTATGGATGATGGAGCTCAGGCTGTTGACTGCGTTGCCATTATTGGCGTTGGATCGGCAATTAGTAGAGATAAAATCCTTTCAATTCTATTAAGCAGTCGTCAGAACAACAGTTCGCCGTGAAAGAACCATTTTACAATCCTTTACTAGATCACCTCCCAATATACTTCACACGTTTCACTAGTCTTTAAGCAGTTAATATTTTCTATGAAAATTATCATTGAATGAGGGGAATTTACTCACAAACAGCAACGATATGGGCTATTGAATGGATTTCCTTTTCACTAATACACGAAGGTAATCTCAACGGAAGGTCAATCACCATGCCGTCATTCTCGAATCGAAGCAGTTGCCATCCTCTTGTTGTCTGTTTTGACTGTTTTGAAAACTGAGAAATGCGACTGTCCTCCGACTAGGCAAATCGTTTATCCTTAATTCACGTCTGTTCACCTTGACAAATACATTTATGACATACCTGAGCAATAAAGTATTATGATCTGATAAAAACACACCTCTCATTTTGTTAGATCGAGGTGCCACATGGGTAACGTTGATGACCAAATGTTACTACAGCACTTGAATCTCCCTTTCTTGTAATCATTTATGCATCTGGAGTAAGCTTGCATTTGGGTCTGCAATGCCTTGTTACAAGGTGGCGATGCCAGTGCAAAGTCTAAAATAAAAATTTACGCTTCCTTTGGACACTTTGCAAATAAATATGGCAAAATCTTGCAGTGGGATAGAAATATTAGCTGACACTTTTTGCTGGCCAGTTCCGCAATTTGCTGACAGACACGTGAAGGAAGCAAAGATCTCGTTGGTGAGAAGTGGGCAGTAAATACGAATCTTGTAACGAATCGAGCACTATCGGCCTCCGAGAATGGAAATACTCTTGAACACCCATAATTGAGATGCCTGCGTGCCACTTTGACAATTCGTTCAACATTTTGGTTTTGATAATCGGCTACGTAGAGGTCCACCCCCATCCCCAACACTACCACTACCGCCACCCACTGGAGCGCGTCCTATTGAACTGATTTTCTCGTTTCAAAATTATGATGGTTTGAGCAAAAGAACAACAATTAAATCTACCAATATGCTATTTACAATCACCTTTGTTGATTTCCTTCTCTAGTGGACTTTACATTCACGTTATTTATGGCACCACCACGCCACCATGAGGGTATAGGCATCGACGGAGCCCTAGTGAATCACCTACACCCACACACCTGTTATCTCCTCTCTCTCTCTCTCTCCCTCTGCTGTAAACACCTCATTGAACGGAGTCAGGTAAGTCTGTGTTGCAGAGGATGATGCAACGGAAATTAGCTATTACAAGTTTGTAAACAACGATTTGTGGGGGAAGAAATAAACTAGCAAAACAAGGAATTTAACCAATTTTCTTTCCTGCCCTTCCGTTCTTTGCTGTCAGATTTGCAAACAGCGGGTAAATTTAATTTTTACTAACGAAATTCATTCTGCGTTAAAAGATGTGATTACCATGATGATATTTTTTTACACAAGAGAACTTTCACGTGTTCAATCGTGTGTCACCTGTAAACACGGCTGAGGTAATCAGATTCACTAGTGGCATTTAACTTTTCTTTCTACAGGACCACCTAAATCTGGCAATTTACAGATTCCTGAGGCAAAATCGTGAGAATTTTCAGGCTTTTGGGGGAGAGTGAGGATACTGATTAGGGAGGTTTCTTAATGCTTAACTAATAACTACCAATGAGGTGAAGGATAATGCTCGCTTTTTTACTCCGTGTAGACAAAAAAGCGAATGTAGCGCCATTCCGCTTACCATTTTGCCAGCCTTAATCGGAGTTAACCATGCGACAAACTCATGAAATTAAATATGCTTAAAAACATTTGACAAGATAAAAAGTCTATTCAAAGAAGGACCTTATGAGGTTGCATTGTGCCCACCTTCATATAAATCGGATTCTATGCTTTCAGTTCCGCAGGCGTTGTGTCAACCGACGTTTACTTTACCTTTACCATGGCGGAAAATGAAGGCAGAACTTACAAATTTGGCTACTCTAGCCTTGACTGCAAAGAAGGCAAAACACTTAGGCAGAGGGATTGAAGGGTCAAATAACATCGCCCAGAGGTTACGCCACTTAATAGTTGAGGTGCAAAGGTGGCGCCTTAGCCACTCACATAACACGACTGCTATTTGACCGCAAGGCTTAAACCAGAGCAGGCAATGGCATCTGAAGCACCTAACTGTTCTGCCTCTACAAGCGCAGCTTCTGCTGTCAAGCCCACTGGGTATCACAGCGGCGCAAACGTCGTAGCAAATCACTCCAAGGTGGGATGCATCACCGCGGTGACTCACCTCTAACCGCATGGTTTACAAAGTGGGCTGCTTGCCCGGGCAAGCAAAAGTTGCGTTTTCATCGTCCGAGGTCAGTATACTGAACCATTTTGTTAGCAGTTTATTTTATTCATAAAGGAAATGAGTGACTTGAGAGGCACAAAGTCGCCAATCCCTTAACCTCACTAGCGTTTGTGCGCCCAAAAATAGCAAAATGAAAGGTGCGATCGTGGTAACCAGGTCTGGAGGGTGACGCCTTTCAGTCCCGATCAGCAGACTATACACACTACCCTTGAGGACCAAAAGTGCAACACATGTAGCATCACACCTTAAGCTACTTCTAAAACAAATTTGACATCAAGCTAAAAGCCGTCTGCATCAGGGCACTTTCGCTACCAACTTCGATTTCCATATTTTGGCTTGGAATTACGGTAGTTACTCTCGATTTACGATAGTCAGTTGCGCTATATCGTCTCGCTAAATAGTGTGTAAAAGAAGGTGAATGTGATTGCTGAGGATAACTACTACCATAGCCCTCTCTCGACGTAAAACCGAAATAGGTAGAGCCCCTGAGATGTCATGACTGATCAATTTCGTCACCTAGAAGGTGATTCCACACCCTTCAGTCACTTTTTCAGTTTACATACGAGTTGGGTGTAAATAATACAACTTAGAATTTCCGTACTTCTATAGACTGGATCCCACCGAACTTGCAATTGGATGTTCAGTATTCAAGGCTGCCACATAAGGAAGTCTGAGGTGACACAAGGCGAAGGTACGTGGCTGAACTGCCAACGATGGAATATACCGAAGGTCGTTTAAATCAATGCAGGTTTTCAAGTAGACACCAGAGAGGACCTCTGGAAGAACAAATGTAAGTGCGCCTCTCCAAAACTATGAAACTATGGGCACTGTTACTTATTCATAAACCATTAACCTATTAGTACAAGGAAAATAGTTGGAAATTGCTAGCGGAAGGAAGCTACTTAGAAAATCCAATGCAAATTCAAAAGGTGTGCTTTCAAATGCCACAAAAGCAAATCAATTCGCTTATTTTAGATAAGTTACCGTAATACTTAAGATAAAGTGCAACTTGTTTTCAGCTGCTTTATTCTTCAGTCTTTTCAAACAACTGAAAGCAATCACGCGAGCATGATTTTTTCTCACGGAGTTGACTCCGACGACGATCATAGAGGTAAGGAATGTGCACAAACGCCACCTCACCTATCTGTGCTAGTAAGGCTTTGGGTGTTGGTAGCTTGGAGGATTTTCACAACAATTGTTGCTCGGCAGAGCTCAGAAACGTGGTTATCAATACATTTAAAGGAGAACTATAAAAGGGAACAAATACCAAAATTTGAATTTCTGCCGCTTCAATAGAATATTTACTTCCTAGTCTACGAATGGGTAGGCCGTAGAACGTCGCTTTACGACATTCCTCAAAATCATGAGTCAGCTCCTTTGTTCCATCCCATAACTCAACATTAGGCTAGGCTAAGGTACCTACTCTGGGAGTTCGAGCGGAAATCAAAAAAGAGAGGTTCAAATACGCCACACATACACGTTTGTCTCTCATTGAGTGAAGCATAGAGTTTGTTTCTAAACTGAATCCTTGATGCAATGCTGTGCTGAGCTACAACTTTTCATAATTCGAAATCGTAACCTGAATTAGTAGATACGCAATAGATTGCGCACATGTGGGAAAACTCACACTTCTAGCAGTACATGCAACCGCAGACTACTGAAAAATTTGGGCCAGGTCATGCCGTTACAACTCCATAGTACTACCATATCGTCTTTCGGGGTAAGTAGAAGTCTGCATACATCCTGACGCCTCCTCCTCTTCTTTTTGCTGTTCTCTAGACAGCATAATAATCTTTTTACTACCTTCTGGAGGCAGCATATCGACCGCTCCAAACAGGATCTCATACTGTCGATACAGAAAATCGTATTCTTTTTCCAACTTCTCAATTGCTCTTCGGTAATCCGTCACACAGTCTCGATAATCGCAATAGAGGCACAGGCACACTTTGTAGGCATATGTGAATGGCCACAGTCGGACCCAAAGGGAGCGTCCCTCAAAATGTTGCGCGAGTCGCTTTCGGATAACGTCTAACCTCATTTTCGCTTCTTCATTGTCTTCCGTGTCATGGGATTCAAACGGCAACTTTTCCCCATATGCAGAAGAGTACCCAACAGGAGTGATCCTGATACGGTCTGGATCAAGGAGGGTTGACAAACTGCTCATCGTTGGAGGGGGTTCATGCAGAGAAAACAAGACTCTTTCAGGCTCATCTCCTTCCCTCTCCCTATCCTTCAGAACTGGCCTTACCCACGTGGCTCGAAAAAGGCTCGTGAAATCTTGATGGACAGCTCTGTACTCCAAATATAGCCGATCAAATGCAGAGATAAAGGCTTGAAGGTACTCGGCGAAGGAACAAGTTACTCCACAGGCACATGGAAAGGGGACCTTCTTATTCCGGTCCATAGCTCGCTTATATTCACGTTCCTCTTTTAGGACCTCCGCAATTACGTTCCATACAGCTTGACAATAGTACTCATTTGATTGCAGATCAACGCAGTTATATTTAAATCGATTTGTCAGTTTTGATATCTAAATTTGAAAACACAGAAAAATAAATCACTTATGCGCATTACTAGCATATTATCAGGATCAAAGAGCGAAAGACGACGGTGGCCGAATAAAGGAAAGAAGCGTCGGGATGAAAAACGCTTTCTTTAAGCGATAAGAGCTTTACAGACATGGGGCAAGTTGAAGAAGAGGATGGAAGTAAAATCTTCATTAGTTATGCTGCACAGACCTTAAAAGACTGCTCAAAATTCCACTACCTCGCTAATCATCTGAAAAGAGGTCTAAGGGAAAGCTACAGATCCTAAATGGTACAACGCAAGGTATGAGAGAAGAGCGCGCAAACCGTAACTGTGCCGAAGGTCATCAAACATGCTAAAATTTGCATAAAAGTTCGGCTAATCTCTACTACAAATCCAATGGATAGTTGAGCCAGAAATTCTAACTACAGACAATTATTAATGGCAGCATAAACAGCAGTAAAAATAATATTGGGTTGATGTAACACAAAGAACAAATGGCAAGAGACCAGAAATTCTGTGTTCGAGGGAAACTTAAAAGAGCTAAATAACATTGTAATGCCCTTATCATAATCTATATAAAGGTGATAAGAGCTTCTGAGCTTTAGCTAGTTATGAAAGACTGTTTTGTTTGAATAGGTCAGATAAATAGAATATTCGTGTAGGTCTGCTCTCGGCGTGCGCCATTCTGCATTTGGAAATGTTCCGCTATCTTGCTGTTATCAACCAGAAGAGTATCGTAAGCTTCCTCTTCGTTGCTTTTATGCTGTTCAGTCTTCAATTCTAAAGTGTGCTTCTGGAGGCTTCTCGTCGGCTCCCAAGGGTCACGTTATTGGTATTGACCTTGGGACGACTAACTCATGCGTTGCCGTGATGGAAGGGAAAACGCCGAAAATTCTGGAAAATGCTGAGGGTGCCCGCACCACACCCTCTGTTGTTGCATTTACATCCGAGGGTGAAAGGTTGGTTGGTGCTCCAGCCAAGCGTCAGGCTGTAACAAATTCCAAAAATACTCTTTACGCCACCAAACGTCTGATTGGTCGCCGGTACGATGATCCAGAGGTACAAAAAGAAAAGAAGAACGCCTCATTCTCCATTATCAGGGCATCGAATGGCGATGCTTGGGTTGAGGCTCAAGGGAAGGCGTATTCACCTAGTCAAGTCGGTGCATTTGTTTTGATGAAGATGAAGGAGACTGCTGGTAGGAACTCTTCTTCCCTCATTTTTTTAGAGAATTACCTGGGTTCAAAGGTTAATAATGCGGTCATCACTGTTCCCGCGTATTTCAATGATTCCCAGCGTCAGGCCACCAAGGACGCTGGTCAAATTGCTGGGTTAAATGTTCTTCGTGTCATAAATGAGCCAACTGCGGCTGCTCTTGCTTATGGCCTGGATCGTGTCGAGGATAAGACGTGAGAATGGAAAACATGTCATTGTTGTTTAGGATTGCGGTTTATGATTTAGGTGGTGGTACATTTGATATTTCACTCTTGGAAATCCAAAAAGGTGTTTTTGAAGTCAAGTCGACTAACGGTGATACCTTCCTCGGCGGTGAGGATTTCGACCAGGTTCTCCTCAATTATCTCGTTGGCGAATTTAAGAAGGAGCAAGGAATTGATGTCACTAAGGATCCGATGGCTCTGCAACGCGTTAGGGAGGCGGCTGAGAAGGCCAAGGTCGAGTTGTCATCTTCCCTTCAAACTGATATCAACCTGCCTTATCTTACTATGGATCACACCGGTCCCAAGCATATGAACGTTAAGCTGTCGCGTTCCAAATTTGAATCTCTCGTCGAGTCCCTCATTAAAAGGACGGTTGGTCCGTGCGAAAAGGCCATGAAGGATGCTGGCGTCAAGGCCTCTGACGTTGGTGACGTAATACTCGTCGGAGGCATGTCTCGAATGCCCAAAGTGCAGGAAACTGTTCGGAAAATCTTTGGTAGGACTCCAAGCAAGAACGTGAACCCTGACGAGGCGGTCGCCCTGGGTGCTGCCATTCAGGTAGTGGTCTGTCTTCTGGCTGCAAGAATTCTCTACTTGCACTAATTAACCTAAATTCTTTAGGGTGGTGTATTGGCTGGTGATGTCACTGACGTGCTGCTTCTCGACGTGACTCCTCTTTCTCTTGGCATCGAAACACTGGGTGGTGTTTTTACCAAACTTATTAACCGTAACACAACGATCCCAACAAAGAAATCTCAGGTTTTTTCAACAGCTGCTGATGGTCAGACTCAGGTAGAGATCAAAGTCTTCCAGGGTGAGCGGGAGATGGCTGCCGACAACAAGTTGCTGGGTCGCTTCTCTCTCGTCGGTATTCCTCCTGCTCCACGTGGTGTGCCACAGATCGAAGTTACTTTCGATATCGACGCAAACGGGATTGTTAACGTATCGGCAAGGGACAAAGGTACCGGCAAAGAGCAGCAAATTGTGATCCAATCCAGCGGCGGTTTGAGTAAGGATGAGATAGAGAACATGGTTCGAAATGCTGAACAGTATGCTGCTGCTGATAAAGAGCGTCGTGATCTGGTTGAAGCCATCAATCATGCTGAGAGTATCGCTCATGACACTGAAAGCAAGATGGAGGAGTACAAGGACCATTTACCTCAAGAGGAGCGTGATAAACTAGCCAAGTTAATTGCTGATCTACGCGGAACTCTCAGTAATAAGGATAGCCTAACGGTTGATGCACTGAAGAAGGCCACGGACGAGTTGCAACAGTCGTCTTTGAAGCTTTTTGAGATAGCATACAAAAAGATGGCTGACAGTCGCTCGAGTAGCAGTGACAGTAAGGAGAAGGATCAGCAGTAGTTTGGATCGCAAACCTAGTGTTGGATGTTCTCCTCGTACGGATCATCCCTTCTTGTGACGTGGTAATCAAGCCCTTATTTCCAGTAACCGGGTAGTTGGACTGTGTGATTGTATTTGTAAATAGTTATTTTAAGCAAAACTCGTCATTCCCACAATAGTTCGCTTTCTCTTTTGAGAGTTTTTTGGGTGCTCTGCATGCCTAGTGTCCAGCCTATCAGTTGATTGTATGCTAGTAGAGGTGTCAATGTACGTGGATAGTATGAGGGTTGAAAGCCCTAGCCCTCTAGTCATCTCTATCTTGGACATGTGGTGGCTGCACTACTGCTCCCAGAACAGTTGGTGTTGTGGGGTGGTGCCGTGACTTGGCTGATAATTATCTGGTTGGGAAGCTCATGGTAGTTAGTCTACTGTGGAGGATCATCATCCTTCGTTCGACTTCAGTTCGAATGTTGTGTTGCAGTTGGCTTGTTTGTTTCGATGAAGCTGGCTTTAAATTGGTATCTTCAATACTAGGTGGCGGGCAAGGTAGCGAGTGGGATATTGTGGGCTAAAGCTTGGGGGAAAATTTTACTACCAGGTAGGTCTTTTGAAATCGCTATTTGTGGACAATAGGCGTGCTTGGCACATCGACCAAGTTTTCAGAATGAAGACATCAGGAAATACCGCAAGTCGCCTTACCTGTTGTTTTAGCCATCCGAGCATTTTGAATTTGATTCATCGAATAATGCTGCACATTGGATATTCTTAAATTTTATCGATTTTCAATCCGTTTTCGAATCCACTTACGTGTGCATTCTCACCACTGCGTTGCAAATAGGGTTACCAGTGGATTACATTACTTAGCATAAAGTTAATTCAGCCTTCAGAGGTGTTGAAGCATTTACAATAACCTTATTCATGTCGTTGTGGAGACCTGGCATTTTGCTTGTACCACATACGAATGCCTACTAAATCATCCTTCCAAAGAGGCTGAAATGAAGGACAAGAAGGGTGGGGAGGAGGGCGCAACACTGTTGTCTTAAGAGAAGTGGCAGGAGGCCACACTTATCTGCCCTCATCTTATTCCAAATCATCACGCAGAATAATGCGTCTAGAAATGCTTACCGCCTGAGGGCAACCACAAAAAATGCATCCAGCGAATGGGAGCATCCTTGACTGTGGGAAGTTGATGCCGGATATCTATCAGGGCGCACTTTCCTCCACCAGGTTCGTTCGGCACTACAGTCAGGATGACTGGACAGAACACGACCACTAGTTTTTTTACTTGGAGACCTTCGGTCCTTTCATCAGAGTAAGGGTTGAGACCTGTAGCTTACCCCATAATCTCTCCTAACTCTTAAAGCAAATGCTTGTTAGAATCACCTTTTGGGGGGCAAGCGGAAGAGTCAGACACTAAGAATACAAACTGAGGTGCACAACCAAAAAGGATGAAGGTTGCACAGTAGGGCAAAGGGTAGGAACTCACGAAACTGACTTTGGATGCATAGGGAAAATAGGGCAGCTAGAGAAAAAAGGAAAAGGTTCAATAAGTTGGCAGAGACTTAGCTAAGATGATATCCACCCAGAAAAAAACTTAAAAGCAGAATGATGGGAGCTAAAATGCAAAAGATAGGTAGAAACTTGCATTGGCTTGTAAAAAGACTGGATTGGATGTTATTGCAACTCTCGCCTTCCTCTATGCATCGACCTAACGCTCCTCCTGATTAACCACGAACAACCTCTCCAGTCATCCCCTCTGTTTGCAACCAAAACGATCTCCGACTGCAAGATAAATTCGCTTGATGCAGAGACCAATCCGGTTCAGTAACCTGTGGGATGTGCTGGTCATGATGGGTTGGTTTTCCCCCTCTGCTTAATTATCTTTCCAATGTCATCAGTGCAGTACCCAACTTCATCTTTGGAGATGAATGAAGACAATGTATTGGGTACCTATGGAGTCACAGTGGTGGAGTCGCAAATGCCTTCGAAACTCAAGGCGAAGAAGTAGGAACTTATTCTGTGCATAATAATTGCACAATTCAGTTGTGAAATGGAGATGAGGCTCAAGATAAACAGTGGTACAAAGCAAATAACCAGAAGAGATTAAATTGGTCATAAGTTAGCAAACAAATTTAAGACAAAAAAGGTTGAAATCGGCTTTCCAAGTTTATGAAGTGCCAGAGAAATGTGTTTTGGTTTTGTCTTAATTAGGGTACTCGCAAAAACTCATCTTGTTAATTTCAAGGGTGCCTAAGGTCCAGCTTAATCAGAACTAAAGTGATTTTCAATTGAAGCTTGTACCTGTGACCTCAGATGACCTCCCTCAATAACAGCTTGAAAAAACAGACTGATGAGAAGACCAGAACAACAGACGTGACTTGAAAAAGATGGCTTCCAACCCAGGGAGCGTACAAAAGGACTGGCCTTGGTATTCAAACTTAAATGGTCAGCAAAAGTATATACAAGAAGTTTGTAATGCTTTGGGCAAAGGTTACTATTAAAAAATGCTCTTAGAATCTGGTGCGTTGTTTAAATTTTGGTTCTGGTGAAGACATTACTTAATCCAGCCCGCCTCTGCGCCCTGCTAGTGACACCAACCTCCACTTTACGCCAAATACACTCAAATTTAATGTGGCTTCTTGTGTTCAGAAAGTAGCAGAAATACACAATAGGGTGGGACTAACGAAATTATCGTTACTATCCTCTAAGTAACGTGGCTCGACCTAGGACTTACAGGTTGTAGGTGTTTGAGGAGAAGCAGCAGAGAACTGTTCTCGTACATCCATATCCACCTGTTCCATCGTAAAACACTTGTGAGAAGCTCAGCTCAAATAAATCCGCAAAAGAGGACCTTAAACTATTGAAATTTGCACTTTTTCGGTGACACTCTTATAACCGAGTTATTTAGAGCAGTCTAAAAGCGAAGCTTAAAATATGGTGCTAAAGACGACTTCAGCAATCCACAAGGGCAAGATTACCAACCGGGAAAATCTATTTTCCAACAGACACCGCTGTCTTATGGACACCCTACATTTGCATCGCTAAACTTTGCCAATTAATCGACTGAACAGTACGAACAAGTCGACAAGAAACGGTTCGATCGGATGATTCACTGGTTCAATGCATGTAGATATCCCATAATCGGGTACCCTTGACTGGAAAGTCGAAAGCCCTCTTTTCGCGACAAGAAGTTTACAATCCAACCAGCAGACAAGACTGCAAGGGTATCCTACTTTTTAGTGAAGAAATCCGAGATTAATAAGCGCATTTTGGCGTTATGCACCGGCAATCGTGAGCTATACATGCGTAGAAGGAAGTCTGACTATCAAAGTGCAGTAGATAAAGATACAGGCTTAAAGGGACGTGAATTGAAGGAGGTAAATCTACCTTGATGTTCGAAAATGTCTAATACCTTCGCAACGAAAGGGTCGAGACTGACGTTTGCATTTGGTTTCACCTTATTCCCGTGTTTCACAGACAAGCTATTAACAACTGAAGCGACACCGCCGTGAACCATCTAGAGAAGTTTCTTGTCTAAATTTCCCATACAAAATCTGTGTTTGAGTGTCGGAAATGACACTACGGTTCTCCTTACATATGGGACAGTGGTTCATCCCATTTTCCTTGTAACATATCTGTTTTGGACCAGAGTTCCACTGTCTATTCCTGGAAGCAATTGATGGTCAAGAGGTGTATGCGGCCCTGAAGCTGGTTGTCAGACCGAATGTAACTCCAGATTCGGTTGAGGCTGCCGAGAAGACCAGGTATGGTTCTTCACTCTCGTGTTGCCTGTCGACTGGCGCGGTTGGCCCGTGGGTGCTTTCTTGTAGTACCGAATATATTGTGATGGCTGGCGCGGGAGGTGTACGAAAAGGGAATGCCAAGGACGTCGCTCAAAAGGCGAGATGGGCAGTGTAATGCTTTGTTTATGTGGCTACTTGACGTTTGGCGGTCGCTTTAGAATTTGTCTGGCCTCTGTACACGTGGGCTGACCTTCGGGCCACGCTCAGACTCCATTTGCCCTGTCGTCTTCGCAATACATGTATTCAACCTCACTTATGCTTTCTTCCACTCTATGGGAAGACTAGGGACACTACAACCTCGTTCACACGACAGCAGTCTCAAAGACATTTACCCGTCGAACTTCAATCTAGACAGTACTTGGCCACTAAGTTGCAAGCTTACAGGTGCCTTGACCTGTTGCTCACGATCTGTGTCGCTTGAAATGTCACTCCCCTAGAGAGTACAGTAAACCTTTTGCTTTGCCGATACACATACATTCAGAAAGCAGAAAGCAGAACTGAATACATTTATTCATTGTAAAGAGGAGAGGTTGGGATTTGGATTGACCCAAAGGCCAGCCCGAGCACACAAGCGCAAAGTAAACATCTAAAAGACCGCTAGGCATGCGGTTAGCTATACAACCAAACTATTATCAGAGTAATTACAGATATCATGTTGGTTTTACCATTACGCTAAGACTCAGGCGACTTTTTAATACCATGGATATGAGACTCTGAGTCATTCTTGAAGCTGAAAGATTTTACATTAGGACGGGTGCACAAATGGATATGGAGACCACAAGCGATGGAGGTACAGTGCTTTGTTTGCGCGACATAAAGATACAGTCCACCTTAATGCCTTTCTCTACTTAGTCCGATGCCTTATGACACCGCAGACTTATCTAGATAAGCACACTAGTCTTCCTATAAGTGTCTGTGGGATCAAAACTACTTTATGTAAAAATATTCAATTTCTTACGGGTCAGTTCTTCTATTTTAGACTTTTGATCTGTTTTTAACATCATATCGCTATTTTGCATTTGTCTCTTAGGCCTAACTGTTGCATTGTAATAGGAATCGTTTTCCAATTTGAGGCATTTTTTATGCTATCCAATTGTTTCGACCTTGAAGATTTGTTTGAGTCAACCAGTCAGCCCTTTGCTGCAGTTGTCGCAATTTCAACTGATCTTGGGTTCATCACTGATGTCCACACAAGTTCCTCAGGTAATGTTTCGCCTGTATGGCCTTATTTAACACGAAAAATTGATTTTTTAGAAAATTACTGTAGAAACTAAATCATGTGGCCCTCTTACTGCATACCTACACGTAAGTTCAGTTTTCTCATTATTTATTCTATATAGGGAGGTCGTGTAGGGAAAGATGTTGCTGCTCTTACAGTCCATGACCTTGGATGCAATCGTAAGATATGCTGTGCCAGTCATTATGCTTCTAAGACAAGGAATTTTATGAATTTGTAAATAATGAACACATGAGCCAGCTTACGCAACGCGTATTTTGGATTCATGTTGAAGTACCCGGGCAAGGAGACAATATGCCTGATCTCCCATCTGAGTAGGAACTGTACTTTTTGAAATTATTTTTGGGTTGCTTGTTAATTGTTTCAACAATGCATTTTTAAGAGTGTGATTTTACTTATTGATTTTTAAATTGTCCTCACTCCTACCTGAATGTAACGTAGTGGTTTGCATGAACAGTTATTTAGTTCTTAATTTTATGCACTTTTTACTCGTTAGTTGGAAGTTCCCCACAATGCAGAAAATCGCGGAAGGTATCTCCGAACTTTGTGACAGCCTTGAATTGAAACATGTGGTTGTTATTGGCGATGGTGCTGGTGCAAATATTGTTGCTCGGGTGGCCGTAATTTTCTTTTAAATCTGTATAAGTTTTCTGTAGATGGCTCGTGAGGATATTTGCCTTGGAGCTATTCTCATTCACTGCACCGGAACAACCGCTGGATTTATGGAGTCGCTTAGAGACCGCGTAAGAGGCTGCTTTCATTTAGGGCTATTTTCTACTACACTTCACTTGATTCACTTTCAATTGTTATCGCTATCTTCTCTTTTGTCCTCATGGTGTTTTAACCTCCTAGGTAAACTCATGGAAATTAAATTCAATCGGTATGCATCCGAGTGTAGAAAACTATCTGGTGCTTCATCGTTTTGGTGTGGTAAGTACAAGAGAAACTAAAGAACATTATTGGTAAGCCTTTCCTATTACATACTCTTTTGCATTTTCAGCAAGACCCTAGCGTAAGTCGACATTCAGCGCATGGATGTAGATGCCTGATGAAGTTATTTACCCAAAATGGAAACTTGTCTATTTCTTATTAAGTTTGTAACAGCTACAACTGAAGCCGAATTATGGGGAGCTATCAAGAATTTCCTTCAGTCCCTCCGTGAGAATATCAATCCTAAAAATCTCAATAAGTTTATCCAAGCCTTCATGGTGTAAGTTTCTATTACCAAACCAAGAAAATTCAATATTATGGCCAGATGCACACGTGTATTTGAGTTTAAATGTTATTTTAACCTTTCTTTAAGCGAACTTTTTATTTTAAAGGCGAACAAATATTACTGACTCAATTGGGAACTTGAAGTATGTTCATTAATCACGCGTTTTGTTTGCCTTTAAAATCTATCTTCAAAAGAAGTCGATTTTTGCATTGGAAGTAGCATTCTATTTTCATTCTTGCTTTTTTTAAAAAGGTGCCCAGTCCTCTTTATTACGGGCTCAGTTGCCTCCTTCAACCATACTGTTTACACGCTTTACAATGCCCTTATGAACGCTCTAAAGGATCAGCCAGCTCGTAAGGCCAACGTTGAGCTTCTTGAGATTGATGGCGTGGCCAATGTCATGCGGGAAAGTGTAAGTAGCCAGTTCTCTTTTCTCATCGCTTCATTTTTATCATCAACACATGGTGTAATAGACGCTAAGCTCTTCCTACCACTCTGTAACTTTTGCCTTAAGGGAGATAACTCGCATTCAAAAATACCACCCGACGAATTATTGTCATCTACTTTTACCGTCGATTTTCGTGGAGACGCAGGAAATTTGTCGTAAAAGCCATAGCTGTCTTGAATCGATGCGTGATGAACTTAGTGCGGTGATGATGCTATTATCTAAATGCACACTTCCCTCCAGTATTTAATGTCTTCTTTTATGAGAAATATCCGCAAGATGCCTCAAAATTATATTATTGTCAGTTCCTCGTTGCACTACAACGAGTGAATGCAGGTAAACCAGTTAGCTTGCAGGTCTGTCGGCTGGGAACAGACGAAAATGGGTTACGTACCTCGAGCGTCTGCGTCTTTATCATTTCTCATCACCATGAAGCTGTCGTACTTCTGCGTCTTGATCTCCAAGACCCAAGATTACTTCTGTCCATTTTAGTCTCTACCTTAAGAAAAAACTTCAAGGGTTTGGAAACGATTGATCCAAAAAACATTTTTCATAAAATCAAGGAGAATGAGAACCTAACACCCTGTTCAATTGTTTTAGCCAGAGAAAGTTGCTGAGTCAGTACAGAACTTCATGCAAGGATTGGGTGTAGGTAAGCTTTACTTTCACCTGCTTCGTACGTTAAAATTCTTGTTCGATTTTACGAGTTGAGAGTAAATTGTCTTTTGAGTAAGGCATGCAGAATTGTCAAGATTACTGATTGGTTGATTGAAATTTTGGAGAATGAGAGTTAGCTGTTGCAGATTGCCTCGCTACCTACGTGATTCTCATTAAGACCTCATATAAAGCTACATAAACCTGAAAAAAGTACGTTGAAAGATACACCTTCGGGAATTCCTCCTTAATCCAAGTGGATACGAATGGTGGCGGCGCTCTGTTTTTGTCACTCTCTCTCAGCTACAAATCTAAAGAGCTCAATATAGAGGGACAAGAATCTTGCAGCTCTTTGTTCTTCCCATCCAGTTAGCGTTCCAAGACGCCAATTTGCGTTCGCTAAAGCAGTTTGAAGTCACAATGATGAATAGAGCTAGCAACAGGGCGCTTTTAGTGCTTCGGTGCAGCATTGAGGGTCTAGTTGGGGTTTACAACCACTCTGCTGTGTTAACCATAAAGATTGAGGTTGGAGGTGGTTGTTGTGGACGGCTAAACTTTTAATGTTTTCAAATTGTTTTCTAAACGAGGAAACAGAAAATATTATCGATACTTTTCATACTGGGAGCTTGAGTTGATGGGGGTAAAAATACGCAAAGCTTGAGGAATTGCATTTTTCACATACTAATAGAAAAGCGTTGTTGAAATGTCAGTCATTGAAAACTCATAAGTGCGCTCAGTGGTGTAGTTTGAGAAGTTCGTTTGACTTCGAAATTTCACAAACAAACCACTAAATTGGGTTTTTTCCCGTCCCTCAGCTGGTGGCGCAGTCAACCGGCGCCTAAGCTCAACAGGAAACGTTCCAAGGATTCGGAACCGTTCTGCATCCATGGATGAGTATGACCAGCCTGTTGGAGTGAAGAATCTTCTCTTTGACAACACGCGGCGCTATTCCAAGGCCACTGACATACCGGGCATCACAGAGGTGGGAGATCACTAATACACAAGCATATGCGGCCCCCTTTGGTTACAGAACAGCTCAATCCTCAACTAATCATTCCCTCCTATTTTCCAATTCCCACCACCACTGCCTCGCGGCCTCCTTTTGATCAGCTCTAGGACCACAAACCACCTTAAGTCACACACTTACACAAACGCAGACTCAAGGCACGGCGAGCCGGTCGACCAGACCTTTCTTTTCTGATTTCTTACAGCATTTTTTTGGGTAGAGTTATTTCCCGCCCCTCAATTGCTTAGTCTGATTGAGTAAAGTCTTCCATGCCAAGAATGTCTCACCTCTGCTTTTAGTCTTTAGCAGAAAAAAATAAGTTTGATAGTTTTTCTTGGACTGGAGAGTAAAGCTTTAGTTGCTGAAGTTCAAAATTGTCTATCACAACTCTTAAATCAACCGCTAATCAACTTGATAAGGGGGAAATTTGGTTCGGAATATTGGCAGAAATTCGGTGTATCAACACACAAGACCATGAATACTGGCCACTGAATCGCATCGCTGGGAACACGAACCTTGGAGGTTCGTGAGAATTCCAATTGTAATCGTACACAATTGCTGTCTTTTGGTGCCGTAAAATGTGCAGATGATCCATTATGAGGAATTACATGGCATAACTTTATTGAGTCCATAAAGAATGAGAGGTGGAGAGGATAGGAAGAATAGTTTTTAAATTTCTCTTCTATACACCAAGGCAAAAGATGAAGTATGGATGTAATTCTATGCACTTCATTGGACTCGGCACCACCCTGCCATTAAACTACCACAAATTCCACAAAACAACTGTCAAGTTGTATGAGCCTGAAGAAGTGGAAGGTATATGTGCTCTTAAAAACAATGTCCAAATAAGTTGTGTCCGAATTTATGCACATTTTCCTTACAATCGTTAAAACTGTTTCATTGAAAGTAGGAGCAGAAGTTGCTATTATACCGATGCGAGATGCCGAGTACGGCTGTCTTCTGCCCCAATCTATCCGTCAACTGGCAGCTTGCAGGTGCCCTGCGCTGGTTGACCAAATCCGATCCCCTGCCTGCTTACGTGCGGGATCGGCTTATCGGCCTTTGAGGGGTGTCGCGAGCCATGCTTATCTCAAAAGCGTTCCTCCTTGCTTCGGCTTTAAGGCTTTTGCTACCGCTTTAAGTTAGCTAATTTGAACACGGAACGCAATTGTTGTCTACCTTCATCTCTTGCAGCTCCTCAGACTGAATTCTATCCATCAAGTTTCTTTTCATAGCTTTGCCCAAATGGAGTGAAAAGGAGGCTTGCACTGAGGAAGCCTCACCTCACGAATAGTGTTTCCGATCTCTGAGGGAAAGTCGGCCTATTATCTCTTCGCAGCAAGACGCAAGGATGATAGGATTCTCTCATCCCCAAAATGTTTGCTCTCAACAGCTAAGGAAATATGCACACCTTTACTGCCCTTCATATGCGTCCTTTGGGTGTTGCAGGCACTGTTAAGAGATGTTAAAGATGCTGAAACCCTGCTTTCCTCGACAAATACTTCCGTCGTCATGTTTTCAGCAGCGTAGACGCTCGCCAGTGCAACCAAACAGTCTGTTTACACTGTGTTTTCTTGGCAGTTTGGCAATAATCTCGGCTTCATGGCCTAATTTAAGGTAGAGATTCGACTTCCTCTTGACTTCGTGATTTAGCAAATCCAAGCATCTCTCACAGACTCGGGAGGATGTTATTTATTGCCATTTCGATTGGGAGATGACTTGACGAATGTTGATTTTTTGTGATGTTGATGCAAAATAAATTAAGGATGCTTTGAAACCTCTAATTTCGCTTTAATGGCATACGATTACCGCCTCTAGGGTTTCAAACTCATCATTTTTTCAGAGCAAAAGTTGAATTCTGTGTTATGTTGACAATTCCTTAATCACACAAAATCCATCAAGTCAACCTTTTGGTGTTTTGGATCGCCGTGTAAGTTAAAGGTTATTTGTAATTCAACTCCTCGTTCCTGTGTGCGATTTCCACTTTGTTCTAAACCTCACCCCTCACCCCTCCCCCTCCTGCCTGCCACAGATGTAGCTGAAACCTGTCACTTGGTCTACCACTTTTCAAACATGGAAGTACACTCTTCCGACCCAATGTCATCCAACTCATGACTGGTGTTTGTTGTGCCCAGAACTCAAAGGTCACTCCACAAACCTCAACCATAAATAGGCCACTGCTCTGTTTCGCCGCCTATGTTGTGCCCGTGAAATGAAAAGCAATGAAGCGGTGACTTTTGTTTCCACTGTGTGAACAAGTAAACACCTTTCATTGGGGCTAATTAAAAAATGGTGAAGATTTTAAAATAAGGCAAAGTGATTTGTCTCCTTATGGAAGAAAAGGTTGTTGTTGAATGAAAGTAAACCAGCGATTCACACCCATAAAATTATCTCCATATAATTCTCTTTACCCACTGTTGGCATTATCAGAATTTGAAAGCCTCCAATTTGGCGATTGTTGGAGAAGGAGACTTTCCAACATGGCCTGAGGTAAAAGCAATTATTTTGTCGGGGGCAGGACTTAACATAGTTTTTTTGGGCAAGACTTTGTGCTAATTTCTTCTTGCCAATTTGTTTTCTTATCTTAGTTGCCTAGGCGTGCCAATCTATACTGAATGCGGTTGCGTCGATGGCTCATGACAACATCGGCTGTACCTTCGGTGGAAAATAGCACCTCTAAGGAAATGGCAACAGGTTGGTTGCCAGATGTGGACGCCATTTTCAAGCCATCATCGGCATCAACTGCCCTTCTGCTGATATGCTAACGTTTACTAGTCCATAGTAGAATTCAGCATTTTGGTGTAGGAAATATGGTTTGCTCTCATCATTTTAAGATCAGTAAAATTCCTGGTAGTCAAACAAACCCACTATTGGCTGGGTGGAATTTGTGTTATTGAAACAGACTGCCTGAAGCGGTGTGGACCACTGACATGCGGCGGAGACGAAGTCTCATGTGTTAGGACAAAGGACAATAGCACTACAGTAAGCAGCACGCACAAAAATTGACGTAGAAGGAGTTTTTTCACTTTGATACAACATTTTAAACTGGGTGAACAGGGAGCGTGAGATATGTTAATGCTCTTTTTTTCCCCATTTTTAAGCATGTCAACAAGGTAGTTGTTGGTAAATGGAGGAAATAAAACATTCCGTCACAAATACCATCACCTCCGCCTTCAAATTTCAAAGTTGCCTGATTTAAGCGTGAAGCAAATCCATTGTTAAAGGCGTCATCAAGGATAGCGTACTTTTCATGATCCTCACAAGTGCACCTCACAGAACTTCAGTGACATTTGACCCCACAGTGAGCGTGATTTGAATTCTTTAATCCTCTGCTTTGGTCGGTGGATTATTGCTTTGACTCCAGTCCGGACACTTCAAAGCAGGTGACTTCAGGCAATGGAAAGTTGATTTTGTAACACAGCTGTCTAGCTTCACTGGCTGTGTATCACATTTCATGGTGACAGTTATATGAGGCCATCTGAGTGATTTCGATGAGACGCCTTTTGAATTTGATGCTGATTATGGGAGTAATGAATTTCGAGGGCGCTTGATGACCAGCATTGGAAAGAACTCGCGTTCTCGGTTACACTTGTTGTTGTCAAGTGAGCACCACATAAAGATGCACACAGCACCAAAAAGTGAGACGAATCAAAGAAGGAAACAAATGTATCGCCTAGGTGGCATGGGAACCGTTGCTTCAAAACAAAATTAACAGGCGGTCAAGAGGGTAAAATGACTCTGGCGCACTTGGCAGTCACGATGTGCACTAACTTGTGTAGGTGTGTCAAAAACGATCACTCGTATGTATTATGGTGCATAATCAACCTTGGTCTACCGGTTTCATGCGTCCCATAATTCAGTCTGCCAACCTTTACCTCTCTCCACTACCCGAACTAAACGCCCACCTCGTCCATGCGATGTATGTGGTTTTATACTTGACTGTTTTGGGTTTTTGAGTTTGGTCAGGATTTCACGATGCATAACTCTCGCAGGGGCCTCTTTGGGGGAAACAAAATTAACTACTAAGAAATGGTTAAACTGCATTCTCTTCTCATGACATCCATCATAGGAAACTTTCATCACTTTGACAGAGAAATCGTTTCCTTGATGCGAGCTGAAAAGGGTATCTGTGTTTCCATCAAATCGGGAGCTTGTAGGTAGACGTACAAACAACACATTCCTACGCTACTTCATGCAAAGGACACGAAAAGATAATGCGTACTCCCACAGCCCCTTGGCGAAGGTTGTAGACGACACTGAAATGGTTGATCTTTACTACACCATAATACATTTACAAATACCAGCAAATTGGAGACACCACAATTACTTCTGTTTAGTGCATGGCATAGCTTGTTTACTAACTAAATGATTAATTCATCTACTTGCAACAGTTGTCCACTTTCCGCCTTTTTATGGAACATCGCGTTGGGTTTGCCCAAACACTCGTCCTACTACGCACCACTGCATTCACATAAAACCCTGTTGGGTGTGTTTATGAAGGACTGTGTACGAAATTGTTTACATGTTGAAGGTCAAAAATTGCCGGTAAGATTTATTTACTTAAAGAAAAACAAAGATGTAGAATGAAAAGATTCGTTTGCAGGATTTGCGTCATCGGTCATTCCGCTGAAGGTTGAGGCAAAGCTGCAGATGCTCAGGAGACTAGCGCCCGCACTTCGTCTGTTCACACCTTTCCTGTGCTTTGCTCCCCACTGGTCAAACACAACACTCAAGCACCCACGTTCCAACTCTGCTGCAAGCCAACAAGAGGCAACGATACACACGAGGCTGTCACATTCGCCACATCTCAATGCTCGCATAAGGGAACGCGGCCCGCTGTCACTGAAACGAGTTTGGAGTCACCTCAACCGGTTGGTACCAGTCATGACCCCAAGCATAACATGATGGAGGTGGTTACAACACCACCTGGTGCAGCACCTCTTGAACGCCTCATCAGGCTGCAAATTGCAATGCTCATTTATGTTCTTACGTGTTTGAGTGTCGCCTCTGAGGACGAAGTGCAACTGCGGATCCATGTTGGCATGTCGACGCATCGGCATTGGTGGAGGCAAGTGCATCCACGCCTCGTTGATGTTGTGTGGCTAAAAGTGAGAGTGAAATTTTGCACTTTAGTTCTTTGAAACTCTCCCAAATAGATGCAACAATTCATTAACCGCCGATACGGTAGCGAAATCGCTTTGCCTAGCTCAAGTCCCCATAAGTCATATATGAATTAAATTTATCAAGACTACAAACAAACGCTTTAATGGCTTAATTTGACTTGACCAGCCATTTTATTGTGGACTGGAGTTCGGTCCGTTGGAGAGCTCTAAGCGCGCTCCTCACCCTTGCTGCTTGTACCGCCCGTCATTCTTAAATGTTTCAATGGCCTCGTGATTAAGCAATTTGTGGATACAGTGTCATTGAAAGTTTATTTTTTTTATTTACGCTTAGTTACAGGAGCGTGTGACCCGAATGCCCGAGCCACGAAGCCCATTTTCACCATAAAGTGCGTAACTAAATAAACCTAACCTGCACTTTCACGTGCGATGCAATTAATGTTAGCTTTTGCAATTTATGTTGCCTTGGTGTGTAAAAATGCACAATAAGTTTTCAGTAGATGTGAAATATAGTCTGTGTACAACGGTGGAATGGAGCGTCACATAAAGCGATGGTCAATAGTGGACAAATGTAACTTGGAAGGAAAAGTGTAATTTCATTGCACCTCAGCACTAATTTGGCGAGCTATCACCGCTGCTTTTGAGTGTCACATCCGATGTTCTCCTCCGTCATCTCACGTAAGCTGAGCCTTGAAACAATGCATTAACGGCCTAAAAGGAGACCATAAAACTTTTTTTAGATCTCAAGATCGCTGAAATTTTCTTCCATCATATAATTGCAGCAAGATAAGCAGGAGAGGCCTGCGGCTAATCATGAGATGGCTGACCAAAAATCAGTCTTTTGATAGAAAGATAAAATTTTACCCAATTTGTAGGATTACTCTTCTGCGTCTACTCCTCATTGCCACATCTTTCACATTTTTTCGACATGTCGTACTCCTGACTCCCGTCCGCATAACGGAGAGATGAACCAAGCATTCCACGCTGTAGTAAGCAAATCGGTGCTAAACCTTTCCATCACGGCTACAGTTGATGACGCTTTAGTTATGGAAAGCAGACTTAACGTAGAGGTCATTCGAGATTCCTTTTCTCATTCGCATCTCCTTCTTGTGCCATTCTTAATCCCATGGATTAAAACGTACTTTACCCTTTCCACTAGGTGTCTGATAGACGCTAACGTTACGCTTCCAAACTTCTAAGATGCATTTTGCCCACCATGGGAGTTTTATGGGTGTCAAGAAGACGAGGGAATGAATGTAACCTGAGGCCAACTTTCTATACGGTCAGCACTAGAAGTAACCTGACCTTTTTGGTCTGCAGTTAGTTGCAGTTGCTTCTTGCAACATTTTTGAAAGAGACTCCGAACAGCAACAAAAGTCATTGGCACTGTGAAGTTGACTTTCCCACTCTACGAATTCTGCGACCATACAGCCTCTCACACAAAAGAACTTCTGCCGAAATTGCCCTAAAGTTCTCATTAATAATTCCTTAAGCTACAAGGGGATATAAAGCCAAAGAAAATTAGTCACTTAGTCGAAAGTAGATATCGGAATGCAAAAAAAACAAATGGTGGAGATATTTTAGTATTTAAATTGCCACATCGTCCTCACTAAGCGCACAACGCAATAATTTGATCTTCCCTTTGAATCATTCCATGACGGTGCGGCCTTCAGAAATGACATTCTGAGTACTTCACAGGCAAGCACAACAGGGTCAGGGCTTCTACAGAAAACACTTCTACTCGAATCTGTGGCCTCCACTTTGATACTTGACAAAAGGTAGATAAGAGCCCATCGTTCATGCTGCTATTCACATAAGTTACCGAAGTTTTCCACCATGCGGCCGCCGCTCTGAATCATCGCTATTTCAAAAGCCATTTATCAAGTGGACCAAAGTAACACTTTTCCACTAAAAGGAAACAAATTCGCCTAGGCTTGCGTTGCACATACAGTTAAGGGTTAACTCAGACTTGGAGAGACCCAAAAAGGAGGTGCTATGAAGAAGTAAACATTAATGAGACTAGCAATAATACTACTTTACTCCTGCTCTCCAAAACATATACTAAAATAAAGTTAGGGAATTATAAAGGAAGGATGTGCAAACTGAATTCCTCGCTGCAACCGACAAAGCCTTCGTGCAAGCCTTGACAATTTCTGTCTCCAAAAACAGAGGTCAAGTGGCCCTATGCGATCACTCCTCAAACAGAAATCGCTTTGATTTTTATTGGTGCGGGTGCAGAAAATATCACTAACGACATGTTGACTGTTTTAAGTATTACAGAACATTTATGCTAACAATCTTTGCAGTTTTACCAAGTGCTGCTTCAATTCCAGGACCGAATTGTATCTCATCGTCCTCAGAGGCGACACTCAAACACGTGAGAACATAAATGAGCATTGCAATTTGCAGCCTGATGAGGCGTTCAAGAGGTGCTGCACCAGGTGGTGTTGTAACCACCTCCATCATGTTATGCTTGGGGTCATGACTGGTACCAACCGGTTGAGGTGACTCCAAACTCGTTTCAGTGACAGCGGGCCGCGTTCCCTTATGCGAGCATTGAGATGTGGCGAATGTGACAGCCTCGTGTGTATCGTTGCCTCTTGTTGGCTTGCAGCAGAGTTGGAACGTGCGTGCTTGAATGTTGTGTTTGACCAGTGGGGAGCAAAGCACAGGAAAGGTGTGAACAGATGAAGTGCGGGCGCTAGTCTCCTGAGCATCCGCAGCTTTGCCTCAACCTTCGGCGGAATGACCGGTGGACGGTGACCCACTAATCGTGCGAATCGATTTTGGCCAAATCATCAGTTAAAAATGTGCCCTTTTGGGGTGATATAACTTCCGATTTTTGCTGCTCTCATAAAATCATAGTTCTGTTTTTGTAAGGCAAGAAGTAACTTTCATCACGTTCGTGTAAGTAGATTGATACTTGAAAATTGCTCCGATATTTGGGCATTAGCCCAATAGGTTCTTTGGTTATCGTAAGAAAAAAAATGACAACGGCACTGAGGCTGTGGTAGCATATATTTTATTTCCCTTTGTAACAGCAATCGAATCCAATGGATAACGGATAGTGGGAAAGGATTTTGACCTCATGCTTGCTACTCACTTACTTACCAGAGCCCTGCTAAGGAAAAGCCACGAGACTAGCTTCGGGGAGATGACGACGGGACACTATCCTCCGTTCATCCTACCCTGCTGCTCTGGTTCCCCTCCTGCATCTCATTCCTTCCTCCTCTCTACGAATCGCGATTTGCACTTGGTGTTAGGCGTGGCCTACTGGCGAACTGCTGTAAAAACCCGTTCTTGTCTTAATGGGCCGGTTTTGACTGTCGATTAAAGGGAATAGGGGCACCCTCAATTTTGCATTGGATCCAAGGTCTTTAGCAAAAGAATAATTTCATCTGCTATCCTCAACACACACGCGCACACGAATGACGTGGTGCTTATCCTCAAAGTTTGTATTAGGCAGAGGATTGGTAGTTCATGAAATTAAAGGTGGTATTTGATGGAGTAAATAAAGTTTAACAGGAAAGCACAAATCCATTTTTAAAAAGAGAATTTGGCTGTTTATTTGGCAGCAATTGCGGAATGGACGGTACAGTATTTTAAGAACCAACGATAAGTAAGGACTTGCCTTGCAAAGGGATGCGACTTCATTTTTCGGTGGTCTCGAAACTTGCTGTCAACTCAATGCCGGTGTAAACACGATGTCTCGCTGTCTTCGTTGCACGATTCCGTTATTGGCAAGTCAGTCAACGCGGCGACGCGAACACCTCTTCACTCTAGCACTGAGAACGACAGTTCTCATTAAAGCTCTGCGTTGACTTATGAGCAGTTTGTAAAACAAATCAAATGGTCCTACCAATCTGTTCAAGAAGGTGAACTTGACATCACTGGAACTGGGGCAAGTCAAGAGTCCTGGAGAAAGCAAGCTGCACCGATATGCATTGGGCTGAACCTAAACCTACGAGACGATTGTTGATGGATAGATATAAGTAGGCGAAACCAGTAGACGAAATGACGCGACGTACCAGTTTGTGAAATAGTCACGTTTATGCCATGCATGCAAATCAGGTACGTCTCCACGACTTGCAGCAGTTTTGTCAACCTCTTCAATCATCCAGCCTGTGTGAATGTGTCAGAATATGAACTGAATCATTGGACATTGAGATCTTAAGCCCTGCTTAATGTGAGTCATGGCCTCAATCGAATTCCATTCCCCTCAAATGGTAGATGAATTTCCTTACCCAAATTTTCAATAATTTTATTAATTTTATTGTTTATTGGCTCAGTTGCCAATAGGGAGATTTGGCTTTTATAGACTTGCGTTACCCTTTCATCGAGTCCCTTCTATCAAACCCTATTCCAGCACTAAACACGCTGTTCCTTTACACTCATGATGCGGTCATCTTGACCAAACGAAGGCGGTTTCAGAGCAAGCATCTCAACTTTTTCCCATCCACGAACAAGCGCCCAAATGCCCGAAATCGTCCGCCTTGGTTTGAGGTAAATAATGGAGGAAGCAAAATCGAAAAAATCCGCCTAACTGTCAAAAAAGCTTGGCAGCTGTTCATATTGAGAAGAAAGGAGGTTTGTTGCTTGTAAAAAGGGTATTTCTATTTATTTTTATCATTGGTTTACGGGACTGTATATGGTCACCAAGTGATGACACCTGTGGTAAATAAGAAATCTACCACTTTTCATGCGAACAAAACAGAAAAAGGAGCTATTCTAATTTTTTTGACCTATAAATTCCTACGCTTTCTTTTTCCCTTATGAGCCTTCAATTTGTAAGCCACGTCTTGAGTTGATTTGGAGATGGGAACAGGCAAACCCATTCAATGACCGATTTTGAATAGCCACTACCACAATTTTGTTATTATCTTTATAAGTGCTATTTTATTTCAACTTATGGACATGATAATTATCGTAGTCAAAGGTGGGCGATGGAGTTACTTCACCAAAACGTGCATTTACTTTACAGTCCGGACGCCAAACGTTACATGGGTCGGTAGTACCGTAATGAAGGTTCCCATGCTAACAGTAAATTTTCGCCCTACAAATTGTGTGGGCACTTTTATAGAGTCATACCAGCGGTCACGAGGTGCCCTATTATCTCCTCCTCCGGACAAAATGGTATGCAGCCATGGGGTCAATGAAGGCAGTCTCTAAAGTGATTCACGAGTGTCCTTTGACCAAAGGCAAGTCAGTCACGGCGACAGCATCAAGGGTACCGTAAGAACTTCAACAGCTTTGAAACAATTCACGCTCTTAAATAACATAAGCCTGGATAGGTGTTTGTGCTGCGAATTTTTGACTATGCAGCACAGTTGACTTGCCCCTTTTCTCACGTTTCATGAAACGCATTAAGTGGTATTTTACAAATAAGTGAAAGTGAGGCAGTGAGCCCTGCAATTTTACCACTGTCCACTTGCCTGTTGAAATGCAAACGACGTGAAAAACAACTTGATTCCAGAGCCTTCTTTGAGAAACACATGGTATCTCGGTTGTCACAAGCAGAATAAACAAATGCGCTGTAGAACTGAAGCATTTTCTGAAGACAAAAGATGGCTTACTGCTGAAAGAAATTGTGCAGCGTCACCAACATGGCTCAAACACCAAGATGCTAAGAGAATGCACAATGGCGGAGCTCTCAGTGTTTGCGTTACCACAAATAAACAATTATGGCACTAAATTTTCCTTCTCCCTGCTTGATTGTCGGCCTCGACGCCCATCTTAGTTAAGAAGCTTGCACGTAAATCAGAGGTCATCCAACAGCGCAGTCATTGAATCCTTTCCGCAAACTCTACAAGTCTACAGTTTCCTTGTGTATCCGCTGCTTACTAAATCACATCAAAATTTTAAAGACAGTCACAGTATCTCGACTTGTCGGCTCCTTTATCATTAACCTCAAGTTCCAAAACAGCCTCGGCCTCCTCCCCTGCAAATTGTTTTATAATCGTTTAGGCGCTTTACACATTTTAAGCTTTTTAAATCTACTCAATTTGGCTGACATCTTTGATAGCTATCGTTTATAGAAACCAATCTTGAGATATTGAATGCCTTGAGACTATTGGAAGAACGCTTAATGCATCTCCCTCCGCAGGTTGTTTATCAATGGAAGCGACGAAGGGAGGACTTGCACCATCGCAATCTGCCAAAAATTGAAGCGAACCTACTTTAGCAGAGTTTAATTTAGCAAGCCCGGTTAATTTATAAAGCAGGAAGGAAAAAAGACATTAAGCCGGCACTACAGACTCGTGAGCTGTTCAAATGGACGTGTTTGTGAAACGTTAGCTGCTGACTTAGCAACTTTGTTGGTCGGCAGGACAAGTGGGACCAAGCGCCATGGCCGATCGTGCCTGCATTCTGTCCGCAGGTAAGCATTGGAGAGCTGCATCTGTGTGCACGCTGGTCGTCAGAGTTTCACTTCGCATGCCTTCTTCTTCTTCTTCTTCTGCTTTAGCCGATTTGGCTAAAAGTGAGATTGGTGCAGTGTCCTGCAGACAACGGGTTATATGCTGGCGAACACTAATGCTGCGGCCCCATGACAGGGGCGCCTCGCGGCGGTACTATGACCTCTCACCTTAATTGACAGTTAAACAAAATTCTGCATATAGAGCATCAGCATCAATAGACATTCACAAACAAAAAATGGCTCCATGGCATAAACCACCTGAACCATCAGGAACACGTGCGACTTCCTGAAATCCGAGACGTAAATGTGGGTGTCAGCGTGCGCTCATCGCATCGTTAGTTACATTGACACTTACAGGGTCGCTGTTTGCCTGAGTTGGAGGGAAAGGGGATCAAAGTAGTTAGGCCTCCGCTAACCAATTTATTGCATGAAAATAAAGCCTCTGGAGACGCAATTCGGGAGGGTGTTGCAGATATACACAACTAAACTGATAAAATGGCAAGCCAATTCATGGAAGGCATGTGTTTGTGTAAGAGGTGGTAAAACACAACCACCAGCTGCGGTTAAGCGCTGGTATAAAAACCACGGAGAGAATGGTTGGCATGCATTTTTAGAAAGTTTATCAAAGTCCGAAGAGACATCGGATGCCCTGTTGAAAAATTGTGGTTCGTTCTTGATGCACCGTAATTATTGAGCAACTGATAGAGATAACGACTGCAATTTTTGCCTCCTGCTGTTTGACCAAACACTTGACACAGAGCACTTTGCAATAGCCTGTCATCTTACGTATCTCCTCAACATTCCAATAAAACCAGCATCAGTGAGTGGTTTTTATGCAAAAGAGGTTTAAACCTGTCTGCCAAATAATAGGTAAACCTAACAATTTACAGTCATCTACAGTCAACTACCGCAGTACAGTTCTCAAGCTAGGGGAGAACCTTCTCGTACGACGCAATAACGGGGAGACTCACCTTCACCTCAATTCTTGTAACAAGCCTACTTCAGTTTGGCCACAATTAATTTGCAGACTCATGAAACTGACACCGCAGACGAGAAAGTTGAACTCCACTTATAGTTTAGGTTTTATGACCAAAGCAAATGAACTTCTATGGTTACTACAAGGACTTTAACATCTGGCGATGTCCTTTGTTTATGAGCTCGAATCCAGTGACCAGTAGCACAAAGTTGCTTAGCAATGCGCAACCAAGTGGTTTCAGTCCCGAGGTGAGATCGCAACACGCACTGTGTCATTGTAGAACACATTTATTTACCGAACATATTTTGTGACCGTTCAGGACAATTCTGTTTATCCTCTCCATGGCCTCATTTTCGAATGAAAGCCCAAAAAACATAAACTTTGAGTTCTAGATCTTAGGAGTGACTTTTTAAAACGATTGAGCTTCGCAAATCATCAACATCTTTTTATGCACCAGAGCACTACACATGTGCAAAGTGGTGCCACTTTCTTGAAAGCATCTTGATGACAATACCGATGAAGTCGCCTTAAGCATTGCCATACTTAACAATGCGCTACATTAACTTCTGCACCACTTAGCCGAGAGGCTCTTGTTAAGACCGCTTTAGTGCTGCACTCTGAACGGCAGTGGATCAAACATTCCCACTTCCCCTAAACCGTCAAGGCCTACAAACGGTCTGCAAATTTTCACTTAGTCTCACCAATCAGGACAAGCACTTCAGCTGCTTGGCGCCTATTTGGCCGAACCATTACGGCGTCGGATAAACAACATCTTCTGTACGGGAATGTTTATTCGCATCAGAGCCTTCTTTGAGGTTGTGTTCGTGTACGTATGCTTCCGTGAATACGTTAGGGCGGAGCTCAATTACTTTCGCGGCGCCGATCTTTGTCGCATATGCAAGTGACAGGATGCTTGAATTCAGCCTCAAGAAATCGCAAATCTTGTGCATCTATCTAACATCACAATAGGAGAAACAGTGGCGATGATCTGAGTGATGGGCCCCCTTTTAGGTGCATTTTGTGCAGCAAAACCGATACCAACTGGTTCCACCTGCTGCCATCCCGTTTCAAGTCGGTGGGTTTGAGGGTGGACCGAGTAATCCTTTCTTGATAGCAAAATTGGCATGCGTGGCCGCTCCCCCTGCTACGGTGGCGTCGTGTTAACGCTCCCGCTTTGATCTCTTCACGGCAGTGAAGTGCATCGCCAGGCCGTACAAATGTCAGAATTTATGACCCTGACGCTAGGTCAACTAAGCCTAATTTTTTTGCAATATTTACACCAGCCTTAATAGACTGTACTTGGGTATTAGTGTTGCCTTGGTAATCAAATTCCATTTCTGATCAGTTCACCATGAAATATGCTCGATGGTTAAAAACAGAGAGAACTTGAAGATGGAGGTGTCGTTGGCATAACGGGGAAGGTGAGAGGCTTGGTAATGAATGGGTGACTCACCCATTCCCCAAAAGGACACCGATATATTCCCCTGCATAATGCAACTTACTTCAAATAGTTTTTTCGCACAGGGATTTGCTATTCACTCACGGTTCGCCCATCATAAAGGTTAAACATAACTCCCATTATCCCACCTATGCAGCTAATCTCGCATTTTCGCTACACACCAATGGTCCAGTTTTCACGTTCCATTGCTTCGCCCCCAAGAGTGATGTGAAAGATGCGGAGACCTGACTTCGCATGGATCATCTTCACACTGACTGTCACAAGCTTAAGGTGTTAGAGCCTCCCGACATCTGCAAATGACATTGAAATTGTGCTCTCCATTCCCCACGTCCAAAACATGCATTAGGGAAGGCAACAAAGCTCAAACATTACTGCACTGCAAGGGGAAGGTGCATGGAGAACACGTCTGCTTTTCGCTGTAACGAGAGAGGCAGCAAGCACGAGTGGTTAAAAGCATTGAATGGGGTAATAGTAAAAAGGAAGACGACTCCACGATAACTAACTTTTCAATTAACGATTGTCATCGGAGCATTTCCCCATGCACATAGTCGAATTATTCGAGTGCTGCAGAAGAATCTGTAAAATAACTTTCGTTGCCTACTGAAAAGCGGTGCAAATAGGTAGTTAAGAAGGAATGGTAAGGGCAGAGCTTGCTAAATGGGAATTTTTATGGCTCTGACATACTGAACAGGCTTAACAATAATCGCGTCTAAATTTTCGGTTTCCGAATTGCTGGCTTGGAGAGTTTAGAAATCCGGTTTTACTATTAAAAGTCCTACAACTGGTAAATTGTTCTTCGAGGATAGGTGATTTAGCATACTACTTAATTGTCAAGAGCGAATAATGCGATGGACTGGAAGGAAAAATTACCTATTGTCCGTTGATGTATGTTGGTTTGGTAAAGGAACAAAAGGAGAGATGAAAAGTAAATGAATTTATGGTCAAACAATTGGACCGCCCTGCCATTCCGTTTAACCAGATGCTTACAAAAAATAAGCCAATTGGTACACTAAAAGGAGCAGCGCATTGCGTAAGCACCAGGTGGCATAAGTGACAGAAGTATCATCTTAACGACCCTGTCATTAAAATCCATCAAGGTCAGTCAAGGAGTCGAGAGAAGTCGCTCAGTTTATGCCAAACATGACATCGCTTCCTGTTTATAGGAGTGCTCCACCTCACCAGCCTTTTTAATAGCATATTTCATTCCACAAAAACTACCATCAATAGGCATGCCTTTTGTGCTGGCAAAAGTTTGCTCATTCACAACTTCATTTAGGGAGAGAAGGTAACAGTGCTTTGCTCCACCAAACGGGGATCTGGGCGTCACTCAAAAGAGAGACTGACAGCAAATAGGTGGGCGACAAATAGTCTGAGATTTGGAAAGAGGAATTACACATGTCTCAAACTCGCCCTAGTGGGGACGATGGAAATTAGCGCCCTAGAGTGCTGCATCACAGTCGTCTCGACTTTGGTGGAGAGACATTAGTGTGATGGTAATAAAATTGGCCAATTTATGCAAAGGAAGAAGCGCGTACTAAGTAAGCAGCCAAATTGAGGTGCACAAGATTGGTACGACGTTCCGTAGCGTCACATTCGGTTGGATCAAATACTCACACTAAAACTTTCTTACGAGTGAAAAGAGACATGAAAATGGGACAAAGTATCCCTTGGTACGAAACCTTTGGTGCTCGCTTTGCCAATCTTCCACATCTACTAAGCAAAGGTGGTTGGTGCAGAGTGAAAAAGTACCGATAAGAGATGTCCGGCTTTAGCATTATGAATCCCTCCGAGCAATTCCGCTAAATTTAGTAAAAATGCTGACCATCTCGATGGCCTAAAGGCAGCCATTCAACAAAGAGGGCGCTAAAAATGGCTCTGTTGGAGGAATGCATGAAAATCAGTCTCCTCTCTCATTATCAGTACTGCATAGTTCCATCTCTGTATCAAACCATCAGGGCGGTAGAAGAGTTCGCGCATGCACTCTTCTTTCGACACCTTCGCGTGGGTATCATGAAGAGCTCGTCTTGGTCGTCTACAGCTAGTGTCGATTTATTAGCGTTCCGAGAGAAGGTGCGACTGCGCTCTGTTGGTGAAGTTCACTGATTCACCTATCCACATATGCACCTCAGCCATCACGCTAGTATTCATAATCAAGTAGAAGGTAGGAGGACGAGGTTTGCTTTTACTAACCCCCAACAAAGCTCCCCGAGACTTTTCTCATAGGCAAAATATGCACTGGCATCGCAGGGGAGGGACTGAAAGATCACTTGAATGCCGCTCCGTGTAAATACAAAGGAAGAGGCCCAAGTGTCCCGTGATCAAAATCAAGCGTCAAACAAACAAATAACAGATGAATACCTACGCACATCTACCAAACGTACTTCCTGGATTTCCTCGAAAACATCAGTTTTTCGTGCTTTACTTCCATCTTATGAATCACCCAACTTCGGCCACGGCAATAAACATACACTTTTTCTTCCGTATCTGTGTTCAGTCGTCCACCAACTGTGTGCTTCAGAGGGTGGAAAGCGCTTCCACGGCACCTTCAAATCTATTGACAAAAATACGACCCATTGCAACAGTGATCGGCAATTTTAGTTTTCAGTAGTGTTAGAAACATCCAGAACCGCCTGGATAAATGGGTACATTAAAATCAACCTTCTCTTCTCAGTTTAAACTATTTAACGAATTTGGCTACTCAGGGGTCGCAAAGCCCGTTTTAGCTCATCTTTATGCCTAAAACGTTGTAGGTACATTATAGGCGCCGCAGTTTGGAAATTCACCCCAACTTCTCGTGCGAAACTGCATGAAACCGCACAAATTGAGCAGATCCTCCATATCCGTAGCCCATTAAAAAAGTGAACAAACACCGATCACGTCAGACTTCGCTAAGTGAGCATTTATTGGTGAAGCGACACCTCGACTTTGGTGCGGCTGTGTAACCCACCTTGTTTATGTCTAAAGGCGACTACCTTAACATAAACAAAGTATAGTTGGTTGGGTCAACATTTCGGCCTCTCAAATTCGTCATGGAGGCCGCAACTATCTACACCTCTCGTACGCACGAAGGCCAGGCCATTTTTAAAAAAACAGCGGGCCAATGACCACAAACAATTCAGAAGTCCCTCCCTATTTGCAGCGCTCCTCAACCAGTTAACCACCGTAGGCTGAAACGCAACGATTAGGAGAAAATCAAACGAATTTCTAGAACAGGCCAACCTTCCAGTTCTTAAATTACTGTAAAGAACTTCATGATATATAGCCTACGAAAACTCCTAGAAACTTGTAGAAATGGATTTTAAAAAGATTAAATTACTTTAGCGTGAAGAATATTTATTCATTATGTTCTACGAAGTTTCGGATAGATCATCACTTTGCTTTCACCGTATCCATTCATAATGACAATTATGGAGGCTACCCAGAAGTTCACAGCACTTATCATTCAGGCACGATGATTTCATCCGGCAAAACGGCCTGACGCCTCCGCTTTGGCTCACAAGGTCGCAGGTCCGAATCACATGAGCGAATTAGAGGGCAGATGGTGTCCAGAGCAGCGTCCACAGGTTTGCCTAAATATTTATTGCCTCAGACACGTGAAATGCGTCAGGTCTTTAAAAGTACCCAACACATTTTCCTCGAGGTACTCCACTCCAACTTTTGCAAGTACGAAAAAGAGTCGAAATGCATTTCAGACCGACTTATTATTTTGACTTGGGTGCCCAAAACCTAGCCATAGGTTTGTACAAACCCAAACAAGAAGGGAGAGAGTACCACGTGCCTATTATGATTTTTAAGCATTTTCGACTGCTATAGAAGCCTAAAAAGAGGGCCAAACAATTCTAATTCTTGAATCCGTTACATACTTTGATGACCAGCTCAATTCTCGTAATGCTTACTCTTTCGGGTAATAACTCTGAAGTGGATGTCCCAAAATTCAATAACAATTATAATAAAAGTCCTGTTGGGAGAAACTGGTCAATGCCTTCACAGAATCGAAGTGGTGATCATTGGGAAGCACCACTTTTCCGCATTAAAGGTTGCACGATCACGTTGTGGATTGCTCCGGATGCCACAAACATCGGAGAGCTAACGTTCCTTAAACTCTTTGCTCCGTAGCCTAGAAGATACGTCTATTATTCATCCAGAGAAATCAAGAATGATTTTGCCTGTCTTCCTACTCAATTATTCCTAAACGGTATTGGAATTGAAAAAAAAGAACCAGGTAACAACGTAGCAATAACAAAGCACCTCGACTCCACATAAAAGTGGTCGCGAGGCTTTTGCATTTTATTTCCAAAGATACAAGAGCAGTACAAATGCAAGGATACATTTCAAAGATCCATCTAAAGACAATGTTGCTCACGACGAGAGTACGAAAGGGACTCAGTTTCCATGCCTTATAAGATAGTCTGAGCAGCAGCAGCAGCAGCAGCAGCAGCAGCAGCAGCAGCAGCAGCAGGTTCTGCCAAACGGGAAGTTGAGGTGGATGGTTTCATTTGAGAGGCAGTGGAGACAGATGAAGCACTTGTTAACTCTGAACAGCGCCTCAAAACAAGATCCTTCGGCAGATTTGGACCGGCTGAGTCCTTTAGAAAACAAAAGCCAATCAATGTTGGGCAAACAGAATTGCGTGCAAACTAAAGTAGGAATTGAGATTTCACGACCCTCTCAAAGTGATAGGTCACCGCGACAATGCTTCATATTACCAAGCGCGTCCTACCATCTTTTAATGGCTGAAAAACGTATTCAGAAGAGGGCATTCAAAATGAGGAGAAAAAGTGGTGCTAAATATGGCAAATGAGTAAAAGCTGAACCCGCGGCTGTCCATTCTCAACCCTTGAATAATGATAGAGTGATGAAACATGCATTTAGCCTCAGACATCCAATGCGTAATTTGTCGCTAGATTGCACAAAAGTCAATCCTTACCGTGGAGACGGACAACACTGGCAAAATTTCAAAAAAAAAATCGTAAAAGGCGAGCGGCGAGATGGATTCCTGCAAATTGGCCTAAGATGATTAAAGTGTATTGACAAATCCCTGAAAGGCGTTGGCGAAAAGTTAGAATAAAGGAGCAAACGTGCTAGAAAATGGTAGGGCAAAACGAAAACTTCCATTTGGTTGGAGCGTGATTAATGGGAAAAGTACATTAAACATGATTACAATTGATGAAAATAGAACCTAGGTGACCCGGAAGAGCCGCGTAGTGTTGGCCTCAAGTAAATTAGGATATGCGCAACATAATCCCAACTCTTGAGACTTCATTAAAAGTCTCAGCACGCTCCATTGCAGGTGAATTCATACTCCAGAACTATTATAAAATTAATCAATCGAAAAGCTGGGAATTCGTTGAATTCAGGTTTTACCCTCCCTAGGCACCGAAAGGGATGTTGAGTAGAGTGAATGAAACTTCAAAGCGTTATTTGATGAAATCCTAATTTTGTTATATCAACTCAGAACAAAATGTCTCAAGTTTGGCCCGATGTTCTCTCCTCAGCTAACTAACTGACAAAAATGACGCAATACGTAGTGATTTCTTTAGGTAAACTAAATACTAGCAACATTTGCCTTATCCTCCAATTCAAAATCTTAAGGATATCAGGAAACACCATAAAAAGTGATTTTGTAAAACAATTCGTTAAACTCAAGTACTCAAATTCGTGGTCGCTACCAAAATGTAAGCAGGTGCTGCAAAAGGCGTTTAAGTGAATTTGTACAAAGAGAAGTTATGAAGAGGAACATAAATCTGCCAAAGAACCGGATTCTGAGCAAAAGAATAGATGAGAATTTGACTGAGCTATTCACTGTACACTCAGTGCTACAAAAGGAATACAATTACTCATGAACACTGTCTGAATGGACCGCAAAGTTGGAGAATGGGGAGCTTACCCAAGCCTCAGGGCACAATTCGTAGGCCTGTGCAAGCAGTTCAGCAAAGCATGGTGCAACATCAGTAGCATGTGCTTCTTCTGTTCGCTCTTCCTCGGCCTCCGCGCAATCCATTGAAGAATGCGCTTGAGGCTGTTGTGGTGATGGCGGAGCCTGTGAGGCACTGGCAGCAGCAGCAGCTGCAGCAGCAGCGGAAGCGCGCGACTGCGCGAATGAATGCAGTCGATAAATTTGTCGTAGTATCTCCACACTCACTCCACCCCATCCACCACTATTTTCCTGCTGCTGCGCCTGTTCTCGTTGCCGCGACAGCCACAAGCGCAAAGTTGGGTGGATTAGGCTGAATGCCCTACGCGCAAGGAAGACTCGGTCTCCTTCACTCAGAAATCCACGTCTAAAAAAGCCCAAATTCATTCAAAGGAAGGCAAAATATGTGTTCAATAAATATAAACTTACTTGTCCTCGGGTGGCTGTTTGCGAAGTTGATGAAAAACTTGCAGCATACGATTCCAGTCGCCGCGTTTGTTGAGCACCTCCAACACCATCAAGGTGGAGCGATACATGTGCGCCGCGAAACTGCCACTACGATCAATGTCCGCCGTGGGAATTCGCCACACACCCTTGTATAAAACAGAAGCATATATTGACCCAACAATGTCAGTACGCTTAAATAGGAAAGATTTCATTTTAAGGAACGATTGTATCCGTTGTATCATGGAGGCTTCGGCTGCGCACAAATCCGTTTAAATCAGTACAATACAAGAATGCGGCTTCGAGAATCAGAAGACATTCGTTTACAAAATTTAAGTACGCTTTACTAACAATAGTACAAATAAAAAAAAATAGGCCAAAAGAGTTAATTTTGGTCCGACTAACTGGCTCCTCAGTGCCTGCACTAAGAGTGAACTGCGCCCAGAAGGGCTTCATTACTGAATGTGAAGGTCGTTTCGCGTCAATGCTCGTATACTTCTAAGCAGGACGTTGTATTTGCAAAATCCCCATTGCTGCCAAGGTGCAGTTGCTCAACCTGGTTCTATTCTCTCCTATGCAAACTTTAAAGCCACATCTTGCAAGTTCAGTGAAGCCTTGATGATCTAGTAGCTTATCGTATATAATTCCTGACTTGGAAGTCTCAACGCAATACAAGTCCAAGTAACAACTGATGATTGGAGGATGATCCAAGCTTTGAGAAATCAAAGCAAAAGGCACAGTACCCTCGATGCTAAATGGATTATACTTGACTTTACTATCTCATATTACTATTTCAGTCCTCTATAGCATTTTCGCTTGAGGAGCTTAGATTTTTTGAGATTCAACCAAAATCTGTACTTTCTTCACTACGCAACGACTTATTTTGGGCTGAAACAAAGTCGAACTTACATGAAAGAAGTTACTTTGACGTCTGTCTTTGAACAAGCCGCCATACTCGACTTTAGTCACATGATCAAATGGTCCCATCAGTATAGCCATGGCTTTATCCAGATCCTTCAAAAGACAACCAACAAATGTAATGCATCTCACCATAACTGAAATGAGGCCTTAAATAACCACCGGACTCACTTGTATTGAAGGCTGGTTAAGATAGAGATGAGCCAGACGGTACATCGATTTATAGTGCAACGGTAATCGACGGAGCACCAACTCCAGAGCCTCTCGACAGTACTCAACACACTTTTTCCAGAGATCTAAAAGATGATTTTGTCATATTCAAGCCTACCTAACTCAGAAAGTGAAGCAAAAGAGGGACGCGAGACAACCTCCATTACAACTTCGGGATCGCTCTGCGGAGAAGTACCGGAGGCTTCCACAGAAGTCTCAGACGCCCCACTGTCACCAATAACGTTCTCCAGTCTTGCCACCTTCGCCGCTGGCTCTGGTAGCATACAGGGCCGCTTCCGGCTTCGAATCTTCGCTCTGCATTAAGGCCGAAAACAAAAGGCAGTTATATAATTATGCGTACTTATATTTTGCAAGTAGAAAACGTAGCAGAGCGTACGATGCCTTAGGAGGTTCCGTAACGAACGCGGACTGGGTCAGGGAGTAAAGAGCCTCGCAAATTTGCCGCAGAGGCAGAGGGGATGATGACAAGGCACCGGGTTCACCGGTTGCGAGAAGAATCTTTAAAATGAAGGCATGAGTGCGATAGAACACCTCAATGGACTCCACCGCGAGATGAGGCAGCTTGTTATAGACAATTATTTTTTTCGGGTACTTAGCACCCGCTGCACGCAAGACATCAGCAGTGCGTTGGTAGTTGTTCAGTATACGCAGCACCCAATCGGAGCGAGTTTCTAGAAATCACAAAAGTTAAAAGGATTTTCTGAACCTAGAGCACACTGTGTAGATAAGTTAGAAATCTTCGTTTTGCTTTAGCCTTTTGCAAGTTGCACTACACAGAAAGCCATTAAAAACTTGAAAGGGTAGACTCAATTCAATTAAGCAACTTAGGAAAGTTATAGCTCACGAAAGACTATTTAGATATGGCAAAATAGTGTCCCTTTTCGCAAAACAAATTAATTGGAGATTAGCGCAAGGAAAAGATGAAGTGATATGGTGGATTTACTGTAGATTCAGTTAAGCGAGAATAGGTTACCTTCCTGATGATGTTTTCTCTCATTCTCGTCACGAAAGAGTGCTCCTGGACCACCCTTCTCCTCACACTTGGTAAGCATATAGTGGTAGAGCCACTCCTCATCCACAGGTGTCGAAATTGCCGGGCTCGCCTCACTGCTACCACTAACAGCGGGGGGCGAGGTGGAAGATAGAGAAAAGGGACTCGGTCCTGTTATTGCTGTCCCGTCTTTCGCCGCGGATGGTGACTGTACGCCTTTCTGCGTTACCCCAGATGGAATAGAACATCTGCGCTCCAGACGGAGTGCCTGACCATATGAGCGGTAGGCGAGGCTCAGCATCCGTCGACGCCACTGCATACACACTCGCAGATGCATCTCTTGAAAGGGTCGATTAGTAGACTACAAAATGAGGTGAGAAACAAGATAGTAAGGTAAAGCGAACAGTCTACAAACACAGAAACATACTTTCTTGATGAGTCTGGCCGCGTAAGAGTGTAGCTGGTAGGCGAGACAGCCTCGCTCGGTAAGGAGAGTGGTAAGACGCGGTTGAAGTTGCAGCGCCAACTCGAAACAGCGCAGACAGGATGCCACTGCACGTGAGGTCACCCGTTCTGTTTTTGGATCGATCTGCATAAATAAGAACGATGCGAAAGCACAGGTTGTAATTAAGTTACTACGTTTTATTTGCAATCTGAAGCCGAAAGTCATTAGTGGTGACGATTCGCGCCAAACTCACAATCACTTTTACGAAGCGAATGATGTTATCAGATTATTAGCTTTAAGCGCGAAGGCACAAGAAAATATTCCGATCCTTGTTTAAAACAAGCTAGCTAACAAAATAGTGCAAGTCGATTAAGGCTCGAGTTGCATATGACGGTGACGGCTGGAATCTCAGATTATTAAAGCAAGAAAAGAGACCACTCAAAAGTGAAGTGCTGTTTCTTTCCTAAATTTCATTCTCAGAACATTAAGACTGTTAACACTCACATATTCCCTTCTTAGAATTACAACCAAAACATAATGAAGGGAGCTAGTATGTGCATTCTGAATTGCGACACTCAGTACTTCACTGGCAATTACGACGGCTGGAAATAGCTGGTAAATATCTAAACATGCAGTCCAAGTGTTAGTGAACAAAGCAGAAAACTGAAATGACGAATGGCTGCCAATACGCAAGCAATTATAATACCATTTACTCCGAGATGGAAATCACAGCAATGTCTCGAACAAATTTGGCGAAATGTAATTGCAATTGCAAGGAGGAAGGAATGTGTTGTGTTCGTGGACGAAATTATGGCGAAAAATAAGCAAGAATGCGGAAAAACAAAGAAATCCTCTTCAATTACAATCTTAGAAAAGGTCAACAATGATAAGCGAAAGTCTAAAGTTTGGGCAGATTTATGCATAAAGTGAGGATTTAAATGAAAAAGAAAATGTAAAGTGAACGCGAATTCGATGACTGCAGTCCGTACATCGTTTGGGCTGACACGAAAGGTTAGGCTGGGGAAGTAAAAGAGGAGAAGAGCTATGCAATATTCTAATTGCTTGCTCAGCCCTAGATGTTGATAAGAGGCCTACGTTACTGCACTTTCGCCCGGTGACGTGGCTCAACGAAACACTCCAGCAACCCTTCACCTTATCCTAAGTCTGTAGCAATCTGTCTTCTTCCGTTTTTATGAAGGTTCTGAAACTCGAATACAACCAATTCGCATGGACGATAAGGACACATAAAAGCTAGTGGTCTGCACAATTGTGCTTGCCTAATAATAACGTCCAGTCGCACATGTATGTTGTTCCGATTCTCTCGCTGGCCTCCGCAGGTCACACACTTGAGAAAAATTCAAATAAAAGGAAATAAGAACAAAAAAGGAATTATAAGATAAGTGATAATTGTCTAGTCTTGTTGAAACCCGAATGCATTCCATGGCTGAAGCAGTTCGCCTTCTGAAACCCGCTCGGGGAATGTGAGAACTGCCAAAGCGCTACTATCATCATATGGAAAGCATCTGGCCAATAGAAGCAGTTATTATGCTAAAGCGTAAATGAATAGACGAGAAAAGGAGACACCTGAGGCACATGTAGAGAGAGCAACTTACCACATTGAGGATTTGCTCCAATTGGCTGCTATAGATGAGAGCCAAAGCTGCCCAACTATCAGCGTGATGTGGAGCTACTCGCAGATCTTGTTTGTAGTAGCGTATTGCAAGACTGAAATAGAGGAACGTTTAAAAAGCTTACAACTAGGCACCAAAAATACTGATTCAGAACGTCAAACTTCCATTGCTCACCATTTCTTAATGAAAGCTTTTCAGCGCACTGGACAAAGTGAATCTTTACCAAGAGAAATCAAATGACCAACCAAACCTGGGGTGAAATAACCTCATAGCCGCTGCCAGAGCATTACGCAGCAACCCACATGGTTTTGCGTTCCTGCATGATGCTAAATTGCAGTATTTGCTTTCCTTACCTATCTAATTAACGACAACGAGGGATGACATGCCATACTGTCATGACGATGGTAAAGAACGTGTTTCCTCTTAGGGAACGAGCGTTAAAGATCTATCCCACAATTTCAAAAAAGTGTCTTCTGTGACTTCAATATCTCCCACAGCAATCTCATTTCCCGTAAGCCAGAGACAAATGCGCTATCTCCCATCTAAAGTAGAGGGCTGTTTAAAATCGAAATTAATTAATTATGCCGTAAGAAAGGGACAGAACCTGTCGACACGTATGACAATCGTTTTACCTGAGCGTAAATGAAAGCGACTTACTCAAAATTGTTGTTTTTTGTGTAGTAGTCAGCGAGAAGGTAATACATGAGGTTCAGCATATCACTAAAAGCAATGAAAACGCATTAAATGAAAGTGTCCCACTCACATTCATCATAGGAGCTGGATTGCTCCGTGAACAAGTCAACATAGAGCAGATACAACAAAAGTTTCACATTAAATAACAGATAAGATAGACATTGCTAATGAATTCGAAACCACAGAATAGATGCGGTGGAAGATACAGTCGTCTGTTATGCACATCCGACACAGATAAGGCAAAGAGGGTAAACCTGAGGTAGTGCGTCTGCTTGGGCAATGGAGCATGTGTCGTCATGCAGGAGTCGATTCGCTCCTCCGGAATCATAAATTCTTCGTAAGCCTTCGGCATTACCTTCGTTGCTTCCGTTAGCCAGTTTGCAAGCTACGAGACGGAAAAGTATCACATTCTATTCCAAATTTACACTAAAACGCTTTTGCAAAAAGCAATCAGCCTCGATTGCACAGCTGTCAAGGCAGAACTCTTGTCTCCAGAACTAGAGACATGGGGCTCCAATACTCGTTATCTTGCCCCTTTCAATTTCAAAAAAAAGCCGATTTCCAACTACGCATCATCTATGAAGCACTTAGAAATAACCAAAGAACTGGACTTCATCCGGTATTAAAAATAATCTAAAATTGAAGATCCTTAACACCAATTTCGTAATTTTCTATTCTTGTCGGCTGGCAAGACACGAGAAATAATACCTCAGCAGAAATTGAAAGAGATTTGATGCTGTCATACTCAGGGATTATAGTCGGACGATAGAAGACAAAAGCGATTTCGATGAGTTGCCAATCCTGAAAAAGAGAAAATACAAAAGTTAAATAAGTTTGAGTGAAATTTGGTCCATTTAAGTTGCTGAAGATCGGATAGGAAATGTTGAAACGAAACTACAGTAGTGGGCACTTAAGTTTTCCCAAGGAAATGAGTACAAGATATAAAAGCGGAATGAGAACGGAACCGCACATTAATAATGTTTGATAACAACCGACCATTTGAAGTGGAGAGTTTCATGTGGTGATAAACGGTGTCGAGCATAAATTATACACATATTGAACAAATTTTCGAACAAACATTAGGCATCAACGAAAATAAGATATCAAAATTAAATTTCTTTTGGTATAAATCATATGTTAATGACATAAAGTTCCAAGAAATGATAAAATTAAGAGCACAGAGATAAACAGAAGGGAGAAACAACTAAAGTTATTTCAGACATGCGAGACGGAGAGCAAAAAAGTTAAAGAGAAGCATCAAACAAGTGAGCCACCGAAGAAGAAATGATGGACTTGATTGACTTTGAAACGCTGACACGGATTATTCATAAGTTCAAAAATACATTAAGCAACTTGATTCACCAGCGCTGAAGGTCGGGATCCCAACCACCAGATACCAAGATTGGTCGAAGGACTGCTTAGATCAATGACATGATCTTTGACAGATTCGTAGAAGAAGGTCCTGTCAGTCATCCAAACGGGAGGTCTTGGAACCACACAGGAGGGTGGCATTGGGACAGTGGATGAAGGTAGGGCCGTAAATGTTGGAACCTCAATCCCTCCCACTTCCTCCTTAGCCCCGTGAAACGGATAGACTAGTTCCGGTGGTATCACTGCTTGCTGTGGACAAAAAATTGTTACAGCTTGTGAATGAAGTGGCGGATTGACATTTTGAACTTTGATTTGGAAACAATAAAAATACAAGCACAAATTCAGCTGAAGTTGAAATCAAAGTCAAAGGCACAGCCACATAAAGTTCCTATGCAGACATTCAAAGCCGCAGATTGAAAGTGACCACTGAAGCAAAAAATGTGGAGGAATTTTAAAAACAAGTGAAATTCCGTAATAGGCATTGATACTCCCACGTCAAAATAGAGGAAAGATTTCATAAAAGGCCAAAAGATGGGGAAGGAAAAGTTCCTACAGATATGCACCTTCATTTAAAAACAAAAAGCCGTGCACCAGACCTATGATAGTTGGACCTGAATGTCACGTTCACAAAATCCCCATTATTCGAAACCAACTATGAAACCATCTTAATGCTAATAGTGGATCGGATTGTGGTAGGCCAACAGTGAATATGACAAAAGGACTTTAAATTGAGAGCTCTCCAGTGTTTAACTCATCAAATTAAAACAAATATGGTAGAAAGTCAATCGAAATATCCAAACGCTCAGACGTTATTAGGCCAGCTATAGAAGGCAGTTAGGGGTCGCGACGGCTGAACAATAATAGCTCGTATTTAAAGGTACAAAGGTGAAGTACTCAGGTAGAAAGAGAGAACGCTAAGTAATCCACCTTGAATCGCGACGAGTTGAGACTGGATGAGGAGGACACCTTACTAAGGTCACTGGTGGTGGTGGTCGTAGACGTTGAAGTGGATGCACAGGAACGCGATGGCAGACCGCAGAGACAGTGCATCGCTTGTGCCAAAATCTCACCTACTTGAGTGCCGCCGTATGGCCAGAACTGTGAGATGTTATCAGTAATCGTGATTTCCACTTCCATCTTCTCCACCGACTGTTGAGCAGTACTACCATCACTGACGTCATCAACGTCTGTGTTTCCAGAAGACCGGAACCGGTAGTAGCCATTAGAGAGGCACTGAAGAGTGGTAGCAACCGTAACGGCAACACAGCGGAGGTAGCGGAGGCCCAATGGGGTGGAGGAAGAGGAGCAGTGGAGAGTGGCTGTGAGGGGGAGGACGTCGTGGAACAGATGAAGTAGTAGAAGGCTGGGTGGAGCAGTGTCACGACCCCGGGCGCACCTGAGTATGCGAGAGAAGAGGCAGCCGCGCAGGAAGGCGAGGAGGCTTGACTCAACTCTAAGAAGTAAAATGGAAGGAACACCATCAACAACAATCCACATTATATGGCGGTTTTGCAATATCAATCTCTTTGCGAATCCTTAGAGAGTGCGAAATCACAGACAACAATGTACACTTCTTACCGACTACTAAGACAGTTACGTGTTTGAGAACTATAAATATGAAGTGGAAATTCGCCTTAAAAGCCATTCGAATGTTTTGATTTCAGAGCAGAATTTCGAAATGACAAAGATAAATTCAGTTGCCTATCTGAGTATCACGAGTGTAATGGAAAGGTTTATGTTGTGCGGTGGCTGAGAAGATGGAAAGGAATTTCGTGAGCACTCCAGAAGTGTATTAATATTTACTGTAATACTCAGATGCACAACATTTCCGATCGAAGCATTTGAAGTGATTGACACGATCTTCACAAACTAGTTAAAGATGTACTTTATTTCAATCTATTCCATTGATATGTACTTTTGGGGCCTTAAGACTTGGTCATTTGCAGCCTTTCCACCGCAAGTTTGCCTCAGATTTGACTTGAGACCACCACCGTCGTACCCTGTCGATATCCTAACGCCTGTCAGTGCAAACCAAATATTGTCAGAATATTACGTCTTTGTTAGTCTAGGACCTCTATATTATAAGGAAAGTGAATTTCACTTTAGAGAATAAATATAAATGCCTCCTATTGGTGATTGCTGGAATCTTAGTGGGGAAAGACGTATCTATGCTAATCCCCCAACAGGTCTAAAGAGAACGTTCACATTTGGCAATCATCCCACTACTATGATCAGCAAGAATGCTGGCATCAATCAAAGTGGCACCAGCCGCGCATTATCCATGAAGAGATGTAAGTTAAGCAGGCAAGTGGTACCTTCTCAAGCAGATAGGCATGGCTGAGTAGGACTGAAAACAGAACAGGTTTGTAAGGATTAAAAGGACGAAACTATCCCAAGGGAGCAATTTGAACCCTATCTTCGGTTAAGCCCATGCTTATGAGTTGATGCTTCTAGGACTAACAGTTCCATTCTGAATTGAATGAAGCTCCGTATATGGCGGGCTTACCGAGAGATGTCTGTGGCGTTGGGGTCAAATATCCTCTCGAGTGAGTGTAAATTTAACTAATGAAGTGAGCGGCTTATTAATGTTTTCGCACAACACCGACTACATCATTATGACTGACGCTGGAAGTAGACTAAGGGATAGTGCTGACGATGACACACAAGGAGAAAAAGGGGCTATGCAACACCTTGCTTGCTCAGTGAGCTCTCAATTTTAGTAAAAGCCTATTTATAAACTCTGGTGTTATGCTTCCTATAACCGGTCTAGGCTTCGAGGTGAGGGTAGGGCTCCAATCCCTTCAGAAAAAGACGAAAACCTATATTCTGCCCGGATGCTATGCCTACCTTTATTCCTGGGAGCACCTCACCGCATTATACTTTAATAATAACTGTAGGGGCATAATTCTTCGGCAATGCTAATGTTAATGCCAAAGCAAGAAATTCGAATTTAGAACCACGAATGAGTAGAGGCAAATTGTTAAAAAGGACTCAAGATGAAATCAGCGGTTTTGGTGATGCTATAAAATCACGTAGACCCAAGTGAATGCATTTATTTGTGAAAGGGAAAGGGAAGAAATACACACTCGCATTCGAGACTCCTATAAAATGAGGAGTACTCATTTGTAAGTGTAAAACTGACGTTTTATTCCTTCCAGAGACAAAGCACATGCTCTTACCAACAAACTTCATTTACCGATACACATGGGGAGCAAATATCTTGCACAACCTCCCAATCAATCGTACAGTATACACTCACCTCTGGTCAACGTCTGATTTACCGAGTTTGTACAGTGCTTGATAAATAGCCAAATTAGAATGTAAGAGGTGAAGAGGAAAACACGACTCGACTCTAAAACGGAAAGAAAGAGTAAACCAGAAAAAGCAAGGCATATGACAAGCTATGAGTAAAATAATCAGCGGGTAATTACTAGCTAGAGAGAACTGTAAGGTTCGACTTTGTAAAGGTTTTTCTTTGAGTTTGGAAGCAAATTTTAATGGGAACAGACTGTAAAAAGAGAGGTACCTGTCAAGAGTTTCATACATGAAAGCAGCGAATTCGTAGGAAAGTTGGGGAACTGGCAGACCCAGAGCGCCCGTGGCTAGGAGCCGCCATGAAAAAGTGTCAACAATGAGACAAAGAGTTTGACAAAATTGCCCAAATGTCAAAACAAGGACTCTGTCTCCCGGTTGCCTGAAGGAGAAGATGCCTTTGGAACAGAGCGACTCTGGAGTGAGCCTTATGGCAAACGCTTTGGAGTTTGGATCAAAAGACATTTCGCTTTCTATGATTTCCCAACACCTGAGAATCAAGGGTAAGAATGACGATGAGCATTCAGTAAGTGCAATAATGGGTTCCTAATTATTGGTAAGAAAAGGTAGACATTTTTTTGTAGAACAGCTTAAACACAAGCAAATTTAAAGAATTATGGATAAAGAGACCGAGCCAATGAAACTTACAAAACACCTCATGTTTGAATTTTAAAACTGAACATCACAAGAAAGCAACTGTAGGCTTTCATGACTCAAACGAGAATGAATTGTAAAGTTAAAAATATTTAAACTACATAGCGGTGAAGTGGTCCTTCAATTATCATCGAAATATCCAAAAAATACAGAACCACTAAAATTCCAGTTTAAAAGAGGTTTCAAGACTAGGCAAAACACTCAAGGCTGTCGCTGTTAGGGGATACAAACAAGTTCTTTACCAAACGAATTCAAGAAAGCTTGTAAAGAAGGAAGGACGGCAAGCAAACCTTAAGAGGGAGAAAATGAGCACTCACGTTTGCAGTAGGTCGTAGGCAACAGTGACAGTACGCCAAACGTCCTCGAGACCAGCCGCCTCTTCCTCGAGTAGAGAAAGTGTGGGAAGAGAGGAGAGGCGCTCGCCCTTAATGCATCGCATCGCTATGAGAGCCAGTGTTTGTGTTGCCACACGCCAACACCGCAACACCAATAACACGGTCTCTTTGGCTGGCTTAGAATCACTTTGCAACTGCAAGATCCTTTCTTTAAGAGTAGTAAGAGGCTGGTGAAGTATTTGGCATATGCGTGGAAGGCCCTCAATGTGCTAAGTGTGGGAGGAGAACGCTCGACAATTTCGCAGATTTGAAGACTGGCAACGATGCCACATAAGTAAGAAAGGGATGACCAACATCATAGTTGATGTTATCCCCCATTAACAAGTAAACTTACCATGCCGAAATTCGACTGAGTGGATTTGCCTTTACGGGGAGCGATGAAATGAGAGTGAAGGCAGTTCTTAAGTGCCTTCAGTAGTTTTGAGGTATTTTGCTCCGCCTTGCAAAGATGCTGCAACGTCTCTCCGATCGACGCATCCTCTACCTCCGCCAACAACTCATCGATTCGGTCTAGCAACAGAGCAGAAATAGGCCTTATATCCAATTAATATCGAATTAAGGGAGTCATGATCGCATTAACGATAAGTGAATTTTCAGGGTCTTTCAGCAAGCCAAGATGTGGCGTCATGAAATTCGACAAAATTGGACGAGCATGGATGAGAACAGGATTCTATGTGACAAAAATATTGTCGAATAGTTTGAGAGAAAAAGACCTGATGATGCACAGTCGAAGAGATATGATGCAATGGAGATTAATAAAGTCGAGGCCAATAACTGATATTGAAAATTTATTGGACTGAAAGGAAGACACCATTCTCACCAAGAGTGATGTGGCTGTTACGGAAGGAACACAGACGTCGAAGTGGACCATGTTTTGTGACAAATTCCTTCATCTAAATGAACAACCCATTGGAGACGGCTATAAAAAAGGGGTACCTGTAAGAGGTAGTCCTTCATCGCATCATGTTTATGAGTGACCACGCTTAGCTCGTAGTTAATCCAAAGAACTAAAAGAGTTTATGGTGAATGTAAATAGGTAGAAAGTACCTCTCCCATGAAAATCAACGGTTTCTGGGGCCCCCTCGGGAAGAAGAGAGATAAGTTCCATCATCCTATTGAAGTCGGGAATCGATATCGTCTCTTCGGGATCAAGAAATCTATTAACATGATCACAAATACGAATACTTTCATAAACTTACTGAGATTGATTGATAAGAAACGTTAAAAGAGGAGGACGAACACAAGAACCACTTTTCAAGTGGACTTTAATTGTTTCAATGCCAGCTTTGTGACCAAAATAAACATCTCTCCAAACACTACATTATAGATTGGGGTTGAGAGGCACCATATTACCGTCAGTTTTATGGTACTAACTTACCGCCTTGAAGATGAAACTCTGTCGTTTGACCTCGGCAAGCTAAGATTACAGTGACACCAATAGTAAGGCAACTTTTCCCTTATCAACTGGCAAAAAATGATTTCAGGAATAAGCTTCGACGTTGAAGCAGGTGAAAATAATAATGATACCGCCAAACCCATCAGTAATTACCCAATAATTCGACATCCTTTAAAAGTTCCTAAGCAGCATGATTCCAAAATACCTAGCAGAATCGAATTGGAGAGCCTGTGACAAGGTCTTGAATTCGAGATCCTCAGGGTCAATAGCACCAGGACCGAGGGAGAAAGCGGTGAAGCGGCGCTTAGCCGAGTCGGTGGCCTTGCGACATGCAGCCAACGCGTCTAGACGCACTTCAGCGTAGGCAGTATGCAAATTTGTCAAGTGCCACAAACTTGGACGTCGACGTAGACACAGAAGATCGGCAGGAAGGACAAGCTCCTCTGTTGGTGAACAGGCTTCTGCATACGTGGAATAAACATTTTATGGGGCTCTGCACAAAATCCTTAGTAACTCTTTAAAAGAGGTCCTGATTTCGTGAGGAATATTTACAAAACCCAGTAGTATTTTTTTAATTATTGAAGTATGCGGTACAGAGGATGCAATGCCGTGAACGCGAGTTGTTAAAAGTAAAATAAGGAATAGCAAAGCATAAAGTCGTTCTGAATGCACTTACACCTAAGTCTTGCTTACTGGTCCAATTATTACCACCAGGGAACACCCTTACCACCCAGTCTACTGGTTCCAAGAAAATGAAGGCCAAGAGGTAAAATCCAAACATCAAATAGATTACGATAGATTACCTGCGGATTAATTAAAATACTGCATGCTAAAGGGCTGAGTTTAGACCTGAACTATTCATATGAAGCAAAGTCCCCTGCAAAATACGATAAACTCTTAAGGAGCGCTTAAACAGATTTTCGAAAAAAAAACACTTGGAATTCCATGCGACGATAATTATGATAATGCAACGGTGTACAGTTAATAAAGGAAGCAGTGGAACGGGAAGCAAAACTAGGAGTTGCACAACAAGATCAAGGGGCAAAGGACGGCATTCTAGATAGCCTAGCAAGAAAAAGGCTCATGCCCTTAGGAAAGCAAAATAAAGTCTCGTTAGAGATGTCCGTGGGACTTAATCATCAGTAAATCATACTCCGGAAATGACTATTACATAGCTGCATTCTCAAGTTACCATCATCCACTGAAGCATTTTACAACTGTTAAGAAATAGTGTAAGAAATAGAAACTGATGCAATTAAGCAGGAAGTTTAAAGACGCTGCATTCTCTTCAAATGAGAAGATAACGGCTTCGTCAATACAAGGGTTTCAGTGGAGAGACCAGTGTTTATAATGAGATAAATTACGGCATCGCAGCCTGTGTCCTAAGGAATCGATGGGTAAAGTGGAAAACAAAGGCTGGAAACATCACCATCAATGAACTTAGCAGATGCGCACACATCAAATTTTATAGGCTACAATACGAATTTGGAAAAAAAACAAGATTTGCCGTGAATCAATTTCTCAACTCTCAACAGTCGCAGAAAAAAATGCAAGGGTGCGACTACGATCAGGTTACCGCAGCAATTGAGTAAGATTGTCTGCAGCTGCTTAGGTATGACAAAGTGGATTACGAATCCTGAGTCCCATTTAAAAATAGCAAAGAAAAAATTAAAAAAATACCTCTTGAAAGGGCATTTGGTTGCCAAGACGGGAGACATGGGCGGATACGAGCGGAAACAGCCAGGAACGCCATCGAAAATGATTGTGTCCTGGGAAAACGGAATTGATGGAGACGCATACTCAACCTCCTGATCAGCTAAAAATTCCTCCGTTCCAATAAAGTATCACGTAATGGAAACAGTTGCCGTAATATGCGGGAATAAATAGATTGTGTGGATGAAAAAAAGTGTTCAACTAGACGAGTAACCACATTTTATGACTTTTACACACAAAAATTCGTTACAGTTGTTCAGCTGAGAGGGAAATCTGATTTAAATAAAAATTGCTTAGAAGGGAGAAGCACACATTGTAAGCATAAGAAACACACCATGGCTTGATGTGAACAGCCATTTGTAAAAGTAGTGCTACTCCCAGTAACACTGCATTTGGTTTGTAATTGGACAGGGTGCGCAAGAACTCAGTCACAAGATCGTTTTCCATTACCCCACTGGATGGCGCTGCAATCTCGTCTTCACCGCCTAAAAAGCAATGAGCATAGAAAAGTGAATTGGCAATAAAGATGAGGGGTGGGAGGCTTACTCTTGAGGAGATGACTTTCAAGCGTGAGCTTCTCGGATGATATCACATCTTCCTGGACGCGTAAGGATTGATTTTTCTCAGTCAGAAGAGCAACATCTCTAGAAAGAGAAAATAGCACAGGGAAAAATTGATGTTAACGGTTTTCTATTCTTGCCACATATTCGCTCAATTGACTAACCTGAAACAAGAGGGCAGGAGAGAGCGAAAACGCGCACCCTTCTCAATCCACAGCCATCGAGTGAGTTGTGCGTCAGTTGCAACAGTGGAGGGGACGTGGGAACCCGCGCATGGCGTGGAAACGGCAACCACGGAAGGACCAGTGACAGGGGCAGTAGTGTGGGGGATATGGGAGGAAGAGGTAGTGATATTCACACTGGAAAGACAATGTGATCCCTGTGAGATATCGTCAAACATAACTGTTGATCGGCGGATGCGCTTGGAAAGCCTCCGACGCTCGTCCTCTTCGCCCTAGATGGAAGTGGAAGCCGTAAGTGCATTTTACAAAAGTGGCCGACCTATTGATCGCTTGATTCCGCTGCTATCAGAATAGTAAAAGTTTACTTAAGTTAATGGCATACGACTATGACAAAATAAATGAAGCGGACATTCGCCCATAAGCAGAACCAGTCAAAGCCTCTCTCTCTCTCTAACGTTCCACCAAGACGGTTAAAATTAAATCGAGGGCGCACTTTTTACAGATATTAATAACAGATGCGCTTTGCCAAATTTTGAAGAGCTTGAAATAATAGGGAATTAGTGGTTTTTAACTCCTAAATCATATGCAAAAGGCCAACTTAATGCCACCAAAAGTTATCAAAGAAAGTACTGTTGCTAGAGTACATTCCTTAAACTAACTTCTTGATTAGGATGCGGTGCTAACTAATAAGAGGCAAGAGTAGCTGTTCCAAAAGACCAAGCAGCCTCCAGAAAATAACAACAAGCCATGAAAGTTATAATGGAATTTCTAAAAGACATGAACATATGTTAGGCGAATTTCTAAAATAAGGCGACATGATTTTGGGTTACCTCAATACCTTATCTCAGTATGAAACGTTGGTACACTGAAACGAGTTATTTAAAGAGTAACAAACACCTTTTTTTCTGCCGCTGTTAGTATTATCGTGGATGACAGGATAAATGAACGACTTGTTCTGAGGCCCAACCAACATCACATAAACAACCTAACTGGAACAAGTATGAGACCTACTCTAACACCGGTCGGTGGTTGTTGAGCCTCGGTGGCGTCAGGGCGTAACTGATCTCGCGGTTGAGATGGCTGTTGGAAAGGGTCGCCACAGATGCCAGAAGAAAGAGGCTGTAATGAAGCCTCAGAATCAACATCTATAACAACCACATCCGCCTCTGACTCTTGTGAGTGTTGTCTAGTGGGGAACTGACATCCCTCGAAGAGAGAACGTAGATCAAGCATTGAATTGATCGTCTAAAAGTGGTTTGTATTAGAGGAAATACTATATTCACGCCGAGGATAAGTAAAAAGTAACAATAGTTCGTTTGTTGGCCCGCAGACGTGCAGAGCTAATCACAACAAAGTCAACTGTTAAAGTTTTCTGACGCCGGTTACGCAAAAGACAGCCAAACTTGAGCTTCAGAAGGACGTATGATCACTTATTGATTAAAGGTTATTAAAAGACTTCAACATCCTGTAAAAATTAGCTCACAAATGAGTGATTAAAAGTTAGCCATCGAGTCACATACCAAAGAGCTTATGCGATGCGCCTTAATACCCACTCATAGTAAAGAAAGCCTCCTAACGGGTAGGCAACGGATACGCTCGTTAGAAATGAGAGGAGAAATCAACTACCATCCACTTCGCTCAAACAACTGAGGCTCAGATAGTATCTCCGAATGCTTCACAAATGCAAGTTACTTAGAACAAAGAAGGATATGGGTTTATCCCAACTTCAACCTTACAAGTAATGATGTTTTACAAATGTACAATGTAACGTATCGAACCATTAAATGCGGTATCATGGGTCAAATGAAAGAATTCCTATGGTAAATGTCAAAATCTAGTTGGTCAAGTGGCACTTCTCAAACTGTCAATAAATAGGCCTCTAGAAATAGGTGACCACTTCAAACGGAGAAAAGACCTAGAAGAATAGGTCATATTGAAAGGCGCTTTCTAAGACAAACTCCAACGCCATGAAGACGCAACAGTAGTAACCAGATTCCTCATTGTATTTGCATACCCAACTAGATAAAAGGATCGTTTACCCGTAGCAATAAGTAGTCCAGATTTTCCCTTTTATTATGCGTCAAATGGTAGCAATGCAAAAAGACTACAGAAAGGACAACCCTTTTAGAACACTTAAGCAATAAAAAGCAAACCAAAATGTCGGACACATTTTAGACTTCCAAACGTCATCCCGAAAGATGAATGCGTCAAATTCGATTGCCGACTACGCTACACAACAAAAACGGTACTTACGCCTTCCTTGTTGAGTCGGTCGAACATGTTAACAAAGGCACAAGCTAAGTGTTCCCATCTGCAAAAAAAGGCAAGAAGTATTTAACGCCGGATACGAGGATTGAAGCAATCAAACGAAACAGGAAAACACTAACGAAAGTTTGGTCAGAGGTTCTGAGAACTTCACTGTCTTGATCGCGTCCGCGTTCTTTAACTCATCCAGCATTCGTATGTAACCCTCTCGAATCTTTGCGATACGCGTGTCAGTCTGAAGTTAAATCAACGAACAGTGCTTCCATGTCAGAACAAATGCTATGACCGGGCCGACTCATACAATTATTAGGTTTATTCAGAACAAAACCAAACCAAAGAAATCAGAGGCAGAATTCAACACAAAGTAAAAAAAATCTTAGGGTTATTAGAACGTTATATTGACACACTTGGGGAATAACGGAACATTATAACTTTCAATAGAGAGGATGAATACTGGTGCGAATTTTCAAAGGAGGGACTTAAAACTTTGTACGAACCTTGTTGCTGCCATACACCGTCCACGCTCAAAATGGTAATTTATAAATAATATGGGTAGACAGTTAACTGATATTGGATCAAACTACAAAATGTAATTGAGTTGAGAGCCAAAGATTATTTCAAAGGCATATCTACTTCTGCAACTGACAATTGCCGAGAAAGGACAACAGTTGATAATGCGGTAAATGCACCGTTATATTAATAATAACCAGGAATTACCGATACTTTGGCCTCCTCAGAGATCGTACGCGATAAGACATCGGGATGATGCTCCAGAAGTTTCTTTAAAAGAAAATCGAGGCCCGGTCGTAAGGCTAGCACACGCTGGACGCAGTGAATAGCCACTTGGTTGCAAGGATCCATAAAGAGGCACCGCACGGAGTACGAGATACAGGCTGCATAAAACCATCCCAATGAAACAAAAGTACTATAGGTATCACTGAGGCACTAACAGACCTTTGGTGCTATGCCACTATCACTATTGAGAATGAACATGGCACATCCAAAGGAGAGATGATAATAATAATAATAACGCATAAAACCGGGCTGAAGTATCAGGGAACGCATTCAAAGCCTTCAGCTGATTATCGTTTGTGCGCTTAAAGCGGTAAAAATGAGGAAGGCAAGTATAGCGATATCTTCAGAACAACTGGAATTTTTTCACCAAGAACAAATCGACTAACTTCGTGCTAAGCATAAATGAACCAGAGTGTCGAAGTGAGTGAAATATTTCATTTGCAGTTTAACCGTTCAAGCCTTATATTGCAAGACCACTCATTCACTAAATCAGCAAGTGGCATCAGATGTGACGGTTGAAAAAGTCTCCGAAGTTACACTTCGAGTACAAATTGAGATGTACCGCAAGGTACACCAGTGTGATGTTCAAAAACGACCAACAAGACATTACCCATGTTTTAACATTGTCACTAGGTATCCTAATACAGATTCAAACGTTAAATGTTAGTTAAGGCAGAAACTAACAATTTCTTAGACCTTTGTGAAGTAAAGCACCAAGAGCAGTTTGGAGTTCTAGACGCCAAAACTCCGATCAAGTCGGTTTGATAAGCCTTATTGCGTCTTTCGACACACCAAGCTATAATGAAACATTTTAAAACCCAACAATGATTGCCCATTATCCTGATGTTTATCAACGAATCAACTATTTTGAGATGACTTCAAATACTGTTAAGGGGAAGGTATGCAGAGGTGATGGAGTTACCTTCAAACTCCGAGATGGCAAAAAAGTAAGGCAAAGCCCAGTGTAGAGCAAGTGGATGAGAGGGCTGTTCTTTAAGGATATGGTTCAATGCAGGTGTGGCTACATCAAACCGGTGCAGTGTGATTGCGGTGCTGGTTAGCTTAAGCCAAAGCCCTAAATCCGTCGCGTCCAAGTCCACAGCCTTCAGAAAACGAAGAACCACATGTTAGTAGCTGACATTCAGTCAATCCTGAAATGTTTGCATTGGATTTCCAGTCAGTGAAGAGGTATACTACTAAACTTCCACCCCAATTTAAGTTATTCATGGCCGATGACTTTTGGGATACGTTGCAGGCATCACGAAATAAAAAAAACACCGATTTACTTACAACGCAACAATCCGAATCAAATTCAGGCTCCCCACAAGCAGGTTAAACAGCACTAAGATACACCCCTCAAGAACAACTAGGAATTACACTTTAGATCACCGAGTAAACCTTCGTCTTAAGGATTAAGTGCTGAATAAACCACGAATGGATAAATAAAGGACAGATAAAATGCAGCCCAGACATATACAATTCCAATTAATTACGACTTTAAAGCAATTTGAAAAGTTCAACGTTGGGATTACTTGAACTTAAAGACGAAGTCATACAACGGGATTCGACATATAAGGCTTCCCATCATGTAATACAAAAAAACACGACCCCCATAAAAGGAACTCAAAACAAAGGAATAAAGTTATTTACCAATTTAAACCATTTAAGAGCAGTTTCAAAGTTCTCCGATTTGAGGTAGAGGTTGGCGAGATGCTTGCAGCTGGCGAACTTGATTGTCTTCAAGTGAGCTGGCATTACCTATATGAGGATAACTCCGGTCTGTGCCGCCAGGCCTTAACAAGTAAACTACTCGAGCAACCAAATTTCAATGCAAAATTACCCACAGAGAGAACCGAAAGTGAAAAACTTACCGACGATGATCGCAGCAAGAAGCTGTGAACGATGCTCTCTAAAAGAGGAATTGCCTCAATAGAGGAGTCCGATTCAGAAGATATTTGAAGAGCATGTTGATACAGTTTGGTAATGCGGACCTCCTCCGCCTCCTTGGAAGAGTACTTCTCGCGCACTGGCCGGAGCAGACGACGAATGGCATCGGTTTTAGAAATGAGGTCTTGAGGATTATCTAGTAGATCTATAGCAGTAACGGCACAAGTCCCGCTGGGAGAGCCATCGTGGTCCAAATCGATGTTTCTACTCGACTCTGACAAATTAGTTCTGTCATCAAAGGAGCTAGGGTGGCTGGCACCAACCTCACTGGTAATTGGCCGAAATCGAAACTGTAATAAGATAGGAACCTATGAGATCACACGTACTTATGAAGTCGTCCAAATGGTGCCATATAAAGGAACCCTCAACATAGCAAAATTTGCAAAGGTGGATACTGACGCTGATAGCAAAGTGTGGCACAAATTGATTTAGCGAAACTCGTTTGCGAACATACGAAAATAAGTAAAATAGCACACGAATGAACTAAGGATTCGCTTGACAAAGGCCGCAAAGATGTGCTAAAGGCTAAACAGAACGAAAGTCTATTCAAGAGACCTCAACATAACACAAATTCAAGCTAAATCAAAAGCGCACATATCGCTTACCAATCAAACACAAGCTATAGTGAGCCAATGAAATTAGCAAAAATTCAACATGGATATCATTGGAACAAGTGATTCTAAAAAAATTTACTAGACTTCAGTTATTGACTTTATCGAAAGTATAGGTAGAGAGCATCACTTACGAAACATCAGAAGTGGAGTGTTGATAAGCCATCAAAATTTCCTGTACGCACATTTAATGGGTACAGAGCTATGGTTCCGGCTATCGTATGGACATGGTGGTTCCTGCTTTCAAATCGTTGTTTTTCATTCAGCTATCATTTTATTTGCAGTCAGAGAGGTCCTGAGGAATTAAGATCCTAAATAAGGTCCTGGTGACAACTCAATGAAGTTATTTTATGAATGCAACAATAGCAAAATATCAGAAATGCCTAAATTGTTGCAAGTGTAGTCCTGGTATAACCACAGAGGATTAAATGTAGCAAAAATGCACTTCTGAGAAATTGACTCCGACAAAGCCGTTACCACATTCAAAGGCAATGTTCGATACCGTTCTTGCTCGGAAATGAGGAAATTGAATTTTACTGGTGCGCTTGTTGATTTTTCCTGGAAATTTTGCTAGGTAGTTCAACATCGGTGAGTTAGCTCAAAATGCAGTGCAAGATTTGACGTAGCAGAAAAAGGGAATCCCTTGACGGTTGTGGTTTACGTCATAGCCCCCGTCCGTCCCCGAAAACCATCCACATTACTGTGTATGTCAGAAATTGTAAGCGGTTGAAACTAAGTTAAGATTACATGACGAAATACTACCATGCCACATTTAGACTATAAAAAGAATAAATGAAATAAAGAGAAGGGTGATTCGGGTTACGGTTCTTCGACAGGGTTGACGATGCTTTTTCCTTCATGGCCTGCAGTTGCTAACGTCCCATAGCCTAAAGGTGCAGTTCACCAAACGCGTGCTACATTATTGTATCTTGGATTGCTTTTTTTACGTATGAGAACGTGTGCTGTATGATTCTAAGCTTCTAGAGCTTTCTATTTTTTTCAGAAGTCTGTGCTTATCTGATCCGCTCGTTGTATCTCGTTGCGAAGGTTCTAGCGTGTTAACCCCATTGGTTTGATTGAAGACCAGACTAGCCATCTGGGAGACATTTTGATTGTTGTTGTATTGATACTTTGGGTCATCCTAAAACCCCATTGGGCTGCTCCAGCATATATTGTCAGTTTCTGATCAGTACACAGCAGGACGGAGAAGTCATGGAGACACTAAGAGCTTGGGTAGGTTATCGTCTATGTGAATCGCCTCATATTCTTAGCGCTGCTCCTGGTACCTCGTAGATCCGCTCAAACGCCTTAACCACCACGTCACAGGAGTCACTCTGGAGACGACAACCATGTGTCAACCCTTTGAAGTGCAAGGAGACCCGACCCCAGCATCAGGTCGTTTCACCGATGGCGTTCCTTCACGATCTTTTCTTCTAACTTGTGATTTCAAATTGTAACTACTCATCCATCTAGTGGAGAGTTGTTGGATTCAAGGGTGGCTCCATAAGGCAGGATTCCAAATAGTTCACGACTAGTAACGTCTCAATTATGAATGAGAATCCTGCGGAATACGAGGCTGGGGTGGTTACCAAGATTCGACGTCATTTTTAGACCTGACAGGAGTTGTCATAGGCACATATGCAGCAGAGGCACAAATTTCAGGTTTAGCGCAGAAGTAAAAATCAGAGTAGATGAATGCTATGATTACGTCCACAGCCTGCTGCTACAAAGGTAGTGCTATGAATCCTCCTCCATATCTTCATATCTCACGATGACAGTGGGAAGAATCGCACTGTCGAAGTACAGCAGTTTCAGGATGAGAGGATTGATACGTCTGGGAAAGCAAAGCAAAAATTCGAACCGATCACCAGTCCAATAATCAAGATTGAAGGGTGCGAAGAGACATGCTAAAAGAGGCTAGTGTGTCAGTGTTGGTGGTAGGGCGAGAGAGGTACTTTGCTGTAATCGCAACACCATGCCACCAGTAAAGGTAATGATTCACACTTGAAGATGCGCAATTTAAGCTCGGGTTTAGCACCTGGGTAAGCGCTGCTGTTAAGTGTAGTTGATTGACACACTAAGCTCGCAACGCCACAGGACCGGAACACACCAAAGAGTTTAATCTGGGAGTGCATATCGTGCAATTTGTGTACTAACAGTGACTTTTCAGAAGAATCAGCCGCCAAACAAGGCTTCAAGTATTAAAACACCCTAGTAATGACGTCTGTGCAAAAGCCGTCAAGACCTTACGCGACTTGCGTAACGACTTATTTAAAGCGAACAAACGAAGGCTACGATCAAAATAGACGAAACAGGGGCACATTAGCTCACACAGGCCAACCCCATGCACATTTTACAGTCCCAGCACTAGCTGAGACGCAATAATTGGATACTCAAACCCACCCTCTGTATTCCCAGGACCGATAGTAACTTAAGCGTAGACTGATTAATTCGTGTGCGCACTCCTGTAAGAGAGACAAAAAACGCTGGATTTGCAGATGGGGTTAAGTAATTGCATGCGTAAGAATGTCGTGCGCTTCATGCAGGCAAATTCGATACTGAGATGTAAAATGACAGCTCAGTCTAGACAGATAATCTTGATAACTCTCCAATGTATTCTAGAAGGCTGCTTTAAACTGATGACTTAGTCCACGAAACAGCAATGCAGAAATCCCACACAACGTGCACCCCTAAATCTAATAAAAGATGAACATGTCTAAATAAAACCAAGTAAATGGGCGTAGCAAAAATTTACATATATTCGTGATAAGTTTCACTGAACGAGATCCGCTCAGCATCCAGATGGCTAATACATACAGATGCATATACATAGAAAAAAGGAACAGGTGGAAGGAATGTGAAGTGCCCACAATCGTGCAAGGAGAGGGAAAAGAAGAAAAGAGAAGGAACGGCTAGATCATCTTCAAGGATATTCCCGACAGTCTACATGGAAGTTCACCAGCCGTATGATTTTCTCATCACTTGGTCCGCCTCGTCGATCGCCGCAAAGCAATGCCAGACGAGGTCGACGATTTGGAAACGCGTGGGTTCGGACGACTTCCTACGCCTTTGCCCTTCTCCGCAAAAGGAAGCTTGGTCTGCCTCAACTTTCCAACCTCTTTTTTTTCTTTTTGCTTGGATTTTTTAACACGTTTCGGAATTACAGTACCCGAGGCCTTGGTATCTTTGTTTCGCCGCTTCTCTCCAGCTGCATTAAACAAAGAAATCGGTCAGAAAAGCGACAAAGGTAGAAATTGAAGATTCGATACAGCAAGGACTAACGCATTTCCTCTCCTAATGATGCATTATCAGGGCCAGATGTTGCTAGATCCTCATCATCGGTATCACCGTCGCTGTTCGCTTCCGTAGTTGGTGCCACTACTTCTATCTCCTCCTTCGTGCTCTCACCCTCGTCTACAATCTCTGAGTTGTCCCCAACTGATGGATGTTGCGGTTGTTGAGAACGCTGTTTGTTAGTAGGATTCTTGACTCGAAGAAACTGAGGCGGAATGAGGCCGTCCTTTACGGCTTTGGCATTTTTGCATGGTGTAAAGGTGACTAGGGGACTACCACCCTCTCCACGACAGAGCTGCGCAAAGTCGGGGTTGGAGAAAGAGGCAGGTGCGCGAAGGAAGAGAGTACGCGGCAGCTTTATCTCAAATTGGCACCCTTTCCACACTATGTTGGTACAACGGGTGAGCAAAAGTCCCAGAGATATGTCGCAGGCGATGTAGATTTTCTTAACAAGATGCCATACGTAATCATGGTGAAAGCTAGTTCATACTTTGTATAAAAGCTCCTTTATGATCCTATCCTAATTACTTGAGTCGTGGCATGGTAGTCCACCGTTTCTTGTGCTTAAATACGACGGAGGTGGAGCACGGCTAGCAACGCTCATCGGTTGAAGATGGGCGCCTTTTTGCGTTCAGTTAAAGGCTTCTACATCTCACTAAATTGTTAATGGCGATCTAAACACTACGCTTAAACTTTTTTCGTTGTAAACTCTAGATAGCCACTAAATATCTAGATGAGCAAGATACACTGAAGTCCAGTTCGGTGACCATTAATTTGTGTGCATTCAATATCACTTTCGAAAAAAGTCTGAAATGCCTGTTCATTCAAGCAGAATGTGACAAGCTGATGAATACCACTAAAAAATAACAAAAAATGAAAACACGAGGATGGGCAAAGGAAACTCTCCACAGTTGATGAGTTGAGACTTCGCTCGAAGACGGTTCTCATATTATTGCAGGATAAATGAAGAAGTAGATAGCAAGGAAGGGACATTCAAAACTTTACGCAATAGGCAAATGTCACTAAAATGAATTTAAGGGAATTTCCACAAAACAATATAGGCAATGAATCCTTCTAGTGTATGAACAAGCAGCATTTTAAGAACTGACGAAAGTTGAATAATCTTACAACCGGAAAACTGCCGGTGATACAATGAGTAATCCAAAGTCCAAAATGGAAGAATATTGAAAGTGAAATTTGGTAAGAAAAACGTGTAGCTAAAGCAACAGGGCAGCTTCTGGAGGTCAGACGCCTACGTTACTAATTGCGCCTTGAAAAAGACGTAGATTGTTATTGATAAATATGTCTCATTGCTTACTGTGTTGATGTTCTCGTCCGTGGGACAGAGGGCGTCCTGTGAATGTTTGATCTTTTCCAACAACTGTCGCAGAAAAGTGTAGTTGTTGCCACCAGCCATGATGGGTTCCATAATAAACCAGAGTGCACTACAAAAAAGGGAATATGAAATGAATAAAAATGACAACAATGGAGACACCCACGATTTCACGACGGTAAGACGAGTCACATCATCCGGCTTCTCCCAGTCTGGATCATGAGCCAGCAAGTGAATGGTATAAGCCAACACAAAGTCAGGCAGAAGAGCAAAGAGAAGTTCTGAAACAAACACAAACTATATGTTTCTCCTATCATGATAAGATAATATGCTTTGAAAAAAATAAAAACAACGTGCTGGGATTCTCATTGAAGGGACCATGCTTGGCTAGGAACTCTCTGCGCTGCTTGACATTGGCTGCAAGGAACTGTTTTGCACGTTGGCGAAAGGCCAGTTCAGACACGTCGGCAGCGTGGGCAAACATGGCCATGTATTCGAGGGGAAGTTTGAGCTGAATTAGTCCTTGATGCAACACTCCAAGGAAGTGGGATCGTACGTTGCTACAGGGATCCTGTGCAGCACAAGGAAGAGGAAAAGCAATTCGATGAGTCACCAAGGACTGACAGTCTCGTAATCTAGCATAATCAACAAATAATTTGTGCAAATGTTTTAGCAAGTTTAAGAAAAAGTGGAGCTTATCGAATGCGCCTCAACAAAATTTTATCGAGCCAATGTTACAATTACTAATAACAATATCAATACTTGGTATTTTGACAACAAAGTAACTCTCGCCAAGCATGTGAGATGTTCGCCGTTTGATGGGTAAAAAAGGGAATCGAAACACCAAGTGGACAAAATTACATCATTTACCGTCTGGATGTCCATTTTGTTAAATCCCACGGCGACCCGACTTACTGGCGTGAAGAAGGGAAATTTCATGCCTTCATCAGAGTTAATTTTGTATGCACTAAGGCAAGCACCTCAGGTAATGGCATGACACCTTCGTTGCCTACTTTATTCGTTAGCAGTAACTGCAACTAAAATGGTTCCATAATGTGATCGTCGCCGATTTCATGTTCTATTGGTGCTTAAAAGCTTGGTTTGAGTATCCACAGATTTCTTCGGCTTTAATGTATCGTTTGAATTCTCTAAAATTCTTTTGATTGAACAGGATGCCAAAAGAGAACATTTGTCGTTTACACACCTGAATGTCTATCCAACAAAAGCCACTAAGCATACTCAGATTCGACAGTTCTTAAATGCGTTTATTACATGAAAACTGAAGCTTAAGCCAATCCATTAGATAGATCAAGACTACGCGGAATGAAGCGCACGTCCAAAGAAGTTTCATGGAATGATGCACATATGGAAAGAAGTTCCATGTGTCATGTGAGTCTTCTACTTGAAGAAAATACTTTGACAAGGGAAATCAAAACCCATCAAAACAAAGCTTTCGTGCTACATCAACTCTTGATCGGAGTAGATGCTATGCTGCTTTGACAACCAACAGCGACCGATAGCAGTGCCAAAACGAAGTGGTAGCGAATCGAGGCAGCGTGAAAGTGAAGGAAATGCAATGAGACGTACACACATAACGTAGGACATGGACTGATACCAACCGACTTCAATAACCTCAGCGTAGAATTGAAAATGAGCAATCTTCAACCAGGAGGTCGCGGCCACAAGACGCATTCGAGACATGTCACCAAGGCTTGGAAAGGATGAAAAAGGAAAGAGCACCTTTACCATTGGGATTTCATAAGCTTTGGTCGATTCACCTTCTGATCAGTACGAAGAATGTATTCGCATTAACGCAATAACTGTATAAAGATTGTTACAACCTGAGTAAACATATTGAATGGAATATAAAGGCCCAACACTAATGCCACTTATTTTAGCCTCACAAGACATGGATAGGTAAGTGGCCAGGCGAAAAGACCTCAAATAACGATGAAGGAGTGAACTTACCATTAACTGGTCTACACGACAATCCTTCACTTTGTCGTATGCATTAAACTACTTGAAGCGAAGGCAATTTGCCACCAAAAACGTCTTTCATTTTACACTTGCTCCTTGGTTCCCATTACAATTGGACTCCCTTATTGTTGGTCAACGTAATAGTGCAAGTTTATATCGGTAGCAGTTTGATAACACTGAGCTGGATTACTGACATAGTTTCATAATAGAGAAAAGAAAGCAAACGAACCAAATATTCAAAACCAATTCGCTTTTTAAACAGATGCGCAATGGTTAAACATAGTTGACGTTAAAAAGTGGAAAATTCGATAATTATATGAAATGCCATTCACCTCATTTGGCCGTTGCACGTCAAGTCACCATCATGCACGATAATACGATGAATGAGACGAATGATGATCTGGGCGACCTGTTTATTTTGCAGTTTCAGCCCCACCAACCAATTGGCCATCAGTTTCACCGCTGCTATCTGTAAGGAATAAAGCAGTCGCTAGTCCTCATAGCCTTCTGTTTCAGAAAAACTCCAGAAATACAAAAGCATGGACTGCATTAACTTGGAGTTACCAAACTCCCATTCCATCCAAACGCTTATAATAAAAATAATTCTTGATGCGTATGCTTGAGAGTATTCAAAGGATAACAAGAACGTCACAGTAGTGCACCTACCTTTGCACGAGTGAGAAGGGAAAGGTTGCCATCTAGAGTCCAGTCAGAGGGCTGTGCACCTTCTTTGCTGCTGTTCTCAGTTTCTATCGGCGCCTTCTGTCTTCTTCCACCCCTCTTTCCTGTTCTTGTCGTTGTTTGTGTCTCTGTATCTCCATCTTTGGTCAGAAGGTTTGGAATTAAGTGACCCGTCATGAGGGGTTTCAACTGACGATTGTACACACCCGGAAACAACAGACCCACATGACTTAAAGTGGTCAAACAGGCGATGTAGTCAGAACTGGTGATCTCACAAGCCAGGCACGTCTGATTAGCAGGGAAAATAAAGCGATGAAATCAATATCCCATATGCTGATTAATTTGACGTCAGAATACCTTTACGATGTCGTCCAGAGTTTGCTGAATCTTCACCTCCAGATTCGCCATTCTAGGTGCCTCAGAGCACACCGAATCGAGATCATTCTCACATTCTTCCGCTAATAAGGCGCCGTCACTTTCAGTAGTAGTGATCGTCTTCGTCTTGTTTTCTATTTCCTCCTCTTCCTCCTCATTGACGTCGCTATCCTGACGCGGAGTATCAAGAGACGAGACAGGCCCTTTAGGAAAAGTTGAATGCATCCCAGCGAGAGCATGAACTACGGAAAGCAGCTGACGCAGCACTCGAACAGATAATTTGGCCCGTCGCTTCTCCCGACGCCACGCCAAACCGGCTTGACCCACGGTCACTAAATCTTCTGTTGCCTCATCCACTGTTGGATCTTTTTCTCCCCGGCGCTGACCTGCAGGAAGCGCATATATATGCACAAAAAGATCGAAACAACTAAAGGTTAAGAATCTGACTCCGCTGGAAGATCAACGTCTTACGTTTCGCCTTGGCAGGAGGAGTGAATTTATGGCTATCAGCGATGGGGATGGGTGGATAGGCGGCGGTGAGCCCAGAGGTACAGAAGTTATATAGAAATGGAAGGATTTGAAGTGTTTGTTCATAGAGCTGCTCTCCACTGCCAGAGTAGAAGAGACTGGCGCTACGGGAACGCTTGGTGGCAGGCTTGGCCCCCTTGTGTCGCTTCTCTCCCTCCGTTGACGCTGATGCCTCTGCATCTTCCAAAGAGGTCTGAAAATTAACCACTTGCTGCTCCAGAGAGGCCCCACTACCACCTGCATCTTTTGGGCCATAGATTGGACCACCACCAAGGAGGCAACATAGAACCTATGGGAGGGAGGTTAGAAAAATTAATGAGACAAAGAACGCCCAGCTTCATGCGTACAATACCTAGTGATGGGAAACCTCAAATTAGATGGGCAGAAGCGATATTAATTATCGCTGTGATTTACATGAATTAGATTAATACTAGTTCTACTAATAGGCAGGGGAGAATGTGAGCGCCATATGGCAACTCTATTTTTAGCGAAATATAGGAAAAAGAGACGGATCACATTTAACGGCAACAGTAGCAGCGTGTGATGCTAAATCGAACGATTAACACGACTTACAATTAACAAAAAAACCATTTAAAAATTGTAAGATTTGAAAAGCCATACTGCTGTGGTTGTTGGAACACAAATTTATAACTATGCACTCCACGAAAGTGGGTGAAAACAGAGTACTGACGTACAGCTAACGAAACAAGTCAAAGAGCTGTAAAACAACTGTAGCAACAGGTTTCTTGAAATATATCGCCAAAGTGTATAATAAAAAGATGTCAGCGCCTATTCGGGGAAAAATACAATGAAAAATCACAATTCTTACCAATAATAAACAGCAAAAATAATTTAACTTACTTGGAGACATAATTCAACCGGTGAACTGGGATCCTCAGTCGAAGTGCTTTCAGCGGGAACATCGGGAACGAGGGTGCTTCGATGGGCATCAAGGACACCGTTGATATATTGGAACATATCGTCCGCAGGTAATGTGTCCTACAATAATATGAGATGCGTCCATGTAGAAAGGGAATTGACGTTAACCATTTGGAAAGCAATGCAAAAAACTGCTAAAGGAAATGTTAAAGAATCGAAGGCATGGATTCACTATGGACAAAGAAAGACAAGAGACAAATGAGAAAAAGTACAAGTAGGAACCTTGTGGTAGACGGAGAGAGCAAGAAGAATCCTCAAATCCCTCACTAACTCCTGACCGATCACCTCTTCCTTGACAGAGTTCTGTGAGGAACCAGTTTCCATTGAGACAACTAGACGAGTAAGGAGCTCCTGACCGAAGGCCTCGTCAAAGAGGACAGAGGCACAGCGCTCCACAAGAAGTTTAACGGTATGTTCGTATTGCGCTATTTCACCTCCCCCACCACCGCTTCCTGACTGCGACGTAATACGCTTCAGCACGTCATGCTGCCAAAGCAATGAATGAATCTTAGCGTTAACAAGTTATGGCTGACACTGCACGAAGAGGGCCCAGGAAAAGTTTACTATAAGTGACTGAATCTGAAGCCCGACAACTACTTCAATATCAAATGCCGCATAGTGACCAATGCAAAAAAAGGAGACTGAACTGAAATATTTCCTAGAGAACCACCCATAATGTTGCTCAAGTAGACGATAATACTCATCCTTGATCTGAAATTATGGTACCTTCTCTCATTATAAACCCGGAAACCCATGAAATGCCAGAAATAGCACTACTTAACAAGCGTATTATTCGCCAAGTCGACACACATAGGTACTCTGGAATCCGTGTTAGGTGGTATCACATACAAAATGTATACTACTCCCACTATGAGGCAATTTTGTACGTTAGCTCGGGTTATAATGCACCGCAAAGTCCTGTACGGCAAAAAAGGACACCAATAATCGAACCTCAAAACAAGGTGACGCTAGCATAGCAAAACCATCCATGCTGGTAGGTGTATTCATTCATTCATTCCGAGGGTTCGGAGCTGCTAGCCTTTTAGAACTCCTATGTGTTTGTAATAAGGCTGATCTCACCTTGAAACTTCATGACAGCAATTCGAGTGGCATAATTAATGAAAGAAGTAATTACCGCTAAAAGTATGAGCGAATGCAATGTGAACGGATTTTGTACTACCTGAGAAGCTCGAAAAAACATGAATAGCAGACTGAGGAGATACAAATTCACACCTCAATGACCTTTTACGGGCTCAAGGTCAATGAACGCAGGCATGAATTTCCATGTAAAAAGACTTACCATGCACTGAGCCGCCAACTTTGAGGAACAATTGGGGTGAAAAAGTTGACAGCAGCTGGTTCTCAGAGGTCGATCAGAATGAACTGCATTGAAAAACTTTTTCAGATGATCAATTGCCTTTTCACCCTTGGGCAGTAGACCTGGAGAAGGCAAGTAGGGGACAAGTTAACGTCAGAATGAGTTTAAAAGCATTCCGTGTTAGAGATTATTACTGGAGAGTTTTTGAATGACCCGAACCATTTCAGCACTGGCTCGACCCATAATCCTTTTGCCCTGGTGGTCAACGATTATGCGAAGAGCCTCTCGTACAATTGCAGAACCACTGCAAACGAAGACACAAAATCTAGCAACCATTATGCAAATGGAAACATTACAAGCTATTTTACAGATCACTCAATTAAAATGAAACCCACAGAAAGTGAGCTGTAATAAAGTTGATAGGGATGAACTAATGAGTGGCTAATTCGAATGCAATTACCTTGTTGGCAGATTAACTTACACAAACTGAACCTTAAGAAGTTCCTGCGTAGCCTTGATTGATGCATCATCCGCCAGTTGGTAGCAGGTGAAAAGACTCTTAACTCGTTCCTTAGTATCAAAGTTGTAGGGGACAATGCAACTTTTGAAGAGTCGTTCAACTATTATTCTAGAAGTGAGAATAAAAATGTCGAATATGCGTCAACGGTGAATGTGAGACCCAGAAAGGTATAGAGCGAGTCTTACATGCAGAGTGTTGATAAACAAATCTTTGATAAAACATTGCGAACGAATTAGGGATAGAAATTTAATTGAGGACGAAAGGCTCACTTGTCATCGACAGACGGTTGGTAATACATGTGCATGATAGAATTGAAAGTCATGACCATTTTATCCAAATTGGGCTCAGTGGCTAGAAGGTTCTGCTTATAGACCAGAGCCAATTCGGAAAGGACCTCTTTGCGGACGGAAAGTGACCTATCTCTTGATCGATTGTAGATTATGTCAAATAGGGAATCCGCCTCATCGCCTTTCGCTTCACGCATCAATGTAGCTACCATCTTGAGGGCAAGTAAACGGACAGCTGCGTGCAGAAAGGAGTGTTGGATTCAACCAAAAGAAAGGCAACTAGACATGCAGTAACATGGTGCTTACATTCCGTTCTGTCAATAGTACAAGACTTGAGGCAGTCAATTAGCTTCCCTCTCGGTAACTCAGTATTCTGCTTCAGCATAACAGGTACCATCTGGATGCAGAAATTCCGCACATCAGCGTCGATATCATTGAACCTGGAGAGGAAGGTAGCCCACAACTCGGGGTTCTTGTGATGAACCGTGGAGTTCTAAGAAAACCATTTTAGGCGCATAAAAACTGAATTACAGGTTCCGAGAAAATGCGAGCAAGCAGGCGGAAAGCCCTTTTCCTCTCACGAGCAATGCTGGACTTCAACTTAAGCTCAACACAGGGTAAAATCGGAGACACCAAGCTTTCCTGTAATGTGTGAAGCGCGTAAATTACGATGAACGAATGTTCTCCAAGTGGGTCGTGTGGACAAACACCAGCTTCCGACTCGTCCAGATCTGTGGAAACATACCTCTGATCGCTTAAAACAAGCGAGTTTTGGATAAGCTAAACAAGATAAGTTAGAGCTATCCAATCTACCATTTGAATGGGATACTCGAGCTGAGCAGCAGCTCGTAAAATTAAATCCTTGACCAGCCCATGCTGTATGGGCTGGGAACTTTTAGCAGGTTCGATAAGGAAGGACAGCAAATATGCCACAACGTCGTTTGTAAGAAGCGCGGAAGATTGATGTATCAATGTGACAAGTGAGTTGAGAATAAACTGCCGCACAGTTTCCTCATCCGACCAAGCCCATATAGAAATATTTCTGTGAAAAGCATTTGAATAAAGGCGTGCCTTACTTAACAGTCTCTATCAGTGTCCTCAAGCAATTAAGCAAGTGCTTATCGCCATTGTCTAACAGGCGACACCACGTAAATACATCTAATTTACAGCACGTCTAGCAAAATTATGACGTAAGATGAAAAACCTACATATACAATAGTAAATAGGCGTGGATAATTTACATCGTGTTTGCTATGCAGCTTTGAAAGATTCGAAATAGATTCGCTTAAGAAGGTGAGAAGATCCTGAAGCCATTACCAAATGTAGGTGTGGTACCTCAATGCGATTCTGTGAATCGGAAAGAGCTTCAAATGGATTGGTAGGGCAAAACAGCTTCAGTAAAGTGCACACCGCTACGCAGATACGCAAACGGATGTCGATGTCAGGATGGTGAGTGAATTGGTGGGACAACAAATGCAGCAGAAGACCGACTAATTGAATCGGCTTCTGAGTTTGAGTTACTGAATGTTGATTTTCAGAATCTTCCGCCACTAAATCATCCTTTATTCCACTTTGGCGCAGCATATCCCGTAGAGCAGCATTTATGTCCTTAAGTAGCTAAAATCAACAAGAGCCACATACATTGATTCGCTTTCTCAATTCATCTGGTCGGAGACTTCCGTCTATTTCAGCACATCCATCTGGGTACACAATGTCAAAGCCAACAGTATGCAGAACCATAACCTATTTCGTTAAACCCGAATTGACGCGACTCAAGCAAGGTCATATAAACAAGGATTTGATGCTAATCAATTTCCTGTGCATCCACTACTCGATTCCGTGGCTATAAGCCAATATGTGCTGTTCGTCGTAATTTGAAAATTCATACACTTATAAATAGTTGCTTACCAGTGAGAATTTATCCTAAGTTATACTAAATAGGGCTTTTAAAAATTTACTCAATTTTATTTAAACAGGCCACTTAAGATATGCATTCCTTCAGAGGTGAAAATTTTGTTAAGCTTAATAAATCCACTCGTTGAACTGTGTGTGGAAAGGATATTTGTTTTAATCTTGTGCTTAGCTGTGCAAACCACTTGTTATACATACCCTCCCGCCCCAACTTTGTTGACTCTTTGCTTTATTTCTCGAGTTTTGTGTGCCATACTACTAAGCATTTGATTGAATTTCCTTGTATTAAATGTCGGGCGCCATCGAAACAGCGTGAACACTTGGGATTATAGACTGCTTTATTAAATTAACCGATCGAGCGTTCAATGCCACTTGTAAACTAGGGTTGCTTCTCGATTGCGTCTAAGTCTTATAGGCAGTTACAGCATTACGCCATTCTGTGGTCATTTTGATGAGGCAATAAGATAATAATCGGGAAAATTGTGCCTAGTCTTATCCTAGTAAAGCTTGTGGCAGTATGACCTCGAGAGGGAATTTGCCTCCGGAGATAAGGTGATTGCTCTCCATGTAGCCTCTAGTCAAAACAACAGAATCCACTAGCAATTGTGATGATAGTTCTACTTCCTCAAACGAAAGGAGGTGAATGTTGGGCGTACTCTTTTCCATTCCTGACGACGCACCATGATGCCTTTGCGTATTTGCTCGAACTGTTTAGCTTAATTGTTCCAGCATTGTTCTATGACTTAACCCTTTTGTCTTCATTTTATCCAAAAATCGAATTTTAGACGGAGTCGAAGTTGTTTGCTAATCTATCTTTAATGGGAATAATACTTTCTGAATCTCTAAAGCTTCTTCTGTTGTAGTTCCTTAGTACGGTACTCCTCTTTTTAGTAAAGACTGCTGGGGAATGCTTGTATTTAATTAAAATGTTTACAGGGATTCAAATAAGTTGCTACCCTAACAACCATTTAATTAAGCTCCATTCCTTTCGGTGTTCATGTGCAAACTATCCACACTACCGGCTGCTTAGGACTTTTGGTAATCTAATTATTTTGACAGCTCCGGTGCTAGATCTACCTATTTGGCTCCTTCTTATGTTAAAAAATTTGCCGGATCTGTTTAAGTGATACACAATAGGGATGGGAGCAAAATGTGTGCCTTCAGAAAAAGAAACCACAGATAACCACAACGTTTAGATGTCTTCACTGAATGCTGTTCGCATTCAGTTAATGCTTGCCAATCATCATTAAAAACTCGCGTCGGTACTTTGCGTCTTCCTCCATCTCACCCATCATCACGGAGGTCACAGTGAATGCATTGACCTTCTGAACTCCGCGCATCACCATACACATATGGGTGGCCTCCACTAAAACACCCACACCACGGGGTCGAAGGGCGGTCATCAGAGCCTCGGCAATCTGGTGTGTGAGCCGCTCCTGCACCTGCAGACGTCGCGAAAACACTTCCACAATCCTTGCGATTTTACTTAAACCAATCACCTTTCCATTGGGTAAGTAACCCACTGATACTCGTCCCATGAAGGGGATCATGTGGTGCTCACACATTGAAAACATCTCGATATCTCGCACAACCACAAGTTTATCATAGTCTTCGTCAAAAATTGCATCGTTTAGGACGTCACTCACTCTTTCTTCATAACCCTTTGTGAAATAGAGTAGTGCCTTGGCCGCTCTCTCGGGGGTTCTCAGCAGCCCAGGACGTTGAATATTCTCACCAACTGCAGAGAGTATGTTTGCATATGCTTCTGACAGTTGATCCAGACGATGAGCTCGAAGTAAAGTGGGAGTGAAGTCACGTTGATAGTCGACAAGTTGGAGAGAAGAGGAAGATATCACTCCAACTGGTTTATCCGTTTCGTTAGAAGCGAGGCTCCCTTGTCTGGAAGGCACCGAGGAGTCGACTGATTTCTGGGGTTCAGCTTTACAAAGGCTTCGCGACTTCAGACGACCATCAAAGGGCAGTACATACACCAAACTCGTTGTTGTTTCTCCACGCTTAAAGCGTTGATGGCGTTCCAACATGTCATCATTAGGGATTGCGATTCGCTTGTCAATGGCAGATGTTTCAATTGTGTTCGTAGACTCGTAGTCATGAAACATCTTAAGGACATGCAAAACAGAGTATCGCAGCATATCGGCGGGCTAAAATCACACAATTCATCGTTTAAGGAAAAAAATTAGTTAGAATCACTATTTTGAAGGATAGGCGATTATTTGACGCTTAAAGTGCTTCAACCGTTTGCGAATCTGCCACGCTTTAACTAACCAGGGGCAGCTATTAATGAACACTAAAAGCCACCATCGTTTCAGCCAAGCCTAATCTTTGTTTCATCCTGTCAAAATATCAAAATGCTAAAATGCATATCAGGAAAGCATGCTCGCATTTCCAGGACTTACTCGAGCTCAAAAGTTCTGCACTATCTAAAAATACAATTTTTTGGATGATTTCAAACTTACACCTCCCTTAGCAGTGCAAAATGCATGAATGGGGTGACGGTGGCCTCTACCGACCTACTGAGATCCGATGATTTGCAATCAGAGTTCAAAGATAATGAAGACGCTGTTAACTTACCCTGTGTAAGGTGGCCTCGATTGAGAGTCTTAATGGCCGCCACGATCGAGTTTTATGGGAATAACTCGAGTGTTCAACCAATGAATGCGCTCGTAATGACCACTTACAAAGCCCACTGAGTCTACCCATTCGGAGTTCGCCTCAGTGATGCACGAAATTTAGCGCTCTTTTAGTGGTGCATTATTTGGGTGGAAGGATTAAGACCAGCCCTTTGTCACACACACACACACACCCCCAAACGCATGCAGTCTAACGAATTCGCCTTCTGAAATAAGCCAATTAGAGACGAGCAGAAGATCCCAATTTGGCCAAAGGAAGCATCGTTTGGGAAAAGTGCTCACTGACTCAGCGTTCTCACACTGATGCTTATTGTTGCCAAGCTTAGTGCCAATAAACCGCAGAAGACTGACTTGCAGCACAACAGCCTCATCCTCGTTTTCCAACAGGTAGATCGAAGTACTCATGTGAAAATATGAGAGCAAATGCCCATCACCTCCCTACATGGATGTAGGCATGAATTAGTTCGTTTGGCAATTTTTTTTTGTCATTATGCTCTCCACGCTTGGTAAAAGGGAGGAGGTGCTATGTTAAAATAATAAAATTGAGCCGTAATAGACAAATTACCTTCGAGTTTATGTCAACCAATGTAAACACTTTGTTTCTGGGGTTTTGCCTAACCAGCGATGAAAAGAAGGCGTAACGTTATTTCTTCCTCACACAACGCCGGTTTCAAGTGAACCCAACACCAGGAGTGTTATGTCAAAATAAGAGTGAGAATTCGTATCTAGGACTGTGATGATAGCATTATCCACCTCCTGACTCCATTACGGTCCCCTAATTCGCAGGGGATTATCGAAGTCTCAGTGGCAAGATTGAAGTTAGGCCACATAACTCCTTTTGTGTGGGCGTTGGTTATTTTGGGCCTAAAAGCCGCAGCTATTTAGATCTCAATTCGACTGATTTTTGTTGGAAGAGAATGATTAATGCAGCCATAATCCCATAAAGAGAGGACGATATTTTTGCTTTTCCAATTTACGCGATTTCCCACTCGGATGGATGTAGATGCTGCCATGCCATGGCCAATTTTGGGCTTCTTAAGAGCCAGTTGACCAGTTTTTGGTGGCGCTAATGCTTTGGTAATGCTCACTGGGCTGGATTTTATGTGCGAACTTGAGGGCTTTTCGGCGAGTGCAGAAGTAAGAGGCCTTATGAACAAATGACCTTGAAGGGCTGTGTGGACCAATGGAACACGAGTGTGCAAGGCCGCATGCAAGAGTTTGGACGCAGAAGCTTAAATCACAGTGAAAGGTGTGGGTAAGGTGCATAGCTGTGTAGATGGATGCAGAAATTAATCTCGCCAAAATCATCCTCATCGTTGTTCTTTTGGCTCCACTCAAGTCCACACAATCGGTTTTGAAGTCCATACGTAAGATTGGAGGTTGTTTGTTTATTTGTTTTATTTTCCAATCACGTATTCATGCATGCTCATGGATGTATGAGTAAAATTTCACTCGTAGGAAGGTTGATTAAAACATAAATATGATTAAAAATAAGCAAACACCAATCAAGATTATGGAGTGTATGGTATTAACATTTCACCCTACAATTTGGTGTGCGTCCAAGTCCGAGTGGCGCACTTGCTTTTGCATTACCATTTATAGCAATAAGGATTAAGGTTGGGACGTGGTTATCACATTTGGTCTCTGATGCAACCCATTTCCTCTTCCGCATTCGAGATTATCTCTGTCTCCACTACCCACATTACCTCGCACGCCTACTCGGTAGTTTCATTGCCAAGGAGATTTGCCAGTACGACTTGATGGCGCGGCCTAAAACAATCTGTTTCACTTTACTCTCGACCAAAACTGCAGAATGTCTTGGTGTCCAGTGTAGTAGGCGCAATAAAGCCCTCATTCAAAAAAATTTCAGTTTGTTGAATGACTGATGAATGTAGACATGCAATGCCAAATATTTTTTGTGAGGAGTTGCACAATATATGATGAGGTTATTCGTATCAGGTGTCCAAAACGGAAAGGCGTGCACACTGGTCTAATGAGCATATACGCGAATAACAGCGCTGCTTAAAGTCAAAACCGCAATACAGCTTTTGCCTTCCAGTTGTTCCCATCGATACAGGTATCCATGGCAGGAGACCCTTCACCCACAGCACAGCACAGCCTCCTGGTCTCCTGGTCAGCAGTGTCCACTGGCTTACTGGTCTTCTACTTTCCTTTCAGTGCTATAAAATTTTCAAAACAATCCACCCACAACTGCAAATCATCTACTTCGCAACCGCTACAGTAGGCATACAGTCCTCATGAAATGCAAAGTGATTTATTGTGCCACACCCTTAAGACACGATCTTACCAATCAAATGAGTGTAGAATTTCCTCCTCCTTCGGGAGCACTGACGTACAATTTGGTAGACGTTGTCAGTTACCTAAAGGGCTATGAGCACTCGTAGATGCCAACACATCAGCACAAAACGCATGTCATGCAACAGAAGGGCTCTTTTCCTTTCCAGTTTTTACAGATCCAATGCTAGACCCACAACGATGCTCTTTGCTATTCTCATTCATTCTCCAAAGGAAAGAATTTTCGGAGCTTCCTGTAACAGAAATAAGGCCAATGTTTCTCAACGCACTAAAGGTTCCGGCGTCAAAAGTTGATTTGGAAAAACGTAAGTTTGCACTCATTACTGTGTCTTGCATACCCGAAATCACGCCAAACATGTGAGCTTTATGAAGTACAAGCATCACAACTTACTTCTCCTACTACAGAGTCAATCGGCCGCATTTATTAGACAGTAATTTTGCGCTTCCTTGGGAATGAGACGGGTTTATTGCAATAACCTCTCTCCCATATGGACACTTTTATTTGTTGCAGAGTTAAAAATAATATCTAATGAGACCATTTTTGTGGAAATTGGTCCCAGCTACTTCTACGGGCCCTCTTTCTTTCCACCCATGTGGAGAACGAATATTGTAGGGGTTAACAGAACCCGTTTGGTTGGCTTCGGCTTGAGTTCTGGTGTGCAGAATGGCGTGATCGGTGCAGCATTTGAGCATCTCACCTCCCAACTTGGAATCGCTAAACTTGCCTACATCTTTGACAACATGGGTTTGTTCACTTTTCATTGCCCCCGATGTCTTTTGCGTAATCTTCCATCAACACGGCTGATGGCATTGCTTCATAATGAGTTTTATTTTTTCGCTCACTGCAAGCTAAAGGCATCCATACAACACACTTAATAGTCCCCTTCTCAGCAATGTTATCATACCTGGTGCAGTTACGAATAGCATTCAAGAATCGAAAGCTGATTTGTCTCATTGGGCTCCTCAAAGCCTGGAACGGGTCTGAGAAGCTGGAAGTTTACTCATCACTTTAATTTCTCCCTTTCATGCAGAGGGTGAGGTTTATCCTTTCGCCGGTAAGTTGTGGACGTGATTATGGTATGACCTCTGGTGTAGACATTGGGACATTCCTCAAGGAGGAAGTGGGGCAATTCCACATCTACCACCTGTGTGACTTTACCAGCGTTGAGGATGCCCTTGGCCAAATTCTTGTCGATGGTGCCAATGTTCTAGTTCTCAATGTGGCCCACCAAGCCGCCTTGGAACTTCTGCACAAGGTAGGCGGTGCTGGCACCACTCGAAGACATTAATGACACTCTCTAGGCATATGAGAAGAACATCCTTCAGCAGCCCTTCCATTGGCTTGTGTTTAATGCTGTACGTTCATTTCGCTATTTGGCATGTCAAAAGAAGGATAATTCAATGGCATCGGATCATGTAAACACTCCCTCATATGATGAAAGAAGCAATTTGGAGGGCGCGAAATTTCCCTCTTTCACACGGTTCGATTTCACGTCTTTGCTGTTCTGGAGTTTATGAAGAGCTATTTCGATTAACTTACAACTTAATTTTGTACTTGAATAAGTAAAAACCAGCCATCAATCGTTTCCACCAAACTCTGATACCAAGAGATCAATGGGAGCGTCTTTAGCTCGAGTTCTGCTCCATCAGAGACTTCGTAGCCCATTTGGTTTGACATCATCAAGGTGGGTCTAAAGGGGGCATTTTATTACCGGATAGGGTGTAACTTTATCGGGGAAGGACTTCCATGTGCATGACACCAACTTCTTTGCAGTCGAATTCTCCACAAACGGCAAGTTCACCGACTTCACCGAGCTGAGCGTCATGCCGAAACCCATAACACCAAAGGATTTGATATTCCGGGACATGGCTGTCGTGGGACTGCAGAAACTAGCAGAACTCCTCAGGAAGGACGTGAGTCAAAATGCGTATAGCGAATGTGATTTTTGGTGGCAGAAATAATACCATAATTACTAAGTTTAGCAATAACCCATTCTCTATGACAATAACACATAGTCACACTTGGGAGCAAACCTTTACAATTTAGAAGCAAGCATGAAATGTGACGAATTGTCATAGGTGGCACTGTTTATTTGCACCGACAAGTGGAGCGACTGTGAAACAGACGAGTTGATCGGGTAAGTGAAGGCGGTGATGGTCGCGGATGCAGATGAGACAGAGGATTGCGGGTGAAGAACAACTAATGTTTGGCAAGTTGCATTGAAAATGAGCCGTTCTGTTCTGACTTTTGCATAGCTATTTGAGCCCTACATGAAGAAAAGAGCAGAGCTCGCTAACGATGACAAGACTTTAACTAACGTTTCGGTACAATGAGTGGAGAATTCTGCTCCCTCCTAGTGCACTAGCCTTTCTCATTACATAGATAGAGACAGGTTAGCTTCAGATAGTGTCTATAACAGGTGAAGTGATTGATCAGAGAAGATTTTTAATGCAGTTGACAACTGCAGTACACACGCACAATATAATACTTCATTTGTCCAAACGAGCGTCTTTCAGTTAACGACGGTAGGCTGCAAGATACTTGAGTTAGTGTCATTAAAATTGTAAGTCTCAGAGTTACCATGACGAGGTGCTGTGTACTGCGTTTGACATCCCTTGTAAGCACCACTTAGCCGTGGGCTCTGCGCTCTTGTCAACGCTAAACTCATCACCATACCGCACAAAGTTAAATTGCAAGTGCCGCCATCTTTGTCAGGTGATGCGAAATATTTGCTACTCGTCACTGTATGTAAGCGTTCTATGGCAAAGTCTACTTTTAAGGGTGTGGATTATGAAGTTCCGATTGCTGAAAATTGCACTCTCTCTCCGACATTTAAAGTTGTTCAAAACATTCAGGCATTAGCATTCAAATCAAAGCCACGATTTGACTTTAAAACAATTACAGTTATTCATTTTTGAAGTGGTAAAATACACCTTTTCTATCGCAAACGATGCAGGGAAATGCCCTCCTGCTGTTGAGCTCATCAAATTCCATTTTAGCTGAAGGGTTCGGTGCCCCTCATTACGAGCACAGTGGACGGTGTGGATGAGGAGGCACTACAGCAAACATGGAATTTTTACTCCTACATGGATGTAACATTCGACACAGCAAGCGTACGTTCATAACTCCTGTCAACTACTTTGCTTCCAGCTTGAAGTTGGCCAAATTTATAACTCTATCCAGTGAGAGAGTGAATAAAATTTTTTTCTTTTGTGCCTAATTTGTGTATTTTTAAGCTGTACAAGGTGCAAATCTCAACCAACGGCCCCATCAGCGGAACTTTTCAGGCTCTAAATCCCCCACCAGAAAGGAGACTTCTGCTACAACGATTGCGTAGAAAGCCCCTCCGACTTGGCACTGTTGTGGTAAGGAATTAAATATCATTTTTTCATGCCGCTGTGCCGTGCTTCACAGTTCTTTTTGCTTTTGCTTTGTGGTAGAACTGTTGCAGTGAGGAGTACCACTGGTGTGCCATTGAAGCAGGGCTGCTCAAAACAGCACCATTAATGGCGCTGTTCTGCCACATCAATGGTGGCAAGTCTGTTTGTGCAACCTTGAAAAGTCGAAATGGATTGATGTGCATCAAGGTCAATTGAGGCGTATTTTGCTACTTACAAAGTGACAGAAGTGACACCTGTTTAAGCTAAGCTAAGGTGCTGACATTTGAAGCGTTTCTAAAACTTTTGTGTGATTTGTGCTGGAAATGAAGGGACATGTAGAGAATGAATAAATGAAGTTAATGAAATAAATTACAGGTGCCACCAATAATAACGGAGGAAACCAGTGAGAATGGAGTGAAAATCTTACGGGGAGCCGAAATTGCCTTGGCGAGAGAGCTCTTGAAGCGCCTGAATGTTTCCTACAATATCGCTGTTTATAACACAGATCTTGGTGAAAGGAGGAGTGGACGGTGGACTGGTATCTTTGGCCACCTGGAACAATGGGTGAGGTTCTCGAAACACTAATATTTGACCAGCCCTTCTGACCTTTAAATTTTTTCCATGATTACAGAACATAGACCTCCTAGTGGGTCCCTTCACGAAGACGTGGGATCGAATGATCAGTTTTCGTAGCACCACGCCAATTCGCAGCATTGGCTACAGTTTCATGTACTTTCGCCCCTCCCTCTCGGTCCCGACGCAAATTTTCCAATTTGTTGTCACTTTTGAAGCCTCAACTTGGCTCCTCATCTTCCTCACCACGATTGGTGTTGGTGTCACCCTCGCTCTCGTTCATAAAATCAGCCCAAGTTCTCTCAGCTACAGTATACACCCCGCCATTATCTTCGTTTTTGGTTATCTTTTTCAGGTAAAAGTCACTCTACTTTCAATGCTGGAGGTATATGTATGTAACAAATTGATCTCTAGAAGAAGCCTAATGGCATAGGAGGCTAGCGGTAGCCAAGCAAAATCAGTGAACACTAGAAAGAGCCGCTTGTTGTTACAGTTCGAACAGTTCAGTTCAGTTACAGTTCAGTTCAAACAGCTGAATATTTTGTCGTGTTTTAAGGGTCATTTATTTTACTTCGTCTGGATCTCCGTTCTGCTTTAGTGACCATGACCGATCGGTGAATGATGGTGACTCAAGGGTAAGACAGGAACGGAGTCGGATACGGGGAGTGCATTTGCCTCTCTGCTACTTAGGAAGATGCACTTCAATGCTACTCGGCTGTGAAGCTGAGCTTCTTCCAAATCCTTGTTCTCATGCCATAATCATTTTAAAAGCTTTAATATCACTAGCATACGCATTTGGCCTATGGACGTACTGCGTTGACTCAAAGTCTCCCATGCAGAAGGGGAGGCTGAAGTCCAAGTTAATGCACAATAGAAATCTCTCTTTGATAGAAGTCTAGCAAAAAATTTGTGAATGATCTAGCTTAAGAGCCATGTCTTCTAAGAAAGTGGGCCTTTGGTGACCCGAGTGGTACCACTTACTACGTCAGCGATTTTTCATTTAAAATAAATTTGAGAAGGATTTTGCCTAAGTGACAAAAGGAGTAAACGTATTGACCCTCAGATCCGTAATAAGTGCACGGGTTAACGCAAGTTAACGTTCCTTTATTGTTAAAGAATTATTTAAATATACTACATGTTTGTAATGCTTAGTGTTAATGTACCACCCCAAAGCAAAAACCAAGATGTGTTCCATAGAGTTGGTATGCATTTACTTGTGCCGCTGCAGGGCGTGAGAACGCGGCCACCGAGGCAGACGTCGAGTCAGATCCTCATTGTGGTGTGGTGGTTCTTTTGCCTCATCCTCATCATTGCATTCTGCACCAACTACGCCTCCTACCGTTCCTTCACGGCGTTGGAGACTCTGCCCACCACCGTCGCCACCCTCCTTCATCAGGAATACTACAAGTGCGTCCACTTGGGTGCTGCTTTTGCAAACAATTTGTATGCATCTGCCTTAACTTGGCAGTTCTTAAATAGAACGCCACTTTGTAACCTATTTTTGTGTGAATTAAGAATTATTGCCTTCAGACTAGTGTCCTTAGATGTGTCGGCTTCACATACGCTTCAAATGGTGAACCACCGCATCACCAAATTACAAGCAAAATTTTAATTATCATAAGAAATTTCACGGAGCCGAGCGAAGAAAAAGGATATTAAGCAATTATTATCCTTTCAACCACCAAAGGCTGTTTCCTACTTTTTCTAGGTATGCCTACATAAACGGATCTAGCATGGAGCTCCAGATGCGTGTGCCATTGGATCCGTCAATTTATTCCCTTTACACGGTCATTAACAAGAAGTTCAAAAAAATGATACCGCCCAACCGAAGCGCAGGCGTCGATCAGACTATTAAGGTACTTCATTCCTCATTTTGCGATTCCCAAACCGTTCAATCGCTCACTCAACTGTGGAATGCTAGTTTGAGTTGACTTTGCATGTTCCAATCACCAGTCCTTTGAATGCTCTACTCGGACAAGAGGTAGGGGAATTGACAGACCTGCTCCCCTCTCTCTCATTAGGGGGGTTTCGCCTTGCTCGACGAATCACCATTCATCGAATACTACGCACGAAAGTATTGTCTGGAGACGAGTTTGACGCTTTGGCATGGAGCCTACGTCTTCTACATGCCGAAACTGCTACCCTACTATACGATCATTAACGAAGAACTCACAATGATGATAGCAGACGGAACAGTGGATCGAATTTACAACCGGTAGGTGGTGTTGCGTACTTTAGACACGAGCGATGGAAAGGGGAAGGGAGGGTGGTGGGAAGGAGTAGGCTCGGTATTCACTACAGCGATGTCCGTTCCGCGACGCCCTGTAAGAACTTTGGAGTGAACAAGTTGCCTCTTTGTAGGTGTTTACACAAGCCTATAATCCTCGAATTCCTTTTAAATCGGTGGAAATTCGTCTGGATAGACGAAAGTCAAGGAGCTGCAGTAACTAGAATGGTAAACCAGATGAAAGGATTCGAAATGTGATTAAATGGGTTTCGTGAAAAAGGGATGGCTGAGACCTCAATGGCCATAATCTTAATAAGAATCATCCCAAATACTCTACAAGAAGCCGAACCCGAACGGACCAAATGAAAGACAGGTTCACGTGACGACCTCTTTCTAGCGGTTTTGGAAGCGCCTGAACCCTTGTCAGTTCCGTTCCCAAATATTTTTATCGGCAAGCCCTCTTTATAACACCAAGAGTGCATGGAAAAGAGTCAGGGCAGCGATCAGGACAATATTTAAGGAATAGCGTCCATCCATGTAGATGATGCTTCACCCAATTGTTTTGCAACGATTGAAGACCATTCGACTTTAAAGATCCTGGGGACTAATTCGACATTTTGGCAATTGAACCTAAGAAAGATGGTTGCTGAGGCAAGTGAGTGCAAAAACTGCATTAATAGATGGTCCGAATGCATGCATGCGTGATAGTTATGGAACAATACGGAACGGAGCCACTCCGCCCGACAAATGCATGTCATTGTTTCCTGCGGTTGTAATGCATAGGCGTAGCAAAGCTACGTAGTTGCTACCGCAAACATGCTGGTAACTAAATGAGCGTTAAGGTAGTTACCCCAATAGCACTTCTGAAAAACGATGCAGTGTTTTAAAATGTGTCAGTTAAAAAATGCGCCGTTGAATCGATTTGCAGAGCTCAGGAGGAACTGCTAGCTAGTTTGCCCAGGTATTGCGGAGCTACAATTAACGATCAGGCAATCGAAGCGATGCGGATTCCCCTCGTACAATGGTCTGAATATTCGATTGAATTTGCTGCTGCTTTGGGCATCTTTGTCATCAGCCTAATTGGCCTCTTCATTGTTCTGATCGTAATGACTGTTGAATTTCTGGTCGGTGTCTACAAATAAGGTAACTTCCATGATTTTTCGCTAACAAATAGTTGAGTTATCGAAGACAACACCTATAAAGACACCGAAAGCTTTTACTTAGCCAACACATGAAAAACCGTCAGTTACAAGCCTTTTTAAACTATTTTCTTTTCTGTAACCATTGCGCTGGTAGCTTGGAGGAATTCTGTGTACATATGTTCAGGCCTTAATCTGATTCCTCTCTAAATTCTTTTATTTCTTTTTGTTTCAGTGAAGTGTCTTAGTGTCCAGACTCTTGGCATCGACAGCTTCACCTTTCCACCATCAAAGTTATCCTTAACTTCCCCAAATGTGCATTTTCATGTAATCCTTACTGGCTTTTAAATAATGTATCCTTGCCTATTTTTGGGAAAAATGGAAGCATATCAACGCTGAAATCGCACACCTAATAGGACCTTTAAGTTACCTTCTAGACTTCTGTTAAATACAAATTTTGCAATGCCGCTCTTCCAAGGGCACTTTGGAACACATCATGATTAAATCTCGGACTTTCGAATTTGCTAAGACCGTTAGCTACTGCAATGGCCCTCGTAAAATGTGAAGTAGAAGGTTTTGGTAAATTCCACTCTCTTCATGGCCGGCACTGTCTGCGTAATCTGCATACCACATCACTACTAGATAAGATTACTCCAGGAAGCCATCACGTGTCTCCTCTGCCTTGAAGACATTCGAGTGCGTAGGTGGGTACACGCATATCTGTGCACATGGCATACCCTCCGAAAGTTGATGCACACCAATCGAAACATAGTGTGAATGCAAGAAGCTGGCCGTTAGTGTATAAATAGAGGTAACGATACGTGAGCGACATACAATAGCACTGCTTAAAGGTACCAAGTAAAAATGAGGCGACTTGATGCCAGCACATTGTTCGTAATCGTCCTCCTGGTTTTGCGCAGTACTTCTCAGCCGTTCACACCATCGATCTGTAAGTTTGATGGTTTTTTTATTAACAAAGCGCGATTCGAGCAAAATCATGTTCCAAACCGCAAGTTCTATTGATCACATTTTCCGTGATATCAGCGACAATGGTTATTTTTCGAACGACAAAAAGCCTATTTTGGCTGGTTACTGTGTCATTGCTGTAGTTGTGCATGTGACATGAAATTAACATTTTCATTGTACTGAAACCGATGTTATTTTATTTTTCATCCATAAAAGCACAGTAAGCAATCTTAGAGTCAGTACATTATTTGGCTTACACTTTACCGCCTTGGTTAAACGTTTCCGACTCGTGCCGATTAAATAAATCTATCTTCATTCAGTATTTACGGATCCAAGATTAGATAAACGGCGATGCTCTACTTTATTTGCATCGGTTCTTCAACGCAGAGAATTCGTTAATCTTTCAACAATTGGGGTTCTACCAAAGTTTCTGCATGAATTAAGGGTTCCAGCGTCCAAATCCGACTTGGAAAAGCGTAAGGACTTTCATTTCTTCCAGATTTAGTTCCGACACACATACAAATATATGATTTATTTCGTCATCTTTCTATTGTGTTTTACTCTTTTGTTGGTCGTTTTTTTCACCCTTATGTTTTTAGTCAAAGGTTCGTTCTGCGATGATGCGCTTATTCTTGTAGAGTTACAAGTGATCAAGAATGAGGACGTTTTTGTGGAAATTGGGCCCGATTACTTCTATGGACCTTCATTCTTTCCGTTAGAGTGGAAGACAAACTCAAACAATCGGAATAGATCTCGTATTGTGGGTTTCGATTTCACTTTTGATGTTCAAAACCAAGTGCTCCAAGCAGTATACGACCGTCTGACTTCCGACATCGGAGTGGTTAAACTAGCCTATTTATTCGACTACACGGGTTCGTTCGTCATTTTGCCCTCCATGCTCTATCGCCTATCTGATATTTAGACAGCTTGCATATTCCATCCCACACATGTAGCAGTAGAAGGGACTAATTTATATTTATTGTAGCAATGAGGGATGGCAGCAATTCCAAGCGTAACTTTTACCTTTGACACTCGTTTCGTTTATAGAAAAGCAAGTTTGGTCAATTATCTTGGCTGAATGGATGCAGAAAAGTTTACTTATTTGATAATTTCTTTTTTGACTTAGGAGGCGGAGTCCACCCATTTTCTCGTAAGTTGGACATTATGTTTTTGGTTACCTTACTTTAGCTATTGAAGCTTTCCAGTTCCTTAAAAAAAAAGTGGGACAGTTTCTCTTATATCAACTACGAGACTTTAACAACGTTGAGGATGCGCTCAGTCAGATTCTGATCGACAATGCTAACGTTCTTGTCCTCAATGTAGACCAACAAGCTGCTCTGAAGCTTCTAGCCAAGGTATGCCTAGTCTGTATCATCTAGCTTTATTATTGGCGCTGTAGGCACAAGAGAAGAATATCCTTCAACAGCCCTTCTATTGGATTGTTTTCAATGCTGTAAGTTCATAATTTATCGAGAAATTTGTAATGGTAGCGAATCAATAGTCTTTTAGCATAGGTATGCAATACCCTAGTGATCGCACCATAACGATTTTTTTATAAACTGAGTTAAGTAATTTGAAATGCTTACTGATGCATTCAAAAGATCAATAAGTGCTTGATGTTATTTTGGAATCCAGCCGAAATTCGTTGTCAACTATTGAACAGATATGTGTTATTCTTTGCATTTACTAGTACTTTTTTTAAGGATGTTTGTAACGGACTCTCTGACCGACCATTTCAAGAGGATTGATAAATGCACTTGAATATCTGACCTCTCTGCAAAACAGGGTATCACCTTATCGGGGATAGAATTCTTCGTGGGAAACGCGAACTTTTTTGCAGTCGAGTTTTCCACAAATGGCAGGTTCTCCGAATTCCCTGAACTGAGTGCCATTTCAAAACCCATAACATCGAAAGATCTTATTTTTCGGGACGCGGCCGTTGTAGGACTTCAGGAGCTTGCTAGACTTCTCGATAAATCGGCAAGTCAACTTTCAAGCACAGGGCTTGTCTTTTAGACATAGGTAATAGTTTGGGGTGCCTTTGAAAGGCAACCCATTAATGGCAGCAGCAGCCATTATTAAGGTGGAAGTATGAAAAAGATTGGTCTTGTTTGGGACTTTATGCATAACGCTTTTTGAGGAAATACCCTTTCGATGGAAAACTTTGTTTCAGGTGCCAAACAACATAGATCTCATTACGAGCACATTGGACGGCATGGTAAACACGACCCTAAAACAAACATGGGAGCTTTACTCGTATGTGGACACGAAGTTTGACTCAAAGAGCGTAAGCTCACTGGCTACGTTGATCAATCCGTCTTAGTTTGTGTAAAAACCGAATGATGTAGCGAATTAATTCTTCAAACTGTGCCAAGTAGCCTGTTTTCAATCCTTTATTCCCTTATTTGATGTAGCCGCCTATATTGATGTCTTTTTAAACTTTCAACCACTTGGAAACTGACGAATTTGGGTGCTTTTGTTTTTTACCTTCCGTCTTTAAGGACTACAAAGTAACAGCACTTTTCGACGGATCCACTAAAGCATCCCTCCAACCGCTGAAGCAGCCTCCATCGAAAGAGCTTCTGCTCAGTCGAATGCGGACGAAACCGCTTCGTATTGGTACTATTAAGGCAAGTACTTTGTGCAGAGCCAAGTGTGCACTGGAAATCGCTACCCATTTAGGGATGTTAATCATCTTGCTTTCTTGACGCTCTTACATTGGACCCCTATTTTTAGGTTTCGAATAAGTTTTTAAAACAAGCAGATAGCAGTGCTAATTAGGCTAATGTCACTCATAGGAATAGCATCGAAACCATGTTAGAATCTAATTTTGTGGTACTTCATGATTATTTGAACGGTTAGTTTTAGAGGTGTTTGAGTGTTAAAGAACGTATCAAAGCATACAAATCCGATCCATGGCACATTGGGAGGTCGTGTTTGGAAGTTGCGTTGTGTGGAGGGAATTATGTTGACCAGAGCCTGTGCTAAATCAAATGACGGTTTTGTGCGGTTAAGGTTTTATGATTACTCCTCCTTTCTGATTTGCCACTACGACACCTCAATTATGTATCCGTCTGATTTCCATCGGGCTAGTACAATGGTGATGTTGCATGTCCACCTTAATGATGTCTTTTCGCAGGTGTCGTAGATGGTCTCAGTCGGTGTTGCTTTAGTTGGTGAAGGTAAAAGTTCGTTTTAACCCTTTCGCTGAGGGACGTCAGATTCTCATTCATAGCCTGTGGCCTCCTTCGATCCTGATAGGGGGTACCACTTAGTAGAACAGCTGCGTGTTAGGCTCGATTTCGCCTTCTATCACAATCAATACCGGCGTTCTGCGACTTCCCTAAAATCAAACGACAATACTTGAGCGGGAGATGTAATGCCAGTGTACAGAAACGATGGATGGGGTCTGCTGGTACAATCATGCTGCTTAACTGAAATACAAAGGGAGGGCTTCCATTGCTAGCGTAAGTGAAAGAAAGTGCTATGTCGTGAGCGTTTTTGGGTCACTTGAGCATTTATGATAGCCCGAAACGTGACAGGGGAAAATGCATGTTGATCTGTCACGTGCTTTGCGTGTGCTCATTTAGTTGGTTCAGTCCGTGGGCGCTCGCAAAGCTATCAAGGAAGATGGCTGATTCATTGAGGAATACAATGTTATCTTTCAGATAGTTGAAGACGAATTATTTTCAAAAATAATGCTTCGATGAAAAGCTTGTTTCCTCTGACTTCGAGGAGACTCTTTTGCTGCATATGAGTGCTGTACAAAACGGGCTAGAATTTCCAAATTTGTGATGAATACACTGATCAAATGTCGTGTAGGTACCGCCAGTGGTAACAGAGGAAACTACCGCCGACGGAACCATGGTGGTAAACGGGCCTGAGATTGCCTTGGCAAAGGCACTCTTGAAGCGCTTAAATGTCTCTTACAATATTACTGTATTCGATTTGGACATTGGCAAGGAGGTGGACGGACGGTGGACCGGAATCTTCGGACTCCTGGAAGAGTGGGTAAGGTCCCGCTTGTAAAAAATTTTGGGTTTACAAAATATGGTCGGACTTTCTGGTGATTTCTTGCATTAATTCCATATCCTACATTGTAGTTTTGCCTATTTTCAGGACATCGATCTCTTGGTCGGTCCTTTCTCGGATACGTGGGACAGATCGAAAAGCTTCCTTGGCACTACGCCCATTCGCAGCATCACCTATAACTATATGTACCGCCGACCTTCGCTAAAAGCTTCCCTCCAGATTTTCCAGTTCGTCGTTGCTTTCGACGGTTACACATGGCTTCTCATAATCCTAACGGCTGCGATCTTTGGTGCGGCCCTCACTTTATTGCACAAAATCAGTCCAAACACTCTCAGTTACAGTATTCATCCTTCTATGCTCTTCGTTTTTGGCTATCTTTTTCAGGTATGCCTCCAACTCTCGCATGTGAATAATATAATGGCTGAATTATTTTTTTAAAATAACTTTAGTGTCTTACTCCATAGGGAAAGTTGTTATTTTTCTGGCGTACTGACACGAAACCTACTAGAACAATAGGCGCGAATGAGATTGAATGCTTTTTGCTACGTCGAAAAATACGTATGAGAGCAAACACGTTTAACTGAAAACGATCTTTTGTGGCACTACTCAAGAGGTTGTACTTCTGTAGAGAGTGAACCTTGGTAGAGGACTAGAGACAGGATGATGCCTAGTATGATCATTTAGTACAATTAACTCTCATGCAGCAGTTCTGTGATTGCGCATTAAGTCAATTAAGTCATTCGCGACGTCTATACAACTCACCACCGTAATCTATTTTAAGTTTGCAGAGGCGACGAACTCGTACTAGCGGTTTATTTTTCCTAAAATCTGCCGAAATGAATTTTCGAGAACTTAACCATTAGGCTTGCCACTAAGATATTGAGTAGTTGGATGGGTCAGCGTTGTGAACCACTTTTTTTGACTTTTTTTTTCGGGTTGTCCTCCGGCTTTCCTTTCAATAACGGTTAAAGTGATGTTAAAGACCACTATTCAGGTATCCCGCATTGTTTCCTGGAGGACTATCAAATGCAATCTTTGGAAGTGCATACGCGGAAATTGCCATTAATGCGGTTAAAAAAGGTGCATTGGGTAGGAGTACCTACCATTAACTAATTGAGGCACTGGGACATTTTCAGTGTTACTGTGGTAGGTAAAGCATTGATAAACTAAAAGGTTCTACTTTACTTTGCGGTCATGGTGATTATTATCAAAGTAGCACCCCAAAGCAATAACAAAGATGTGTTCCATAGAGTTGGTATGCATTTACTTGTGCCGCTGCAGGGCGTGAGAACGCGGCCACCGAGGCAGACGTCGAGTCAGATCCTCATTGTGGTGTGGTGGTTCTTTTGCCTCATCCTCATCATTGCATTCTGCACCAACTACGCCTCCTACCGTTCCTTCACGGCGTTGGAGACTCTGCCCACCACCGTCGCCACCCTCCTTCATCAGGAGTACTACAAGTGCGTCCACTTGGGTGCTGCTTTTGTAAATAACTTGTTTGCTTTAATTTGATGTCTGCTTGGCTACAACTCTTCCAAATCCAGCCTAACAATACTGACATGCGTTTTGTATGAATTTGTCAATATCTCTTGGTCATCATTCTGCGAATTCGGATGTTCGTGCTTAATGCTTTCACTCCAGCTCTCTGGCCCAAAATTCTTTGCACAATGGATTGCCTGTAGCTCTTTCGAATGCGTTCTACAACGCTGTCACCAATGTCCTTCTCGAGCTACCTTTCATGAATCTTCAAATGCGATACTGAAGGCGAATTTAACATAAATACAGAGCGGTTCAAGTAACTATAGTAGGACACCTTACCATCGCTATAATCCGCATTGTTTTGCATCGTAAGGAGGTAGCCCGCGGGTTAACTTCGGGCAATAAGGCCCAATCAAGGTAACTTTCTTCGGCAGCGGTGATGGCCTTCAGTATACGATTCTATAAAGGTATGGAAAAGTTTTTACAAAATAGGGTTTGCTTTACAAGTCAGGTTTTTAAGTTTCAAATGCGTCCTTCATCAAGACGTACCTAAGCCTAAACAATTTTATGTTTTCATTTAACGGCTCATCAATACCTCAAGATGCCGAACTGTGACCCAGGAACCAAGGAACCCGGTATAACAAGCGAGCATTTAGCAATTAGGAGTGATGTCTTCTTGTGCTGAACATCTATAATATTTGGGATGGCTATCAGTACTGGTTGCTTGCCGGTAGTGTACGGAGTCGCGCATCTACTGTGTCAAGAGTTCACATCTTTCCGACCATCATATTTTTTGTTGGTTTTTTCTTAAGATACGGTTACATAAACGGATCGAACACGGATACACAGATGAGCGCATCATTGGACCCATCAATTTACGCACTTTACACGGAAATCAATACTAAATACAAGGACATGATACCGCCCAACCGAAGCGCAGGCGTCGATCAGACTATTAAGGTACTTCATTCCTCATTTTGCGATTCCCAAACCGTTCAATCGCTCACTCAACTGTGGAATGCTAGTTTGAGTTGACTTTGCATGTTCCAATCACCAGTCCTTTGAATGCTCTACTCGGACAAGAGGTAGGGGAATTGACAGACCTGCTCCCCTCTCTCTCATTAGGGGGGTTTCGCCTTGCTCGACGAATCACCATTCATCGAATACTACGCACGAAAGTATTGTCTGGAGACGAGTTTGACGCTTTGGCATGGAGCCTACGTCTTCTACATGCCGAAACTGCTACCCTACTATACGATCATTAACGAAGAACTCACAATGATGATAGCAGACGGAACAGTGGATCGAATTTACAACCGGTAGGTGGTGTTGCGTACTTTAGACACGAGCGATGGAAAGGGGAAGGGAGGGTGGTGGGAAGGAGTAGGCTCGGTATTCACTACAGCGATGTCCGTTCCGCGATGTCTGGATCCTGTGCAATGAGTGCTATTGACAGCTTTGAAGTGGAATAATAGCTGCTTGAAGGCAATCGCGCTTGCCTCAAAGTAGCAAAATGGTTTAAACTAGGAAGTGGGTTTCAAAAGTCGAAGGGCATGCAACATTGAAGAGTTTAGTTTGAGGTAGAAAATTTTCCTGGTACTAGTAATAATCTACGTAGTCACCAACCATATGTCCTTTGAGAGCCACATTTGGAGCGTGATCAAGATCAACATTGGAGATTCTCTTGGTTGAGCCAGTACCTACAGCCTTATCATTTATCCAAAACGGAAGGTTTTCTGTCAGCCTGACATTTTGATCCATGCTTGAAGGATCATGCTCCACTTGTTCGAAATCAAGAAAGGTGCATCTAACGTTACTCGCTGAATCATCGCTGATGCTATTTGGAAAGGAACGTACGGTAAATAACTTAGACTAAATTTACGAAACCTGTGCTAATATTTGATCTTGATACGGATTAATTTGTGACACGGTTAGTGTTGTTTGCAAATCTACTTTCTTTGACATGAACAATTTAGCAAAAATGAATTTTAGACAAGGTGCTTTGGGTAGCTTAGGTACGAATTAAGGATTTAAGGAAAATTTTTAAAGTTGTGTTCGTCACTTAGCGCTCTATATTTGGTTAAGTAACTAGACTACAATTCATATGACAAGGTGAAAATCCAACTCTCAAGCTCTCCAAAGGTCTAAAGTAACTTCCGGAGCTTGACAGCTAAAAAAATGTTCATTCGTGTTTAACTTCCAGGGGTTATGAGGAGCAGCTAGCCACTTTACCAGTTTACTGTGGGGCCACATTCAAAGATAAGGCAATTGAAGCGATGCGAAATCCCCTTGTCAATTGGTCTGACTATTCGGTTGAGTTCGCCTCCGCCTTTGGAATCTTCATTGTTAGCCTTATTGGCCTCGTCATCGTTCTGATCGTCTTTGTTGTGGAATTCTGTCTCGGTGTCTACAAGGTAACATCTAAAATATTATCTTGTATAATTTGCTCTCAATCATTTTCTATCGTTCTTAGAGTAGAATCAAGTACTCGTACAGCCAAAAGGTTATGTTGTCTTAGAATATCACTAACATCCCTTCATTTATGCGTTCATTTAAGGAGTTGGTAACAAAAAAAACTACACAGTGATTTTCCGATTTTATCATCTCTGATTGACAGATGGTGCTATTATTGCAGGAGCTACTGCCAATACCTTAATTACTACTGCACTTTACATATCGCAGCAAGTAAAGCCTGAAATGAACCATTTGAACCAGATTTCGTAGAAATCTTGTGAGAAAGTGCAGAGCCCTGTATTGTTCCGTTCAAACACATGCAATGTTACCATGTTAACTGATTGATCCTGTTGAGTAGTTGCCTTTCCTTGAACGTTTCTTCTTTTGCAATGATCGCAGTGGCAACTAGTTATTGTTCGATGTTGGATTGAGGCGTAGAGCAAAGGGGTTACCCGCGCTTTTAACAACTTTAAACGTAACCCTCCGTTTTAGAAGCCGGAACAAGGCCAGTGAAGGAGCGCCCTGGGGAGCAGACTCGTGACAATAGTAATGTCTTCTTCACCCAATGCTTCCATGATCCTCAAATGCATTTTATTCGACACAGCAGGTTTTAAATCCATGATCGCGTGTATATCCTTGAAAGCTCAATAATTGGCCTGTGGTGCAGATTCGGCGCCAAGCGTGTTATTTCCCCTTTCTAAGGAAGCGCCTTTTGAATCAATGTAAGCCCCGATGAAACACTCCTTGTCAATGGCCTCTACGACCGATGCAATGGAATTCTATGCAAACCAACTCATTGTTAGAGACGCAATTGCTCGAACTTCCAACAGTTGAAGGTTGGTTTGTGAAGGGTATTCATGTCCACGAGGGCAAGGAAGCCAAACCTTGTAGCAAGTAGACCTGAGAAGGGGTTTGCCCAGAGACGTTAACGTGGGTACTGATTGTAACAGCTCATTAACAAAAGTGGACAGCATGCATGTTGCAAAGGTAGGGGAGTGAATAATTTTATTTCGCACGAGTAGTTGACAAACCCACAGGGGAATTGACTTGAAAACTACAATTTGTATTACGACTCAGGCTACAATCAAGTGCTTTGCTAATTAAAATACGTCTTGCAAGTTCTAAAATGTACTGAAGTCAGTCAGCTAAAACAAGCGCACCCTTCTACGCCTCCTCTGAGTGATAAGAAATTGACTTTTCAAAATAAGTTTTTCACAATTTATGAAGATAGTTACAGTCACTCATTCCGAAGATTACCCACGAGACTGTTGTGGAGGCAACAGCTAGAGTTCATCGCGAATGGTGGTGGATCTGGACCCAAAGCTGCGTTGCTGTAGGTAGAAACCGACCTTTTCATGAACCAGTTTGCATCCCGAGCTTGAGAAGAGATGGGTATCCTCGGGCTCCCAATCTAGTTCATTCAGCACAAAGTCGATCATCGCCTCAGTATCTTCGACTCCCAGGCGGCGTGCTGCGTCAACGATGCACGAGCGTATGTGCACCTCCTGCAGTGGGAGGAAAGGCACTGCTGCAGTTACCACATGACTACTTATGAGGTCCGAAAACTTGAGAGCCCCTGTAAGGCAAAACACGATATTACCAAAGCGGTATTCGAACAATGGTTCTGACTCTTAAGTGGCTCAGTGAATGATTGAAGACTCAGAGGGGAGATTTTCAACCCATCTAATCACTTACAACAAAGTGATCGTTAAGTTTTATGATATTGGAATAGAAGTTAGAAACTGCTTTGGTGTACTAGCAAGGTCACGGATTATGCCAGATCCGGAGAGGGTGGGAGCATACGAACCTTCTTCGTTGTAGATCGACATCGACAGTGCTCGGCGGAGGTCACCATACTGAATCGACTTACGATTTTTGCCGGCATTGATGTGATTGCGGACGTATTCATTAATAACTGAGGCACCACTGTTCCTAACGGCACATATATCAAATAAAAGCGAATCAAACTAAGGCTACTCAAGAGCTTACTCTGTTGCATAACAATTGGGAGTAAAGGATCAACTCTCACCCTAAGAAGACAAAAATGGCCTTTCTGTAGTCCACACCCTTAACGGATTCTGCAAAACCCAAAAGGGGGACAAGAGCATCCAGGATGCCGGAAGGCATTTTGTGGACCTCGTCGAAAACCAGCAGTGATCGTTCGCATTTGCTAACTACCTGTTGAACTTCTTCCAGCACTTTGACCTAGGGAGTTTACATATGATAATGGGGAAGTGATTTCAACACTTTGGTGATAGTTCCAGCTTAGAAGTTAGATAACTTAAGGGAAGAGAGTATACCTTATAGAGTTCAACCGAATCTTTGAAAAGAAAATCAATGGTCGCATCGAAGCGACGGTAAAACCTGCTCTTTTCTCCGGCTTTAAACATGCTTGACGCCAAAATTGAGACCGCGTAGTTTTTACCAACGCCCGTAAATCCATGAAGAGAAAGTACCAAGCTTCTGCGAGGACTCGGATCTTCTAAGTGAGCCTGTAACAAACGAGAAAAATCAGAAGTTGTATCTTCCAACGTCTGACTGCCTCGCGCCCACTTTCGACACAGCAAAATGCGTTACAAGCCTTAGTGCAAAGCGACGGTATGTAATGAGATGCACTCACTTTCACATGATAGTACAACCTCTCTAGAGCAATATGTTGGCCGAAGAGTTTCGTAGTTAAGTTGCCATAAAAATCTGAAAAAAGTGAAGCAAGGCAGACCTACATTCGTGATTAAAATGAAGAGCGTTACTGCAGCATTCACCAAAAAGGCACTGAGCCGACTCAATAGTTTTTCTAAGAAGGTCGAAACCACTTCCAACTGATACGACGAATACAAAAAACATGAAAGTATGAATCGGATAACAGCTCACGATCCTCATTAACAGTGTTGAGTACTGACTAGTGCGGCTAGTACCGCCAATGCTTTGAGATACATGCGGAATTTCCAGCCCAACAGTTACATCACCACTAAGTGCAACTTTAGGCCGCAAGCTGAGAGTTTAAATACACATTAAATCCGATGCTACAACTAACGGTTAAGAAGAATAAAACGTCAATAGGACTTCAAAAGACATTAAAGTGTCAGGCTTTTGATTGCTTTTAGTAACAAGCAGACTATCTATTTTTGTTTTCAAATCAAGTAACTTCAAGCATAAGGATCTTTGAAGCCGATGCGATTGTTTTGTTAATTGACAGTCTGAGCGATATTCTAAATTGTTGTGCGGCCGCTCTAAGCATGCTCTGGGGGGTCGTGCAAAGTATTAAAAAATATCCTAAAACTTCAATACTTTTGACTGGTATTTCCTTCATTGTGGCAAATCGCGTTAGGCTGAAGCATAGGTAATGGATTAATTTGGTGGTGCAGTGTTTGATCAGGGACAACCTCCTTCGGCATCGCATATGCACCCATCTTAAAGTATTTTTTCCATTTTTATCAATGTCTTAAGGTATTAGGCATGAGAAAGCTTGCAAACTGCGATATGCTACATCGAGTCACTGTTTTCCTCAACCCCTTTGCACGGCAAAGAGCAATACTAGATAAATTCGACGAAGATGCGATGCCACTTCTACAAATAAGTGGTTTAGATGTACAGATGGTGTATCTCGATGATGATGACGAAGCAAAGAAATATTCAAATGTGCTAGATCCTGATAGCACTGATGCGATTGTTGTTGCTGGTGATGACAATCTCTTGGCTAAGGTAACATAAATGGGGTGGCCCTATTATGCTCTATAGACGCTTACGGGGCTCTTACGTCGGAGTGATTATTTGGTAAGCCGTTGTTTTCTTTATTTTTGTTGTAGACAACAAAACTGTGGGAAATACCTATTTACGTGCTTCCACTGGGAGTTTTCAATAGCTATTGCAGTACAGTGTTTAGGGATAGTAACCCTATTATGTACTCACATTTGGTCGTTATGTTTTAATTACCATAGGTGGTGTTACCGTCTGATTATACCAGTTTTGGAAAACAAGTCTCATCGCAGAAACGTTTTGAGCATTCGACCTATGGTACAAGGCACTGTCGGATGTGAAAAAGTAGGGGACTTTGAGGTACCGTTGAATTAAACTGTCTAAAGTTGTTCCTCACTAGCCAGATTCTTGTAAGCAGGAAGTCTTTGCAATGACTGGAGTCGAATGGAGTTGCTGGCGCGATGTGGAGTACGGTGGCGGTGGTCGCTCACTGACCGCTTCCCGTCCTGCCAACCATAAACCTCGCCTTTCCAGCCCTCCAAGATGGATGGACGCTGGCACTGTCAATCTTAATACCGTCAAGACTTCTTTTAGCTCTCCTTACGGGTATTATTCGTTTCGCCAATGTGTCAAGAGAGTTTGTGCTGTCTGTCGTCATGCTTTGGCCTATGTCTGCGCCCCTGCTTTCGATCCCGCGTCCCCTGCCGCGGAGCAATTAGAGACGGCCAGAAGGAAAGGGAAACCTCTTCAACGGGGATGTGCAAAGCAAGCAGTCCTTATCGTAAAACCGGTGTGCTCTGGCTGTAAAAAGTGCTGGAGAAGGAAGTACAGGGTGTGTGTTTTGTTTTATTCCGGTCTTCAGCTCTGTCTATTACAACACATAGAAAGGTCGAGTTTTCTGCAGGTTATATTGAGCGCATTAAAGTCATATCTAGGTATGTCATTTCACCAATAGATGAATGCACCTTGGTGATTGAGTGGCGACATGCCACACCTTATCGTCAATTTGATATGCAGTGGCTAGCTTCTTCATGTGGTTATTGTTCTAGGAGACTATCGCCTTTGTAATGCTAGCGGTATGGCGGAGTATATTGTCCACCTCCTTAGCATATTACTTGCATCGTATGATGGATAACTCTTTCTCTTGCAATTCACACTTTAAGGCGCCTGATGAAACTGAGCCTTTACTTCAACTTCTTCAGTAGAAAGTTTTTACGTTTAGGTTGCCTACAGTGGGCATCGTTGCTTTGTTTCCTGTGGATTTATCATTTACATAAAGTTGTTTCAATGGCTATGCTTTACGCAAGTGTGGATTGTAAGCTTTGTTTTAAGTGCTTAGTCAATTGCTGATATTGAGAATATCCTATGCCAAATATTGGTTCTCTTAAAC